GCGATCCTCTGACGAAGGTCACGCAGGCCGATCTTCGAAATGTCCACACCATCGATGGTGATGCTGCCGGCGTGCAGCTCGACCAGTCTCAGCAGAGCGGTCAGCAACGTGCTCTTGCCGCTACCCGTCCGTCCAACGATTCCTACCTTTTCGCCCGCTCGAATGTCCATGCTGACACCCTTCAGAACGATCGGTAGACCCTCTCTGTACTGCAGCTGAACTTCGCAAAGGCTGATCTGTCCTTGCTGAGGCCACTCTCGAGGCAGATTGGCTTCTGGGATGACCTGCGGTGCTTCTTGCTCGATAGCAGTGGCGTAATGGTGGATGCGCTCAACAGAAGACATGTCGTTCTCCACTTCTGCAATCTGACGCGTCATCCACGAGAAGCTCTGGCTGACGGTGAGAATGTAAGATAGTGCCAGACCTGTCTGCGCTGGCGACAGTCCCGAATTAGCCCCTGCGGTGGTGAGCAGAGCAACAACAAAGACGAGGACAGAGCCGAGAATGTCTAGGCGAACACCCAGCCAGCGCTGATTCACGGTGGTAAAGTAGTAAGCGCGAGCTTCGTGGGACATGTGACGAAGGTGGTCGTTGATGAATCTCTTGAGTACGCCGTAGGAGCGCACGGTCGCCATACCGCCCAGCGTCTCCGAGTAGTGTGCGTACAAGTCCGAGCGCAGTACTGCATCGATACGCTTGGTCTCACGCGCAGACCGCCGGTAGACGGCGGCGCCAGCACCGTAAAAGACCAGCAGACCAGCGACGGCGATCAAGAAATAGGGCGTCAGGTAGGCAATCAGGATGATGCTTCCAATCACCTGCGCCATCGTAGTTGCAGCCATGCGGAAAGAGTCGCTGAGAATATTGTCCGTCGTGTCGACATCCTTGGACAAGCGGTTTTGAATGCGGCCCTTTGGCGTGACGTCAAAGAACTTGGACAGGGGCGCGTAGATGATGCGCTCGATCGCATCGTTGTGAAGTTTAGCCGCAGAGTAGTAGGTCAAATAGCCCGTCGTCAGGCCCATAAACATGGTGAATACGGCTTGAATACCACCCAGAGCGCCATAGATGCCTTCGTATGCGCCCACAGGCAACCCAAGGGTGTCGGAAAGCCACCAATTGATACTGTACTGATTCATGACGGAGGCGCCTTGCATGAGGATGAGCGAGATGATGATGGCAGGCACAAGGATCTCTCCTCGACCTGCCTTAAAGTACGCGAGGTAGACCTTGAGACTGATAGATCCGGTATTGCGCTCTTCCGTCTCCATGAGCGCTTTGGTCTTGTCACCAGAAGCGTCCGTCATATCTTCCCGCCTGATGAGCTTCTTGCGGCCAACTCTAGACTTTTCCAGACCGACATCATCAATAGCCTCTCCTTCATCCTCCAAGTGCTCTTCCTCCTCCTCCTCATCCTCACCTCCAAACTCCTCAATGAGCCGCTGGAAGGGACCGTCCGCATGTGCAAGGTCGTCGTATGTGCCCAGCTCCGCAACGTGACCATCAAGCATGGTGACGATGCGGTCGCACTGCGGCAAAAGGTGAACAGCGTGGGTGACGAGAATGACCGTCCTGCCTTGCGCTCGTAGCTGCAAGATGGTTTGGAAGAGCTTCTTGGCGACGTGTGGGTCAACTGCGCTCAAAGGATCATCGAGCAGTAGTGTGCTGGCATCAAAGTAGATGGCTCTGGCCAAATTGACACGAGCTTTCTGTCCACCGCTGAGCGTAGTACCGCGCTCACCAATGCCAGTTAGATCTCCCTGAGGCAAGATGAGTAGATCGGCTTCAAGCTCAGCCATCTTGATGACCTCCCAGTAGCGTTCCTCCTCGAAGGGCAGGCCAAATGTGATGTTCTCCCGTACAGTCGCGGCTTGGATCCAAGGCTGCTGAGCAGAGTAGGCAGTCGAGCCCGAGCCACCCCAGATCAATCTACCGCTCGTCTGTCGCATTTCTCCAGCAAGTCCTTGAAGGATGGACGATTTGCCGCTGCCCACCGGTCCGACGATGGCGATGAGCTCGCCCTCTGCGACTCGCAGATTCAGATTCTCGAGCTTGAACGGCTTTGCACTTGCCGCAGCTTCGTCCTCAAGAGCTTTCTCGGGTGCGAGTGGAAGCGCAAGGCCAGTTTCGCGTTGCCTAGTCGTTGTGGCGGTAGCCGGTTGCGGCAAGTCGGTAATGGGCGCAGGAGGTGCTGCCTTGGGCGCGTCACCATTACGAGAGTTGAAAAAGCGTCGAATGAAGCCGGGCGGCTTAGCCTTGTCGCTCTCTGCAGCCTGGGTCTGGCCAGGTTCGACCGTAGCAGATGACTTCGTCTTGCCGGTATCGACGCTGGCGGCCACATTGGGATCGACCTCATCGTACTCAAAGCAAGCGTCCTCCAGGACGACGGCAAATTTCGACTCTGGGTCCTTCTCTGAACGGTCAACCAGGAAAGGCGCCTCAAATACGGGTGTCAATCGCGCAATGGCGGCCCACGCATCTGCGGTACTGGAGATGGCCAACGGCAAGAACATCAACGGCATGCGCAGCAGGGCGAACAGGGTCAGCGCTGTGAAGACTTCTCCTGTTCGTCCAGCGCCAGCACCGCTGACGTCGTTGCCGAGTGCGCTGTATACCAGGAAGCCAACGATGGCAGCAATGGTAGGGAGGGTGAAGGCGAAAGCCATCAGACCGCTGCGCCAAATGACCAACTCTCTGATACCTTGCAGCTCCTTTTGGCGAATCTGAACGATGCGGTCGAGGAACATGTGCTCTTGAGCAAAAGCCTTGACCACTCTGATGGAGGAGAGCAGTTCATTGATTAGCTTCCCTCGCTTGTCCGTGAATTGCATGCTCTTGCTTCTCGTTTGGAACAAGCGCTTGAAGATGACGGCTTGGACAGGGAAAGCAAAGACCAGAACAGCAAAGCCTGCCAATGCGGATTCTTTGATTTGCCAGATGAGCAGACCAAGACACAGGCCCAACGCCACCGGTGACGTGAACATGAGCAGGCCCCATTGGAAAGCAAAGTCGATGCGCGAGACGTCGGTCGACGCCATGGTGAGTAGGCGGCCGGGTGATCGGTCCTTTGCTCCGACTTTCGTGGCGCGCTTGAACATGGCCGAGATCAAGGCGGTGCGCGCATGCACACCCATCGTCATGCTCTGGTGGAAGAAGGCATGCTGGGCGATGGATTGCACGATTTGAAGCGCGAAAATGGCAATGGCGTACGCGACACCAACTCCGACATTGGGTGCTGGGAAAGCCTGCGGCAATTGAAAATGTGCGTATGCCTTGCCAGAGTAATCGACAATGGTGCGGATGAGAAGCGGCGACGTCATTTGAGCTGCGGAGCAAAGCAAACGAGGCACAAAAGGTAGTCAGCGTCACAACACGCACCTGGCCACCGGTTCCATCTTCCACCGCACGGTATCGAGATCGTCACTCACCTGCATCTGCAATGAGCTTGACAAAGATTGCCAAGAATGATCTCGCCTTGAACTGGTCCAACACAGCCCAGGCGAGCGACGGTTCCATGTGACCGCTCCAAGATTGCGGCCTCTTGGGCGGAGGCGGGGGCTTGCTGCCAGGTGCAGGTTTACCAGTTGGAGCCTTGGGTCTGGGAGCTGGAGGGTGAGGAGCTCGCCAGAGCTTTTCTCGTTCTGCCAAGCCTCCTTTTGGACCTTTTCCAAGCGCAGCAGCAATCTTCCATTTTGTTCTCCTCTTCCAACCAACGGCAATCTCTCCGCTCACAAGTTTGGCGTTGTAAGCCTCCGCTTCCGCCACGCGACGGTCCCACGATTCCAGCAGCTTGTCGCTCAAAACATCCGGCTCGTTTTGAGGCTCCAGCTTCCACAGATCTGTAGCTTCTAGCGCTCGTTGGTAGCCCAAAATCATAATGTGGTTGGCCCACCAAAAGGTCATTTGCGAAAAGATATTGGCGGTAGCGAGAGGAATCATTTTGGCATCGTCCATCGAGGCAGGAGGCGGAGGTGGCAAATGACGAGGTCTCCAAAATTGGTAGAAACGTTCGCGTTGCTTGATGTGCACCAGGTTTCGTTGTCCGGGCTGGTAGACAAACTGCTCCGGTGTGACGTCCACTTGTCTGGCACTTGCCTTTTCGTCCAACACCTTGTCAGACTCCGCATGGCCTTCTTCCGAGCTGGGCGCCGACCCACGCTTGCCCTTGTCACCAGCTTTCTCGTTATGATCATCGTCATCGGCAGCTTGGCTGCGACGAGGAACCATGGTCAGTGCTGATTGTCTCTTTGCAGCATCGTCCTCTGAGCTGTTGCTGCTCGTGCTCCCTGCAGACTCATGATGAGTGATGGGTGCCATGGCGAGCTTGCAGATGCTTGCTCAGGCGGTATGGCGAGGATATGGAGAGGATGAGAGGTGGGATCAACACATGGGAAGCGTGGAAAGGTGATCGATGAAGGGGAAGGGGTGATGGCTGACAAATGGAAGGGTGCTGGTGGACATTGGGCGCACAGCAAACGGAAGATGCCTTTATGTGTTACGACAGGGATGTCTCTAGTCGGACCATCGCAGCACCAGCTGTGACTGGCCGGTGCTAAGGATCAAGTCATCAGCGGGGTCCAGCAGCAGCAGCGATTCGAGCTGAGCTTTGTGTACGTGCATGCATGCAGGCAGGATGCATAAGCATCAGCATCGGCAGCGCATACAGTACGTGCCGGGATGCCGCGGCTTGCAAGGTGTTCCACTCAGATTAGGCCCCCCCTTTGCTCGCACGGTATTGTATTCTTGCGCTCATCACTCTTGACATTCACGATTTGCTTCATGATTCACGATTGTAAGTGTCGATGCACTTGCGACTCGCAGGCAGTCAGCCCGGGCTTGCCGCATATGGCTTGAGAGCAGGAACGGTTGATCGAAATGGTGAATGTTGCTTTCATGTAAGCTGCTCCGTGCAGCACGGGGGGAGCGCTTGCGCGGCCTTTGGTGAAGCGTTGATATCTGCTGAGGGATGCTAAGCGCCGGGCTCAGTCAGTAAGGACTCGAGACTGAGCGCCTGGGAGCGAGCGCATGGAAGTCAACGAACGCAAGCTATCTACGGTATCTCATCTCGCTATGTCCGGTGCCAGCTTGACATGTGCGGGCAGCATGAAGAAGCAGAAGCAGAACTCCAGGCTGCTCTACACCTAGGCACCAGGTCCACAGATGACGCGCCATGCCATGACCGCTTGGATCGATTCGGACGATTGATTTGTCCGACAAAAGTTTTCAAGATCCGCCAAATGGACGCTTGCATGCAGGCAGGCATGCAGGCAGGCAGCCATGCAGGGACTCGGACTCCTCATGCAAGCGCGGGGCATGACTGCCGAGCAACACAACACCCTTTCTCGCCCCTCCCCATCGCACTCGCATTTGTCAGACGTGCAAACATTCGTGATTGCAGCTGAGGCTCCGGTCAAGGTGTGCGTATACGCGTATAGCTGCTGCATCGAGTCCGTGATCGCTCAGCTCAGCTCAGGAACCGGCGAGAACACCGCAGGGTGATTCAGATTCACGATTAGAAATGCGGCGATCTAACCGCGACATCATCATCAAAATCGTGAATTCATTCGGCAAGGGGACAGGACGCGCGTTCGCGCGTGCGTGAGCTTACTCTGCGTCGCGGCGGCGGGCCACGCGTACCGTACATGTGGAAATCTCAAAGTACGGGTACGGTACGGTACGGTACGGTACGCGCGCGCGATCGCGCTGCAGACACGCGACGAGTCTTGAGTGCACGCCAGCTGCTGATGACGCGTCCTTCGACCTTCATTTCCCGCGGAAAGGTCTCATTCCCCACTCACTTGCCGCGGTAATTGACTCGGCACCAAGTTCAGAAAGAAGTTTGAAACTTGTGACTTGCATATTGTGATTGTGATTGTGATTGTGATTGTGATTGTGATTCAAGATCAACTTTTGTCCGATCTAAATTGGGAACACGTGACATGCAAGTTGATCGCGATGTTTGCAGGCAAGAGGCTAGAGTCGTGCTCGCGAGTCTGCAGTGTTGTTGCAGTCACGTTTGACTGCTCATTCATTGATGGTATCCGAGTCGGGTGTGTACAACGGCTCACGACTAACAGTCACATTGACGACGTCGGCTCACGCGCGCAGGCTTTGAGTAACAAACCTTTTGGGACTCACACTCGCATTTTTGGACTTTCATCGGAGCTTTATGCGCACGCTCGATTGGCGATACGTCAAGCACACAGCGATCAAGCAGGCGCCCATCGTAAATCTTCGAATCTCACCAGTTTGATAGCTTCCAACGACTCATCTTCTCGCCCCATCGTCAGTCCCTTTTCTGCTAAAAATGGGTCTGCTGACCATCATACGCAAGAATAAGCGTGAGTTCATCTAAAGCGCTGGGGCAAAGTCTCGTGCCATTCCTACGCGCGCCATCTCACCTTGTCTGCCTGTGTGGTCTGGGGCAACCTGCTATGCGCGCGCGCGCGCGGGGGCGGGGCACGATGATCAGACAAGGATAGGGAACAGAGACATTTGTTCTTGGGTTTGGACAATTCCGGCAAATCTACCATTGTGAGGAGCTTGTTGGGCGAAAGCACGGATGATGTGAGCCCTACGTTGGGCTTTGATATAAGGAGCATCGTTCATCTCGGGTGCGTTGCAAGAAAGGCATTCTACAAGTCTATCAACGTGTCGACGTCGAAACGCTGATGCAGCTCACGCTTTGCCACTTCGCCTGCCCTCACTTTGCAAATGTCAGCTACACGCTCAACATTTGGGACATTGGTGGTCAAAAGTCTCTTAGACCGTACTGGAGAAATTATTTCGAGCGAACAGATGCGCTCATTTGGGTCGTCGATTCAGGAGATAGACAGAGATTGGACGATGCAAAGCAGGAACTTCGATCGGTAGTTGGTGAAGAGGTGAGTGTTGCTTCGAATGTCTTCTCCCCTCTTTCTTTCGAATGTCTTTTGAGGGACGACGCTCTCTTACGCCTAAGCTCACTCCTGTCGTCTCCACATTGTGCGCAATCCGTCGCCTTCGATTGCGCTTGAAGCGTCTAGCAGGAGCATCCATCCTCATCTTTGCCAACAAGCAAGACATTTCAGGTTCCCTGTCTGCTCAAGAAATATCAGCCAGTCTGACTCTGCAAGACCTCAGCAAGACGCACAGCTGGAGAATACAGCCTTGCAGCGCCATTACCGGACAAGGTCTGCAAGAAGGTATCGACTGGCTGGTCAAAGATGTGGGTCAGAGAATGTACTTTGAATTGGGTCGAGGAGAAATCTCTGCATCGGGTCAGGAGACCCGCGGCGTAGAGAGCATCGAAGGCAGGACATTCACTCAAGTCTAGATTGGTTCTGGTCCCGCTGAGATCATGCTTGACTTGTGCACCAAGCAAAACGACCAGACTTTCAGCTGCTTCTTCAAGCTCGACGGCGTGTCACGTCGCATCAAGCTCAGAAACGCAGCACAGCGGCGCTCTCTCTTAGACGCTTCGCTGCCACTTCCACCGCAACTCGGTCGGCGCTGAGCACCGATAGCTCCTACCGGGCTCTGCCGGATCGCAAGGCCAGAAATCGAGCAAAGCGACATTGGCATGACGGCCAAGCAACATTTCGTCTCGAGAGCGTACGCGACTGCGATTCAAACTCTCACTCCCGACGTTGCGCATGCCCACCTCGAGCTTGCATCGCCTTCAATCCACGACTGCGTGCCGTCGAGCCAAGCGAGAATGTAAATGACTAGACGATCGTGGCATGCTACACCTCAAATGCCTGCGGCGACAGGCTCAGAGCCGAGAGCAATTCATCGAGACTCTCGGGGGAAAGCCTCTGGAATGGATGAATTGCGTGTGACTAGGCGGCTGCAGGACTGCGTATATCGAGGTGCCGAATTCATCCAAAAGGGCAAGGCAACTCTGCCATCATTCGAGCAAGGTAGCATTGCCGAGTTCCCAGATCATGCGTCTCCGGTAGTAAGGCACATTGCTCTGAGCAAAGTTCCACTCCATTTCGCGCAAATCTTCATCCAGACTCGCGTCGCGACCGAATGCGGCCTCTTGTTGTGAAGCGTCAAGCATCTGCACCAAGTCGAGCGCCGGCGGATCTGGAAAGGGCAGCCATGGATCCCTTCTGGAAAGATGCTCCATCATGAGAACCGTAAAGACGCCGCAATCCGAGCCGTTTTCCTGCTGAGGGTTGGTGGGGCAGTCGTACACGTACCATCCGCTGGTGTCCAACGTTCTGCCATCGAAAGAAGACGCTTTTTTGGCGAGCCATTCGGCTTCCAGCCATGCCATCAGTGCGTGCGCAGCATCGTGTGCCCATCCCCCAGTCATTGAATCGTAAAATTCGAAGCGCCGCTGACGCAAATTGATCGCAGCCGTGACCCAATGACTGTTGCTCCGATTGACTGGAAAGATGATTCGATCCTTGGAGAACACGTCGACCTGCCATAATTGCTGCAAGTCAGCCCATGTTCTGATCGTGGATATCAACCCATAGCAAGCGCTCACCTTCTTGGTCCATCGCTTGACACCCGCATGACCTTCTCTTTGAATCTTCACAAACATGTGCGTCTGAAAGGCGTGCACATCCCAGTATCCCTGCGCTTTTTTCGCGCGCTTTCTCTCCCCTTCGAGCGCTTTTCGGGTTCCCAAATCAGCCCGAGACCCTTCGAGTGCGAGGTTCTTCTGAGCTGCACGACCAGCCGCTCGCAATTCTCGCATATCGTTTGAGCGGTTGTTGATGAGCACGGCGTAAAAGTTGATGGATTCGTCATCTAGCCATTGGCCCGGTTTGAGCCGCTGCAGGTTCCGATTGTTGACTATTGCGCCAGAAATTTGTTTCTCAAAAGTCGAATCAGCGAGAATGTGCCGGACTTCTCGCTCTTGTTCCTCATCCAGGCGATCAGGCATCTAAAGCGGAGCTTTGCGTAAGCGACACACAGAACGTTGATCATGCGGCGCAATCTGTAGGAGCGAGACTCACAGGCTGTCTCCCGAGAATTCCGCGCAGACGCTTCTCACGCAACTTCTCCTCCAACACTAAACGATTCAGCGTCTTCTGCTCTGAGCGTGAAGGCTGCAACTTGGAACGCTGTGCTCGCGTCAATCGATCCAAGTCCGCCTGCAGCAATCTCAAAACGCGCTCCTCTGGAGGCACAGCCTCAGCAAAAGCGCGACCACGCTGCGCAAAGAGGAGAGCACGCGGACTCGTCAGCGTTGCGTGACAAGCATGCTCCAAGATTTGCGCGACGCATCTCACCTTCTCGACATCGGCAGCATGGTCCGTTCTGAACTGGTAGTCCAGACGCTCTTGCACCTGTTCCTGAGTATAGTTCGTCTTGCGCTGAATCTGATCAGTGAGACGCTTGATGTGCCTCCGACGCAATTGTCGATTGCGTTCGGCTTGCAAGACGAGATGCTCCTTCATCCCAATTGGATCCTTTTTCCGACTCTTATAGCCGCCTACCCTCCGAGGGATGCGCGAACCTCGGATGGAAGAGGCAAGGGGACTAGGACTCGGTCTCAGCGATGTGCCGCCCAATCGCTGGATCGATGCAATGGCAGATCCCGATGGGACCAGACTGCTCTCGCGAGCGTCGGAGAGAACAGAAGGGCTTCTGCCCATGGAGTGCGCCCCTGATGAATGGAGACGAGCTGGTGGGCCTTGGGGAATGTGTCCCGCTGATTTTCGCGGTGCTCGTGGATGCGAAAGGGGAGGAGGTATCTCGGTCAAAGCTGGTCGAGGGATCAAGGAAGCTTTGCGCGGCAGTCCTGGCCTGACCAGAGGCAGACGAAGGTCGACCTCGTCACCAGTATCTCCAGTCAAGTCGATCGCCCCTCCTGCTGGTGCTGTTGTGTTGCTAAGCAGCAGCGCTGGGTCGAAACGGTTTTCTTGATCGGAATGCCCGCTCGGTGAGCTTTGGTGATCTTCGCTCCGAGGCTGTTCAACCTCGTTCTCAGATCGGGACTCCGCAGATGAGCTCGCGCCTGCTCGGTGCTGCTCAGCGCTTTTCAAGATTTGTCGTCCCGTGTCAGTGTCATCGAAGGCAGGTCCGGTGAGAAGGTCAGAAGAAGGAAGCTCATTCTCCTCCACATCGCCTTTGCCATTCTGCCTAGCATGCAAGATTACAGACTCCTCTCCTTCAGCGACGGGCACGCCCGCAGCGTCCACCGCATCTGCAATCGCTTCGGAGGCGACCTGCGATGCTCTACCAGCCCAATTAGCCAACGTCTGTGAAGCGGACTCGGAAAGGCTGCGGAGAGAGCCCGTGCGACGCACACGTTGCGCTATGGGCGTCGTCGAGGATAGTCGCGGTATCAGAATACTTTCGTCCTCTTCCTCGTCTTCCTCGCCTTCCTCTTCATCCTCTCTCGAACCTGTGCCGGCTGCCCCAATTTGATGTGTCGAAGGCCCACGCTCGTGAGGTGAAGGTTCCGCCTCGCCCTCGACCTCGTGCTCGACTGGACGCACACGGTCACTGATATCCGCGGAGAGGTCCGGATACAACGCGCTGCTCGTTCCGACAGCCTCACGACCGTTTGCGTGCGCTTCGAGATGTCCATTACTCTGGGTCGAGAGGTCCGGGTAGAGAGGCGACTTGCTACCGGTGGTCGCTAATCGATCTTGATCTTCGCTACTGTCGCTCAAAGCACCATTGACATCTCCGCTCGACTCGGTAGCAATCTCGGCTTGCGCGCCCGATTTCGTGGCAGAGACAGCTGTGGTGTCGCCACTGACCGACGCATCGCCCGAAGTTAGCGTCACAGAAGCAGGACCTGACTCGGCATGTGCAGCACTCGCAAGCGCACTGCCGGATCTCTGCGGTACGCGTGAACGCATCTTGTTGAAGCGGGGACTTCGAGTGTGCGGAGACAAGGCGCTGACCAGCTTGGCAGGCACCGGCATGGACAAAGAGTCTGAAGCCGCGCGCAAAGGCGATTCCGAGGTCGATTCGTTCGCTGCCTGGCTTGCGAGAGGCGTTGGAGCGTCCTGTGTGAGGATGCTTGGACGAGATGAAGTGGAAGCGATGGCCTCTTTTGCGGCGTTTGCCTCCATGATTTCACCCGGCGCTTCAAGCACGTGTTCCCCCAACGTCTGAGCGGACCCCGTCTCTCCTGCCGCCAAGTCCGCCTGTTCACCGTCTGGCAGCTCCTCGTTGTCTTTCTGATTCAGCGGGTGAGCGTGGACCACATCCAACGATGGTTCGCGGTGACCATTGGCGAGTGTAGCTGGGTCCTCGATCGATGGAACTTCCTCCTGTGTAAGCAGCCCTCCCTCAAGCTGTTCTTGATGCGTAGCTACATCACCATCATCATCTGTGGCAGGGTCGTCGTCTCGTGCATCCCGGTCCGCTCCCTCCTCTCCCGCATGGTGAGCCTCAGAGCCTTCAGGCTCGCTAGTTCCATCGCCAAGCGGCTCATCGTCACCTGATCCATCATCATCCGCTTCTCGATGCCTATCCAGCTCGACATCTTCCGACCCTGATTCGCTCTCCTCTTCCTCTTCAGGTGCATTTCCGATCAAAGACCTCTCCACCTCGTCGATCTCCTGCTCATCGATGTAGCTCAATTCTCCCTCTTCCTCCCTGCTCGTGGTGGGTGAATTACCTGCGCTCTGTTCATTGCTTGCCAGTCCAGAAGGAAAATGCACGCTCTTCTCTTCTGCCGCTATTGCTTCGTCGTCCTTGAACAGCTTTGCTATTTCTCGAACGCTAGGGGCAGGTCGTAAAGCAGGACGAGGTAGGGTTTGAGAGCCGGAAGGAGACGCGCCGCCCAGTGTCGCGAGGGATGGCGCGACTGATCGCATTTCCAAAATCCTTTTGGGACTTGTGCGTGAAGCTGCTGCCAAGCGGTTGACGTCGTCGCCGCTGTATTCCTCTCGACCTTCAGGAAGCGAATCTACACGCTGCCTTTTGCGTGGCGAGCCAAACTTGGAGAAGACGGAGCTCACTCGACTCGTGAATCTCCTCAACCTGCCGCTATTACCTTGTGAAGCACTTTGATCGGACTGCCTAGCGGAGTCAGCGTCCTGGGCACTAGAGGTGGTGTTAGCAAGACGAGAGGAGGCGAGGCTTAGAGCGCTGCTTGAGCCTGCGTTTCTCTGTGCGTAATCTGAGTTCGCTGCTGTTGTTGCTGCACCTTCAACTGTGGACTCGACGTCGAGCAGATTGGAAGTCTTGCGACGTCGCTTGACCATGTCGTACGTCCTGAAGTGCTGGTCGCGAATGATGATGTGTGATGTGGTGCTGGTAGCGAGCGAGTGCAAAGATCGAGGTCAAGGTGGACTTTGCGGTGGACTCAGACTCTGTTGCTTTCGGACCCAGCGCGGGCGACAACAATGATCGCTTGGATCGCAGTCGCAGTCGCAGCTGCACCTTCACCTACTACTGGGATCGAGTGGGTTGATGGTGTGTCAACGAATACGCATATCCGTCTGCATGCTTGTGTAGCGTTCATCAAGCTAAATTGTGGATAAGGTGATGGTCGAAGCGGTTGTGGCCCCTAAAACAAGGCATCTTTTGGGAACGCGTCGTCCATCTGGGGATGAGGATGTGATTTGATTCGCGATTCACGAGTCAGTGTGCATATGCGGAAACGCGATCAGACCGCGCGCGTCCTCCCCTCACGTGTTCTCGCCTTCGCAAAACTTCCCGACGCGCTGCGATCATGTGCGCTGCGAAGAGGCGTGCTCGCGATTCCACCCACAGATCTTGGCTTGCATGTTCCTATTCGAATGTGAATGGCTGCTGACGTCAATCACGAGTCATGAGTGCGAGTGTGAATCAAGGTGAATCGCTGGCTCCAATCAAAATGATCAAAGCGCTTTGACTAGCATCATCATATTGATCCTTCGCTCTCCCACAACTCCCTGACAAGCCTTGAGTCTCTGCCACCAATCAGCGATATTTGACAAACGGGCACGCACTTGCGATTGCCAGATCGACACTCTCCACACACACCATGTCCGTCGGGCGCACCTTTTCTCATCTGCGTTCCGCTCATCCATTCATCCCAGCGAGACTCCAAGCAAGTTCGTTCGCAATCAGCAGCAGCATCGGGCTCAGCATGACATCCACTGCACCCTCAAGCGGCGCTTCTCGCGCTCTGAGCTCCAGCAGCTCCACTTCCAACAACAATGCCCTCGGCGTAGCATCAGCCAAATCTGGTCCGGCATTCATCACCAACGCTCCTCCCGTCTCTGGTTTCATCGGGGCGATAGGCAACACACCTCTGATCAGACTCAACGCTCTTAGCGATCGTATCGGAGCTAATGTGCTGGGCAAAGCTGAATTTCAAAATCCTGGTGGGAGCGTCAAAGATAGGGCTGCCCATTACCTCATCTTGAATGCCGAGGAACAAGGTGCGTCTTTCTGCAAGCACGAGATGGCGGGAAGGGCGATGGTAGATTGAGCAGGCAAAGCATCAAGTTCGGGTTCATTCACACTCTTCTCCCCATTGCAGGCCTGGTCCAGCCTGGCGGCACCATCGTGGAGGGCACAGCGGGTAACACGGGTGAGCTGACACATTCGCTGATCAGCATCGCAGCCCCTTCTGACCTGATGAACCATCTCGCTCGTCTTTGCATCGATTGGTCCGATCAGGTATCGGCCTTGCACATGCTTGGTGAGCATCATCATCATCATTGATCATGGACAAAGATCAGCGCTTATTCGTGGTGCTCGATCAGTATGCTGACTGTTTTTTTGCGCGCCTGCCGATTTGGACAGCCGCTCCAAGGGATACAAGTGCGTGATCTACATGCCCAACACACAGAGTCAAGAGAAGATCGATCTGCTTCGAATGTTGGGTGCAGAGGTGTACCCGGTGCCAGGTCAGTGGCTCGCATGGTGCGCAATTCTCTGTCCTCGATGCAAGACTCTGACGAGACCGCCCTTCTGTTCCCAATCTGATCTTTGTCGCGGCCCAGCTGTACCGGTGTCGGACGATATGAATTATAATTGGCAAGCCAAGAGGCACGCCGAAAAGTTGGACAATGCAGTGTGGACCAACCAATTCGACAATCCTGGCGGTAACAGGCGAGCTCACATCGAGACGACTGGGCCAGAAATATGGTCCCAGACCAACGGTGGTAATTTGGACGGCTTCATCTGCGCTACGGGTACCGGAGGAACGCTAGCTGGCGTGACGCGTTATCTTAAAGAGAAAAGCCAAGGTCGCATTCAGTGTTGGTTGGCCGATCCTCCTGGATCGGTTCTTCATTCGTACATCCAAAGTGGCGGAGAGCTGCTAGAGAGATCAGGAGGAAGCATCACGGAGGGCATCGGACAAGGACGAGTGACGGAGAATCTCAAGCCGGATATCGGCTTGATCGATGGTAGCTTGCACATCGAGGACGAAGCGAGCATCGAGATGGTCTATAGAGCGCTGGACGAGGAAGGTCTTTATATTGGTGCTTCTTCCGCTCTCAATGTGGTAGCTGCTGCAAGGATGGCCGAGAAGCTGGGCAAGGGATCCACGGTGGTCACCATCCTCTGCGATGGTGCTTATAGGTGCGTAGCGCGCAGCGAGTGGTGCACTAGCACGTTGGCTAGACGGCCTAGACTGACTCTTTTTGTTACTTTTCGCCGTCTTTACTTTATGCTGCACCTCTTGTTGAGCGCAGATATCAAGCTAGACTCTTCAGTCGCAAATGGCTGGAATCCAAGAATCTCGTCAAGGCCATTCCCGAGCACTTGCAAAAGTACATCGTATTGGAGTAAGGATACCGTCCGAAGGCCCAAGAAGAGGCAAATTGATCGAAAGTCGCTTTATGGAGAGAAGCAGTTGAGAAGAATTTAATGCGCCGGAATGCATGCATGGTGAATTTGCCGAGCTCGTGATTCTTGACACTCGGTCGCTCTAGGTCGATGCTGCGAGTCGATGTGCAAAAAGCAGTGCCTTGCACTCGAAAGATGAGGTCTGTTCTGCGGCAAACAAGCGGCCTGTTGCGCGGTAACAATCTGTGGGATAAGCAAATCGATGAAATGTAAGCTCCTGAAAAAGGACATCGGCGCGCCACATTTGTTGACGCGGACGTGAGTAACTGAGCTTTTGCAATTTTACAATCGCGTCGGTCTGCCCGCTCTTTGTTGAGCACGCGAACCATTGAGAAAGGGTTCGGTGATATGAGTTGAGAGCGGGTGATGGGGTGATAGGAGTGATAGAGAGGAGCCGATCAAACCGAGAAGTTCGAAAAACTCACCGTCGATTTCGTTTGAGAATTTTACCGGTGGAAATTCCACCAGCTTTTCAGCTCGCGCGAACTCGAAAATTTGACAAAATTTCGCAGACCGACCAATCCTTCCTGGCTATCCAGAGGCAAACAGAACTGCCTCTATTCCTCCAACCTCGCCCTTTCCGCTTCCCATAGGCGATACAGCTTGGCTCTGCGAGCTCCATTCGCGCTGGGAAGACTAGCCGTTTTGAACAGACTTTCAAATACTCGCGCCCTCAGATGTTCTCCTGCGTCCAAAGTTGCTTCGCCACCGACCGAACTTTTGATGATTTCAGGATGTGCCAGATCCTCTTCCTCTGTTGATGACGAACGCTCCTCGTCTGGAGCGGAACCTAGCACAAGGCAATCGGCAAGCACCGGCTCGACGACATTCTCGTATAGACGCGTGTAGACCGTTGCATTATGCGTCGTCGCGATCGTATCGACGAATGGTCGCAATAGAAGAACGAGCGGTGTGACCGGGCGACTCTTGCTGATCGCAGCATGTTCCACTGGTTCTTTGGCCGGTGGGCTCGACTCTCGACCAGCCGCTGTGAGTGCTCGCTCGAGCTCGTCAAGGTAAATATCCGCTAGATGATAGGCAATGCTGTCCGGCACTTGTGGATTGTTGGTGCTGTTCGACGAGGTGCAAGCGTGACGAGTCAGCTCTCTCTATCCTATGCGCCGGTCGAGCGAGGGCAATTCACTCGAGGCAACCTCCAGATTTGCGCATTATCTTGTACAGCTCGTCGACGGTGGCAGCATCCCATCGTTCTCTCTCCACCAACCTCAAGCCAGCGTTCAGAAATCGTCTGAGTAGAAGATAGAACTTATCCATACTGCGAAGCAAAGGCAAGTGAGTGCGTGAGCACTTTCAGGTTCACAAGGAGCAGAAAAAAAGTCTGCATTCGCACCGCCCGATGAGCAAACTCACCGCCACTTATCAAGCGCCGACCATTCCCTGATCATGGCATCCCAGAAGCCGTCGAGAAAGGCGAGAGCGGGTGCGCATCGAGGTTCTGGTAAAGAAGCTTGTTCAGCATCAACCTCTTCCGCATCGCCGGGCTCTGTGGGAGGTATAGCAAGTACGAGATCCGCCAATTCTTGGGCCAGTGCTTGCTGCACTCGAGGTTTGTCCGACATCCAGAAACCTGGCAGGTTGAGGAGCCGCGGTCGTTGGTCAACCAGATGGAAATCGAGCCGCGCTGACGCTTCCGGTCTTTTCCTTCTTGCTGTCTCTCTGAGGATCCAAGATTTGCAGCAGCTTAGCCGGCCTACTCACAATAAAAGATGCCCTTCCACAGCTTGGCCATCTCATCCGCGGGCAGAGCATCTCGACCTCTCCGTTGAGTCAAGAAGCTCGTGAGGCTTTGACAAGCTTGATCTCTTGTTCGCTTGTCTTTATCACATTTTGTTTCCGTCATCAGCTGTCAATTAATGCGCGCAAGGGAACATATGAGGCCACAAGACTCACCTGGGGAAGCCAGGTAACGACCTAAAGGCAGCTCTGCGCTCGAAGAAGGTGCCTCTGACGAATACTCTAGTCTCCGCTTCTTGTTTCGACTATCCACTGGACTTGCGCCCCTCCCAGGAGAGCTCGTAGCTTTCGCAGACATTTCGTGCTGACTGCGAAATGCGCAGAGGCTTTGAGCTGCCGATTACTATCGCTCAAAAGAGGAAAAAATTGAAAAGGCTGCGGATATGACGAGAGTGTTGCAAGTGCGTCGGCTCTGAGTGGTTGTGGAGATGGACTCGCAGAGCGGTCACTATTCTGGGTGCAATGTCGTGGTGGTGGCATGCACAGGTGGCTGTCTTGATTTCTTCTTGAGACGAACTGCATCGCTCGAAAAAATCGCTCCCGCGTGCACGGCACGCGTTTTGCACAACGTGCTGCAGCAGCCTGCTGCATGATTTTTTTTCTTGCAAAGATGGAAAAAAGTGCGATGAGGACGCGCGCACGCGAACGACACCACTCGACTTTCGCGTCCCACTGACACCTAAATGTGCGAAGCCATCTTGGTGCTGACCTTCAAGAAACATTGATTGGCCTTGACTCACCTGGCAACAGAGCTGAAGCATCCTGGCACCATTGCAAAGCGGCTGCCTCGTTCCCAGCCGCTAGAGACAATCCATTGGGATGCCCACCAAGACAGGGACGTCTCAGTACGAAAGCTGTGGCCCTGAACAACGCTCAGGATAAGCATGCCTTGACAACAGTCAGAGGAGCCTGGTGCAGAGTAGTCAATGAGCTGTGTTCTTAGTGGTTGGCCTAAGCAAGCTTTGCTGTGTTCATGCTCAGTGGACTGCCTCAAAAGTTTACACGTTCCAAGCTTTTGTGAGGCAGCCTGGAGCAGTCGACAACATGGTCACATCAGGACCAAATGGCAGGGACAAAGCCTGGGGCAAAGCAGAAGGAGTGTTCCCTCCCCCTCTGACTTGGCAGGGTGTGTTCACAGGGCTGGCTAGACAGACCCACAGAGTACTGTTGGGTGCAGGTGGCCCTCCTTCAGGTCTACATGATGGAACCCTTTGTAGGGCTTCACAGATCAGTCTTCAACCTGCCTTGACTCGAGAAGCAATTGTTTGTCCTTCTTGGCAGGACTACCAAAGCCTTCACTAGAGCAGAAAAGGCTGGCACTCATTGGGCTGAAGAGAAGCACTTACTGAGCTCAGCTCTGTGCATACTCAGTGCCACCCTTGAAGGTCTTTATGGATAACTCTTGAGCTGGTTGTTCATGATGCCAGCTAAGGAATCCACACTTTCCAGAAAGGACATGTCCTCTACTGAGCTTGCTTAAGTGCTTCCAGCCTCACTGGGCTTCATATTGTACCTGCCATCCCTACAACACACATTGGTGGCGCCACTTTGGGGTGAGTAGATCAGTCAAGTTTGTCCTGGGAAGGAGAGGGACACAGGCGACCTGTGGAGAGGCTCTGCACCACTTTTGTGGGTGTTATGACTTGGCAAAGTGCAAAAGACCAACTGCACACTTTTTTGGTCATTGAGCGCGCATTGTGTTTGTGCTACCATGCTGTCTCTGCCACCCATATCTTTTAGTCCCTCACCGCTTCACCCCTATTAGCACTCTTCTGTTTCCACCTTCCAATCTCTAGCATCTGAGACTGTACTGGCATGCTGCTGCTCTTCCATTGCCTTTTGACCTCCAGCTCAGCAAACAACATCTGTCTCCACAAACGTCCCCCAACAACATCTGTCCATTTGCCTCGCTACTCTGTCAACACCACTCTATTCTCCTCCTCCTTCTTTGTCCCCCTCTAGCCGCATTCTCGAGCCACCTTTGGGGAGTAAACAGGTCCCAAACTTTGCCTCAAGGATCAAAGATCCTACCTACTTGACAAGGGCTTGCCTTTTCTGACACCATCTCTTTGCCACTATGCCTCTGCTGTCAGCGTGTCACTACAGATACACTCCTTTGCTGTCTTTTTTCTCCCCCAAAGATTGGATCCCTGGCGCCTCCTTTGGAAGAATCCATCCTGCGCCAATGGCAGCAGCTGTCAACGGTACACAACTTCTTCATGGACCTGTGCTTGGTCCTACCTCATCAATGAGTGGCTCATGCTGCCAGAACGGCCTGTCAGTATGCCTCAGACAGTCTTTGACAGCCAAGTTGATGCAACCTGCCACCTTTGTTAGGCGTGCCTTGCAAATTCAACAAGGAGCTGTGCCTCCAACATGGAGCAAGAGACCACTTGCTTGCTCCAGACAGAACAGCTTTTGGACGCAACTTGCAGGTTCCTCCAGCAGAACATACATCACTGGAGGGGACTCACAGCCAAGGCCTTCTATTACAATCAATCTGATCCAGAAGCTCAAGGCCTCTGTTGCCATCATGACGACAACAAGTCTGCGCACAACACAGCAGGATCTGGTCAAGAGCCAGAGCAAGAGCAAGAGCAAGAGCAAGAGCAAGAGCAAGAGCCGCAGGCGGAAGAGGAAGAAGAGGAAGACGAGGAAGTGGACAATGATTGCGCAAGCAATTCCTCTGCTGGACGACATTATGGAAACCATGAGGGGGACTGGTCACCTCAGTCCGAAGCCCCAATCCCTCATGGGCCATCAGTGCGGCTGGCAGCAGGATCACGGGGAGATCTGTCGTGCGTGCCTTGCAAAGTCGACAAGGCACCGTGCCAACAATGTGGAGCAAGAGACCACTCGCTTGCTCCAGACAGAGCGCCTCTCAAACGCGACTCGCAGGTTCCTCCAGGCGAACATGCGTCACTGGAGGGGACTCACGGCCGAGGCCTTCTATTATGATCAATCTGATCCAGAAGCCCAAAGCCTCTGTTGCCATCATGACGACAGCAAGTCCGCGCACGACACAGCGGATTCTGGTCAAGAGCAAGAGCGAGAGCAAGAGCAAGAGCAAGAGCCGCAGGAGGAAGAGGAAGAAGAGGAAGAAGAGGAAGAAGAGGAAGACGAGGAAGTGGAGAATGATCGCGCAAGCGATTCAGACTTCTCCGCGGGCGACGAGTTTTTCCGCTACTCCGACTCCGACAACTCCGACAACAACAACTCCAACGACGACGACAGCGACGATGATCCGGACCACGAGGATCTCTCCTTGGCAACGCGAGGAGCCGTCGCCGTCCGCTCACGTCGTCCGGCCTTACCACAGGCTCCAGTTGCCGTCGCCGTCCGCTCACGTTGTCCGGCCTTACGACAGGCTCCAGTTGCCGTTGCCGTCCGCTCACGTCGTCCGGCCTTACGACAGGCTCCAGTTGCCATCGCCGTCCGCTCACGTCGTCAGGCCTCGCGACTGGGTCCAGCTGCCGTCGCTGCTCCTCCTCCTCCTCAGCCCTCCGCACCAGCGACTCGACAACGGGAAGACACAACCGAAGGCCAAACTCCTGCTGCTGCCACCAAGCGCAGGCGCTTCGTCCCGTCGTCATCGCCAAGCCTGGATGCAGGCCCATCGCATCAGGCTCGCTCGCTGGCTCGTCTCTTGCCTTCTTCGCCCATCTCGGATGCTAGCCCACCGCATCTGGCTGGTCCGCTGGCTCACCTGCTGCCGTCGTCCTCGCCAAGCCCTCACGCAAGCCCCTCGCACCCGGATGATTTGCTGGAGGCTCTTATGCCGTCCTCGCCCATTCCGGCGGCTGGACCCAGCTCTCAACATCTGGGCGCACAGGGGATGTCCACTCAAGGCATCTCCCCGTACAACTTTTTGCGTGCGGGCACCACCTTTGCCTGCCGGACCAAGCTCATTGATTTGGGCGTTGGTGTAGTCAAGGTGGTTGTGGGCTTCATGGTTGGGCACAGCAACAACTTTCTGTTGCCTGACGCAGCCAAGAGGCTCCATTTTGCCTTGTTTGGAGCGCACACTCAGTTTGAAAAGACGTTCAAGCTCCGCTTCAAGGCAGTCCACCAGTGGAAGGGAAAGGGAGAGGGGGCGTGCCAGAAATGGAGAAGGATTAAGAAGAGCAGGAAGAGTACAAGCAGGAAGAGTACAAGCAGGAAGAGTACAAGCAGGAAGAGTACAAGCAGGAAGAGTACAAGCAGGAAGAGCACAAGCAGGAAGAGCACAAGCAGGAAGAGCAGGCTGGAAGAGCAGGCAGGAAGAGCCGCGCTCAGATCCTTCAGCAGAGGCGCAGGAGCAGGAATAGCAGCACTCAGGTCCTTGAACAGAGGAGCAGGGAAGCCCAGGAGGGGCAGCACTCAGATTTTTCACTGGGGAAGCAGGGAGGGGCATGAAGAGCAGGTGCACAAATAGCAGTGCTCAGGTCCTTTGGCACAGGAGCACAAAGAGTAGTGCTCAGGTCCTTTGGCACAGGAGCAGGAGCAGGAGCATGAGCATGAGCATGAGCATGAGCATGAGCATGAGCATGAGCATGAGCATGAGCATGAGCAGGAGCATGAGCATGAGCATGAGCATGAGCAGGAGCAGGAGCAGGAGGAGCAGGAGCAGGAGCAGGAGCAGTAGCAGGAGCAGGAAGACCAGAGCAGGAACAGCAGAGCAAGAGCAGGAACAGTAGGAGCGCGAGCAGAAAGAGCAGTGTTAAGGACCTTCAGCGGAGCTTACATTGCTGCCTGATGACTGAGGGATACCTTGGATAAAGCTGCTTTCAAAAGCTGCCTTCAAGGCCGGCATGCTTGACATCATTAGGGGAGAGTCAAGATGACTCTAAAGCCCCTGTGGGGCGCCACAGATCAGGAAGCGACCTGCAAATACTCTCAAGTTCCGTCCCATCCGCCTTGAGCATTTGAAGAAGCATGATGCGCTGCGGCCTTGCTCCGGTTTGTTCCTCTTTTCGGTTCCAGGGGCACTGCCTCCGCAGAGAAACCTTCTTCGTGATCTCAGCCAGTCTCCCCCTCCCATCTTGCACTCCACTGCTACTGCTCCCACCACCAGAATCCTTTCCTCCGCAAAAAATGCCACCCCCACCCCGCTTTGTCTTGGGCTCAGCACCGCTGACACTTCCCCTTGAGGACAACCTTCTCCCACTCAATTTCTCCTTTCACCGTCACCGCCAGCTCCAGCGCCACCACAACTCCTCCTTTTTCTCCTTTGCCAACTCCATCACCACCACTCTTCATTGAGGACGACGTTTCCAGTAGGGCAAGCCCGCTACAAGCCTTCCTTTTCTCCTTTGCCAACCCCATCACCGCCGGATTCGACGCACCGACTACAGAAGAAGCTGCCATACAAGCCATGGAGGCCAGGCTTGACATCCGCCTCCAGCTCACCAACGGGGATGAAGAGGACAAAGAGGACGAGGACGAAGAGGACAAGGACGAAGAGGACGAGGTTGGTGAGATCGACGCCAATCATGCCAGCAATGGAGATTACTCGCCTCCAGACGACTGGATGATCGACGACGTCAACGACCAGGACGACGACGATGATAATGAAGATGGTGGCAGCTCGGACGACGACCTCTTGGAAGAGACCTCTGCGATGCTGGCCACTTCTCGTTGTGGGGATCGAACCTCAGCGCCATCGTCAGAGGCATCGTCTGATCTCTCCGACGCACCATCGTCTTCAGCAACATCAACCAGGCAACGCACCGAGACCGAAGGCCAACTTCCTGCGACCAAGCGCAGGCGCTTCGGTCTGACCGACGCTTCCTCGTCGTTGCGCGTATCGACATCCGGCCTCGGTTCGTCCTCCAACCTGCTGCCCTCTTCGCCGATCGTGGCAATGTCCTCTGCAAGCACGGCTGCGGTTGCACCTTCCGCTGGCCAGCCGCCTCCACCGCCTCCACCGCCAGCACCCCTCGCCATTTCCGCACACTTGGCGAACGGTCAGCAACCCCCCGCCGTTCACCTGCCTGCGGGGACCGTGTTTGCCTGCCGAACCGATCTGGTCGTTGGGGCTCGTCGACCTGTGAAGGTCGTAGTAGGGTTCAGGACTGGCCATGTGCACCATTACATAGCGCCTGAGTCTGTCCAAAAGCTCATGGCCTGGTGCACATCGGAGCAAACCCTCTCCTTGCGCTTCACTGCGCGCAGTACCTGGAAGGGAGCCGAGGCAGTTGCACTGCGCAAACCTGAGCCAATCGGCCTCAAATTCCGCGTACACAACTTTGGAGCACAGCACAGGCAATACCTCACATGGCCCGACTGTGCCCCATACACAAAGAAGTACAAGCTCGACGTTATACTCGGCTTGGAAGCTCTGTGTGCAGCGGTATTTGAATCGAGCGGATCGTACTATCTGCGCACGGATTGCAACATGCTGTTGTCGCGAGTGGCAAAGCTTCCTCCACGGTGAGCAGAGTCCATCCATTGCGTTTGGACACGCAAATATCACGCTATTACTATCCCCCTTACCCAGACGTCGCCTTCGCCTTTGCCCGTATGGTTTATCACCTGCACACTAGAGTCAGGGTGATGCTCAAAGTTGGCAGAGCCTACCTCCGTACCAATCGGCGTTGCGCTGTCGACGCAAATGGTAAGGCTTCCTTTGCTTCCCTCCCAACCCCAACTGCCTATAGATGTTTGCCTTGCGCACACAGATATTACACTACCGTCCCTACTAGCTAGCTGCTGCCCTTGCTCATTCCCTGCAATGCTACAAGTAGAGGGAAGTTAAAAGAGCAGCAGAATGTTGAGCACGTTTGCAGCGACCTCACAAAGCGCCTTTGCAAAGAAGTGATGTGCATATCATGTAGCTTTCTTTGACTGTCAAGCTTGCCCAGATCGGCCCATATCGGCCCAAGCATTGAAAATGATCAGAGCATATGGACTCCGTCCAGTGCAGAGCAGATGGCTTGCGTCGAATGCGTTGAAGCTGCGCATAGCTTTGACATTCTTTTTCCAGGCCCAAGCTCTCTAGTAAGGGTGGCTAGAGAGGAGCACAAATGTCCGAGGCTGCTTCTGGACGTACTCTGAGTAAAGCACTGTAGCAGCGTAGCCTTCCCTGATGGTCATGCTTTGGCTGCGGCCCAGCGCTGCAACGTTTAGAGTGCCCCTTCGTGATCATGCCAAGGATTGCAAGGGGATACAGTCTCGGCTTCGCGGTGATTTTCTTTCTGGCCTTCACAGCGTCTTGAAGCGGGCCCGTCACGGTTCAAAGCTCCCAATGTAGCCTGAGGGATGTGCGCGCCGTCCAATCAAGGTAGAGCTCGCACTATGCTGGGTGACTGAGAGAGTCAACTCTGGCAACACATGCAGACCACCCTGCTAGCTCTGCACCGCTTAGAGAGGCCAATACCTGCCCGCAAAACCTGCTCTTCCGTAACCTTTGCATCAGGTCTCCCTTAGACATTATACATTGATGGAAGGAGGGTTGAACAGCAGGAGTTGAGGAGTGTTGGATTAATGCAAGGATTGTCTAGGAAGGATGCTAGAGTCTTGCGCACTTGGCACAAGAGAGACGGATAGAAGTGATCGTTGAGGTCAAGCCTTATGGTCCTCAGTGTGTTGATCAAGAAGACAAAGAGAAGAACGAATGGCATATACATTGCCAGACTTGCAAGTCCATCTGAGAATCAGCCCACCCAGGTGATGAGCCCAACGTGATGAACAAATGCTGCTTCAGAAACAAGTCCCTGCATCGGTATTCCTCTGCTACAAAGTCAGGAAGCTCGGATAGGCCGTCAGCTGCCTCAGATAGAGACGGAGTCAGAAAGCCTTCAGCCAAGGATAAGCTTTCTCGAGACACCTCAAACACACCCAGGAACTGGTACCACCAGGTGCGGCACGCCTCGATTGGAATCTGAAAGACCCAGGTGGCCAGTAGCAAACTCTGTCTCATGTCTGCGCTACTAGCTGAGCACCTCACAGAAGGCTAAAATCAATCTGTCAATCAAAGAGTGATGGCTGAATCCAGGCTGGAAGACTACCTGACAGGACTTGAATGTCAAGCAGCCGTCTACGGTTGTGTGGGGCCTAAGCATAGGTCCACACAGCAAGACTAAGAAGAGATGGGATCGCACAAATTCAGTAAACCCTCCTTCCTCGCTTGCCAAGCTCATTGGATCTTACTTTTGTTGGGCACTGCTGAGTGTGCTCCAAGAGCCAACTCAACACCACATAGAAGACTCACAAGAATGAAGTTGAGCTATTTGAGACAGCACAGGACCTCTGGGCACACATGGCACTGTTGATCATCATCTATGCTGGATCAGGGATCACCTAAATTGTGACATTTTGTGAAAGTTCATTGAGCTACATGAATTGTACAAGCCCATTTGGTTGCCATGTCAGTGAGGGTAGTGGAAGACTTTCTGCGTACAGAAGCTGTCAGCACTTATGCATGCAAGTGTACATGCCACGCCTGGCAGGGCTCAAGCCAAGCCTGACCCATGCCAGACCTGACGTGACCTTCTTTCAGTTCTGAGCCACAAAAAAGCTGGCAACTGAGCCATAAGTCAACGTGGAAGTCAGTTGAAGGCAATCTGAAACACTTGGATGCAATTGAGCAAAGAGGAAGGGCCCCTAAACACACTCCTCAAGCCTTGAGGCACCTGGCCCACTTCATCAAGACTCACAAAGTGACAAATGCCAAGTTGATTGCCAACATGGCCAGCACATCAGAGGTACATTTCACACAGTACATGGTGCTCAAAGTGATGAGGGAAATGGGTCTCAATTGGCATATGGCAAGGCACTCCACCTTCCTGAACAAGGCACACAGGACGCAGAGGGTGGATGATGCTCAAAAGTACCTCAAACAAGATTGGGGTCAGACAGCCTTCACAGATGAGACCACATTGACTAACATGCCTTCAAAGAGCACAAGAGTCTGGTGCAAACCCAATGAAGCATGGCTGGAAAGGGATGTCAAACCTAAATTCACCAGCAAGAGGCTCTCTATCATTGTCTGGGCTGGCATCAGCAAGCATGGACAGCATCCACTGTAAAGTACCTCAAAGAAGGGTGGTGTGAATGCCACCATTTATAGAGAGCAGATCCAGAGACTACCTCACAGGTCTTGGGATGATAGGAGGTCATCCTAAATTGGTGGAGGACAATGCTTCGAATCAGCTCAAGAAACTCAGAGAGGAACCCAAGAATGAAGATGAGCTCTTTGAGGAGGCACAAATGCTCTGGACAAACATACCACAGTCTTTGGTAGACAGATGCATCTACAGTTGGGAGAGTAAATTGAAAGCTGTCAAAAGAACTAGAGACTTTGCTCCACACTATTGATATCTGGTACACAAAACACATCTACACGTTCCTTAATGTCTTTGCTCTGTGCTCTGAAAATCTGATGTAGATTGCACCAATATTGATAGAGTTACAGCTGTTTGAGGAATGAGGGATGTGAGGGTGGCCTCATGAGGTGTTAACCTTTTTTACATGTGCGTGTGCTTGTGCGTGGGGTGACCCGCGTCTGCTGGAGTGGCGCCTTCCAGTCACGTGCCGGCGTTCATATTGCGCTGCACCGCCCGCGTCGTCACTCGCGCGCGACCCTGCGCGTGTAGCTGGCGAAGAAAAGCGCGGCGGTGCGCGATGAATCTTCGTCGGCGCCACATCTCGCCTCGCCGCTCTACGCCGTCCACTCACGCAAACCTCTTCCTGCTTGCCGTCTGACTGTCACCACCTTTCGTGTCTGCTTGGATACGACTACAAACTCTCCCGCAAAGCTCTTCTCCCCTCTGTACGGCGCGCATTACTCGCCGACTGTGTGGTCAAATTTTGCACATTTGCCTCAAGACACCATCTACGCCAGTATGGAATACCGACCGGACTATAGCCACGATCCCTTTGAAAGTGAAAGGACGCACTACCCTGGCGGTGAGTGGTACGGTGTGGACTCACATCAGAAGCATACCTGTGTATATCGCGGGGACTAAGTGCTGATACCATGACTCGCTCGCTGCACACAGATCCTCGGCCTCTCAAGCGACGTCTTTCGCCAGTCCATCCTTTTTCGGGAGCTGATACACACACTGCGGCGGCTCGCGGTCACTCTCCTTGGGGCCAGGAAGGCGGTTGGGGCCAGGAAGGCGGCGAAGAGGTTGTGAATGGCTTCCGAATCGACCCAACACGCAAAGATCCAGAATATCTTGACTGGATAGACCGCCAGCGCGCCAAAGAAAGAGCTGCCGCAGCAGCGAGCCCTTACGACCGCTACCCGCTGCGTGGAGATGACAGAGAAAGACTGGACTGGGAGCGTGAAAGAGATACACGAGAGTGGGAGCGGACGCGGGATCTCTACGATGACCAGTATCGCTTCGATCCGAGGATAGGCGGGGATGGCGAACGGTATGCGCCGAAAGCGCGTGTGGATGATGAATGGGACCGGACTTCGCGCTTTCATGGTGAGTGCTGGTGCTCGTCACAGCACGAGCAAAGGCCTGATTTGTCCGAGCGCTCAGCCTCGACAACTTGCGCGTCATCTACAGACCCCTACGCTGCAGGGTATGGGGGTCGTGGTCCAGCTGCCGGAAGCGGCCCTCGTGAGCCGGTGTGAGTGCCCGACGAGCTTTGGCGAGAACTCGACAGCGCTAATTTGTAAGGTTTCTGTGATGTGCCACTTCCCCGCAGCCGCTTCGACCCCTTCGCGTTCGACTACCTGCTGCCCTTTAAGCGCTTTGCGCAGATGTTGCGGGAAGCAGCAGACCCAATCGCTGCCTCTAACACGCCGCAGGCCAGTGCAGAGCTTTACGAGAAGTACCAAAAGTATCGAACGGACTTTCAGCGCAAAGCAATGCAACGCTTCTTCAAGGAGCATAACAAGGACTTCTGGTTTGAAGAGAGATACGGACTCGCCGTCGCTGATGTGCAACGTCGACTGGATCGAAGGAGGAAGGGCAGAGAGGGTCGCAAAGAAAGGTGGTTGGGAGAACTTCGGGGCGGGTCGCTAGACAAGGTGGATTTCGAGCTTAAGCGTGAGTGTCGAGGCTTAACGACGTACTATAATGTACGATGGCTCACTCGATCATGTCCTCTGCTACAAGCCGCGTCTTCGCGCGCCCTTGAGGGCATCCCAGGTACTCTCGAGGAGAACGAAAAGAAGGGTTGGCTCATGTCGACTTCGCGCTCGGGGCAAGAGGAGGTGCTGCTCGATACGGAGCAGGCAAGCACACCTGCGCAACCAAATGAGGTGCTGCTACGTCTCATTCCACACGACTTGCCGAGGACACTGCTGGAAGAGGTGCTACAGGAACAAGTCGGCTTCAGGTACTTGGCGGTAGGGGAACCGCATCCAGGCAAAAAGTGGGGCAGGATGGGCTGGGCAGTGTTTGAGCCGGAGGCTGACCTTCACGCGATCACCGAAGCTCTCAATGCAAAGACAGTGAGTCGCGTTGCCCAGACGCTTTGCACGCTGCGTGCAGCGTAGTTGATCCTCGTTGCTGGCCCGACCTTACCCTACTCCCCTGGCTTAGATCAACGGCATCAAACTCGCCTTCGAGACCACGGATCGTGCCCCACACGCTCGGTTGCGCATCGCGCCTGCTCAAGCTTCCAGTCTAGCTCGGCTGGCGCACGATCTTCGGCAAGCTCGAGAGCTCGTCAGCTTCTTGCAAAAGCAGGATCGAGAGCTTGGAAGGCGTCACGCTGAGGATGCGGAAGATCAGGCTACCGGCGCAGCGCAAGAATGGCTCGATACTGATGCTTCAGTCGAGATCGACGCGCGATGCGAGGCAATTGGCAAAGGGCTTCAAGGACGCAGTGCGCCCGACATCCAGGAAGATGCCAAAGCCCAGGAGGTTCATGATGACGAAGAGGCTTCCAAGCCTCTACGCGATGCTGTGAGTCAACGCAACTCCCGGCTCGCAAGTTGCCTAGGCTCACCCTAGAGCGTTCGCGTCGACGCCTGCTAGCTGTGCAAACACCTTGATCTGCACCTAGATCTCCTCCGTCAGGTGTACCATTGTGATTACTACGCAAGCATCATTTGCGACTTTGCCGAAGAGCTCGTGAGGCGATCACCCAAACATTTGCGCAGAGCACGCGCGGTCTCCACGCAGGCGGAGAAAGGCTGGGGCGAGGCACTGGATTCGAGACATTGGCTGCTCGTCAACTCAGACAAGGCGAATCTGGAGTCCTATGGTGGCCATGATGTGCCGGAGTGAGTGCCGCGATTGCGATACGCCCGATTCCGCATTTCAGCAGACTAAGATTTCACACATGTCCACGCTTGCAACGTCCCGCGTATGATCAGAGAGCTCTTGAAGCTGGCAGCACCTTACTCGCAGCAAGATGAAGGCGAGAAGCACCGTTGCGTCGTACCCATCACGGGCCCGGACGGCGGCACTCAGCAGTGTAGCAAACCTTTCAAGGCAGCCAACTTTGTGCGCAAGCACGTGGTCAACAAGCACAGAGCATTCCTCGACGATGTTGCCGGCGAGAAGATAAAAGAAGTGCGTAGCATCAAGTTTCGCCTCACGACAGCAGAGACTCGGTAAATGTCACGAGCCGCGCACTGACAAACGCTTTGCTTCTGGCTTCATCACAGATGGAAGCCTTCAATTCGTACGTCGGAGATCCTGGCCGGGTAATGCCGGCACTCCAAGCCCGAGACGATCGCGGGCGGACCGGCCGTGGGCATGTGAGGGGTGATCTAGGAGGATCAGGTCAACTCGCGCAGCGGCTCGGAGGCATTTTGGGCGGTTTTGAGGATTCATTCCCATCCCACGCCCCAGCCGGCATCCATGGTGGGCCGCTCATCCGCCTGGGCGGCAGCACAATGGCCTCTGCAGATGTTGGCGGACGTGCGATTCGCGGCTTTCCGAGAAGATCAGAGTCTTACGTAGACGAACGGTACGCCAATGGTGCATTGGCGTTCTCGAATGGCGGTGTAGGAGATCTGAGCTCTAGGCTTGGCCCTCCTATGCCTCAGCAATCGAAGCCGAATAGCAGCCCTCCCACCGGCACCTTTCCAGCGCCGCTACCTCCCGCCCCCAAGCCTCTCGATCCCAGGGCCCGCAGAGCTCCGAACAAGTACGAAGACTTAGACAGCGCTCCCGGCGGGGCTGCGGAAGAGGCCGGCGAGTTGATTTTGGAGTATTGAAAGAGCGATAGCTCCGCAAAGTTGCAGGGTGTAGGAGGAGCCATGGCGCCTCAAAAACGCCTTTGCGGCATCCCTCTCACGCTCAAAGGTGCCGCTTCCATCGCAATTTCTATCCATCCACTTTGATGCCACACTTTCTCAGGAGGTCTGATCAAAAGCACGACGAAGAAGTGCGAAAGGGTTAAACGTGACATTACAATGAGATCAGGGTCCCACGAGCGATACTGCTACAAAACGCAAATGCCGACGCGCAGGTCAAGTTGGCATTTCTCGCGCTGCTTTATCGTCGGTCACCTTTGGCGTTTGATTGGACTTGAAACTTGTTTGGGGCTAGCATTGGAGCCCTGCTGAGTGGAGCTTCTGCTCAGGTTGAGTCTGCCTGCGTTCGCGTTGCCTCCTGCAGCCTCCCCTGGCGCACCCTTTCTCTTATTCGCAGCGTTGTCTGCGATTTGTCCACCAATACCAGCCCCCGCATCTGCCTCCCCACTGGCGGTCGGATCTGGGTGGGAAGAGGCGTCAGCGTTGATGGCGGCAGCTGGCAGGAGTGCGTAGTTACTGCCTGCTGATCCACCAGCAGATGACATTCGCTGCTGTTCCCTGAACTGCTGTGCTAGCTTGCGCAGACCCTCTGGAAAGGAGGCAGTTTTATGGCATGGTCAGCAGAGGGGAGACAATGTCATGCTTCCTGCAACTGGTACCAACCCAGGGGACCAATGTTCTCGTGCTGCGTGAAATCCATCAGTGCGCGAAGGTGACAGACGCTCTCTGTGATCTGATTTTGCGAGAGGCGTGCGTCAGCCGCTAGAGGCTGTACTCAACTCGGCATCAGGCACGTACCTCGAGACACCTCATAGCTCTAAGCGTGATACCATATTCGTTCACTGGGCTCTCTGGAAGATCGAGCTTTTCGACCGAGACGAAAAATGAATTGCTGCCAGGAGCTCCAGATGTAGTCTCATCGTCTCTGCTCTCGTTTTTTGTGCCGTTACTGTCTTTGTCTTCCTCCTTGACCAGTGCTGCTGTGGCTCCAGCGCCTTCAGCTTTGCCTCTGTCTTTCTCTTCCTTCTTACTTGCGGCGCTGGATTGCTTTCTCATCGGTTTCTTTGAAGTCTTTGCTCCCAATCCACCTTTGCTGTCCATCTCTCCCGCAGCATTCGAATCAGAAATACCATGGGCAGCGAGTATAGCCTGAATCGTCTCCTTGGGAATGCTTTGTTCCATCTTGACAGGGGATAGCATACCGTGCGACAAGTAACTCGTGTGCGAAATGCAAGAGTAATCGAACGACTCGAGCCTTAGTCTCACTTCATACCGATGCGGACCTTCTGAGCCTGCTTGAACAGGAACCAATCTCGGTGCAGGTACTAGAGCCGCTCTGAACGCCCCGATCTGCTGTATTTGCCAGCCGCTGGAGAAATACTGCATGATGATGGCCCTGTCGCACTGGACTAGATGCGTCACGGCAGAGGATGGCTCGAGATGCAGCGAAAATTTCGTCGCAAAAGCTGGTGAATTGGTCGCAAAAGGAGACGACGAGGAGGGAAATCGCGTCACCCCCGCCACGTACTCTCGTGGGGCTTCGAGATGTAAACTTGCACCCTTCATGCCTGATGTGTAGTTGGTCAGCATGTACCTGGGCAGCACGGAGGTCGGCACCTCTGATAATGAAGGACGAAAGGGTCACCGCGGTTAGGTCTAGCGCTCCCACAGTGTAATCACAAAGCTTCCGAGCACATCTCCGACAGGCTGTATGCGGCCGTGGCCACTCACCAAAGGCCTTTTGTTCGCGGCTGGTGGGATTCCAGAGAACGTAGTGAAACACGCCATTGGATGCATAGAATTCCTTCGCCCAATCCTGCCAGTATTCCATTGTGTCTCGCTATGAGGTATCAAGCACACGACCAGGTCAGCAACATCGCTTATCCCACGCGAGTTCGTGAGGCTGATTGCGAGCAAATACCTGCTCCTCACCTCTGGACCGGCTGCTAGAGCTTCCGAGTACTGCAGCATGCGCATCACACCACTCTCGGGGGGCGTATGCACTTGCCCTGCTGGAGCAATGGGCAAGCCACGCGGTGGAGCACCCAACGTGCCAACGGCTCGGGTGTGACTGGAATGATCATCAGGCAAGCTGCCATTGAGTCGGACAGCATTTTGATGAGCTGATCCGCGCGGCTGTGTTTGTGCTGAGCCAGGAACCGCCTGACCGAAGCCATTAGAATCCGCATTTGAATGCTCCAGCTGTCCAGAGGCCCTCCTTTGCGGAGCAAAATGATTCGGTACTGCGCCAGACTGATGCGTGGGCACGCTCGCGCTAAGAACCTGAGCTCCTGCTGCGCTCGGCACTCTTCCAATCATCATGGTTTGTCCCTGATTGGCTGCGTTTGGAGGTGTAGATACGCCCGCACTGCTGGGATGAGGAGAAGAGATGCCATTCAGCGATGCGTGGGGTTGGGCATGAGGGTTCGAGTGTTGGTTGATCTGTGGGAGCTGATGAATTTGTGGACCATGCTGTCCCGAACCTGACGGGTGTTGAAGCTGAGGTGGGATGCCTTGCTGAACGTGATGCTGTTCCTGCGCAAGAGCTTGGTGAGGATGAGGATGATAGACTCCACCCTGCGCATTCGCTCGCGCGTTCAGACCGGTCACGCCTGCAGCGCCGGGCTGATGCCCCTGATGAGGACGAAAGTGAGATGGATGAGACTGCCCTGGAGTCTGCAGATGGACCTGAGGATGCATGCCATCGCTTGCCGTTCCCATTTCTGAAGTCACGCCTGCTGTCATTCCCGTACCCACGCTCATTGGCATACCGCCGACGCCTCCAGCTATCGGCATGGGCCTGTGCGGAATCATAATGAGGGCGAGTCTCCCAGCTGTTGGCCTTCCGGTCAGAATAAGACGGGGCGCATCAGCTCAAGGCGTCGCCTCGCGAGATCCTAGCCGATGGTTCCGAAGTAGAGGATGAACGAAAAAGCAGGGGTTGCGCCAAGAAGTAACAAGGGGCTTTCGCGGCCACAGTCGTTTGCGGAAGGGTGGGAGTAGGCACGCTCTGGCGTCTTCAGGGAGTTGCGACCTGTTTTGCTCAGGTGGGCGACGGCTTTGCAATGGAGGACACAACTACAAGTAGCGCGGCAGATTCGCGAGCGGTCGTGACCTGTATGAATGTTGATGGTGGGTCGCTCGAAATCTAGTCGCAATCGTGATTATGTACGAGTGTGAGTAGTCACGAGTGTGAGTCGTGAGTGTTGTGAGTGTGGGTGTCCTGGCCATGCAGGTTGAAGGTGCATCGCATCTACGGTCTGCGTGTGTTCCGTGCGCTGCATATCCTACCTGCGGTAAATACCTACCCGATATGCGTCACGCACACTTCGCAGCGTCTGCGCGCAAATTCAAGCTTGACGATTGGAGAACGCAGCAGGCTAATCGCCCTCTGACTCATGACGGCAACAACCCAAGACTCGCCCCTCCTTGAAGAATCCGACTCACCTCATCCCCGCGATTTTGATGTTGTGTACGTTTCTCGGCGCTTGATTCTCGTCGCCGCACCCGGCAGATGACCCAAACATGATCAGCTCAACCTGCCTCGTCTGATTTGAAGCGAGGGTAACCTGCGCTCGAACGCGCAAGGAGACCGCTACCTTTGAACAACCGCTCTGAACGAGCAGGCCAGTCAGGCAGCGACAAGTCTCGGCAAGTTCTCCCAGGGGGCGACGAATACAACTGAAAGTGAGAGGGTACCAGTGCTGCTGGAGCGTCGCAGACCCCTGCACGGAAGCTGACGCGCGTATCTCCGAATTTCTCTCTCCACACCTCGCCCTTTCCACAGGACTGGCAACCCGTCACGCTTGACTACTCAGACTTGAGGTCCGCTTTTGGTCGTTAACTCCAACCCCGAATTGCTTGGCTTTGATCGACGAAGCTCTAGCGACCCCGCGATACGGAAGAATCACAGATCAGTCGCGGCTCCTGATGTACTTGGACCTCAATATACCCTGGCCCGTCGACTGCTTCGCGGACATTGCGTCTGGCGCGAAGAGGAGCGGAGCAGGGAAACACAACAAGCGCGCTTTGGGGGCTTCTGCAGCAACTTCAGCAGTGAGCATCGTGAACAATGGCGAGACCCACGATGGGCTCTCAGAGTTGCAAAGGAAGCAAGTCAAGAGCATATTGGAAGATTTGACCCATCGTGAGGATAGTGGTCGCAACAATGGTCTTGTTGGCTGGCCGGGAGCGTTCGTTGACTGACTTCTTTCTGCTTTAGTCGGCTTCACCAGCATTGCATTCAACCACATTGTGCAGACACGGTACAGAGGCGAAACGAATCCCTTTGGGCTTTTGGGAGCATCCGTGGTCCAACCTCCCGCTGCCATCTCACTGCCCATCTTTCCCCACCTATCCTTTACGGGTCCAAGGCTTGGGAGGCCAAGGGCGAACGCTTGCGCAGAGCCTCCACCGCAGTTACAACAGCTGCAGCGACTGACCGTCACCATGGACGATAGCAGTCTGACAAAGGGCGGGCATGGCTTCGTGAGTAGGCACCAGAACAGGCATCATCGAGGCTCGTCCCTCGCTCAAACGACGCATACAACCCATCTACCACCGTTGTAGACCTCCTCTCAGGCGGCCGCTCTCGCTACGTGGGACCTAATCGCAGTCCAACCAACTACCGACAGTGCTTTCAGTCTCGCTTGTCAGACATTGACAGAGTTGAAACCTTTTTCGGTTGACATAATCTCGCTGGAATTAGCCTCCAGCTCGCGTCTGCCATTTGCACCTAAAAGGAGCACACTTCGAACTGCAATCCGAACCGGAGCAGTCTTCGAAGTCACCTACAGCGCAATGCTGGCCGGTGCTTCTGAAGAGAGCGAGAAAGAAAGAGATAGGAAGAAGAGAAATTTGGTGTCCAATACAAGAGACTTGCTAAGGCTGACCGGAGGGAAGGGGGTCATCATTTCCTCCGGCGCGGCGACCTTGCTTGACATTCGCGGACCGAAGGACGTCATTGCTGTGTGAGTGCAAAAGCAGACGCGTGCACCACTCCACATGGATTGCTGATTCGAGGAGCTTCGCAGTGCATCTATCTTTGGCATGTCACCGCAAGCTGCCAAGGATTCTATTTCAGCGACGGCTCGAGCAGTGCTCACCCGTGCACGTAAGTACAAGCTCTTTGCACACGCACGCCATTCCGATTGCCGCTAAATACAGCTGCTGCCTGCGCCCCGCCAGAGGCTCGCCGATCGTTCAGAGGGGTCATGGAAGCGCCTGTCCTTTCGGCAGGTTGCTCGATAGCCGTGCGTGCTAGCAGCCCCTCCGCTCAGACCACCGAGACCTTGCCTCATTCGAGTAAATCGAGCGACGGAGACCCCAATCCGATTACAGACATGGAGATAGGCTTTTCAATGCCTCGGGAGCAGACTACATCGATCGCGAAGAGGAAGCATTCGCTCACAAGCTCAGAGTCAAAGCATGCAGGCCCTGGGGAGCTACAAAGCAAGCATCAAAGGGTGTCATCAAAGGATTTACATCCGCATCGAAGCGCGAGACCTCCCTCAAATAAGCTGACAAAGGTCGAAACCAAGCGAAGCAAGATCACAGTGCAGCCCACTGAGTACGACGCTTCTCGCTGTGGCGGAGGGGGTACAAAGACCGAGGACACTTAGGTTGCCGCATGTATATGGTACGTATGGGACATCACCGAAGAGACCCGTTCCCTTCTGGGCTCCAATGAATCGTGAATGTACGGAGCAGGGACTGAGTGAGTCAAAAGTTTATGATTCTGTTCAGCGCTAGCGCTTGTGGCTTATGATCCGCAAATTATCTATATTATTTTAACGACGCCTGACTGGCTCAGGTGATTTATGGTCTTAATCATATCTTATTAGGCATGACGCTCATTTCCGGTCTCCGCTGCGCGGAGCCAGGGTCGCCGGTTCGACCCGCGCCTGGTGCGCCTGTATCAGATTATCCACTATCACAACACATGCACGAGGGTGCAATGGTACCGCTGTGCGGTACCAAATCGGTGTTAAGAAATAGAACGTGTACCTGTCCGCATATGGGCCTAGGTAACGCATTCCCGCTCGGTCCACCGGCACACTGGTGCTTGCCGGAGTCCGTCAGGTGCCTAGCTACGCGGCACGGGGGCCCCCGCAACTAAATATAAAATGGGGGCATTCACGGATTCGCGGCGTCCTGTTCAAACGGCCTAGGTAACTGGCCAGGGATAAGCACCCTGGCGGCGGTCGTGGCTCACCCTGGTGATACACCTAGGAGGCTCACTACCAGCATTCCTCATTCATTTTTGCTACTCGTGCGCGGTTCGCCCTACGGGTCAACACCGCCCTGAGGTCTGACTCGAATGCAAAATTAGGGCAAAGGCCAGGCCACCGATCACAGCCGTTGTTTCTTCGAGACCTGTCTGGGCCCCTCATCAACCGTCTCCAGTCCTCGCATGTGTACTCAGGATCTCTCAAATCGGCTCATCCATATTGCTTGATTGGATGCCCGCTCAATCAGAAGGACACGGGAGCGCCACGAGCTTGGTACCAAGAGGCTTTGACTGAAATTTCGAATTTGCACTCCCACTCAATCTAATCCCGAGTCAGTTGTCAGAGTATGAAAATCAATTATTGAGTTGGGAGTCAGAAGAACGACCAGCAAGCATCCCTTCTTGATCCTTGGTCTTGAATACACTCGACTGCACGACATTCTTGATTGTGATCAAGAGTCGAGAATTCAAATCTGGAGACGTGAAGTTAATTAAAGATTTAGATCACGAGTGCTTTGTTATTGAAGTCTCCTACTAAAGCCTCCCGGCGGCGTGTGTCTGCCACTCCAACGCGCAGCACAGCGTATGTTCTACCGCGACCCACATCACGTACGAGTCAAGAGTCCACCAAGCCGAGGTGCGCGTGCGCGTCGCATACACAACAGCATACATTTTGATTATCCATGCAGGTTCGTGATTTTGTCCACCGAATTCCACTCGACACGCACGACTCTTGAAACTCTTCCTGCAATCCATCTGAAGCTCACATCCTCATCCTTGACGTAAACAAGTAAGGCTGCGATTACATCACTTTCACATTGGTGATGGCTTCTTTGGGTTCATCGCTTGGCAGCATACACGCTGCGCACACAGCTGCAAGCATGCCACACACGCCTGGGCGAGGTGGCGAAGCAGCCTCTCTATCCCAGCTCTGGACAGACACGTCCCAGCCCTTGCACGGCTCAAGCAATACTGGACACCAGCATCTTCAACAGCACGCAGCACTTCCAACAGGAAGTCCGAGCACAGACACGCTCTGCAGCAACGGTGTCGGCCCTTCACTTTCACCTCAGACTCGTCGAACCCTTCCATTCGGATCCTTCGCACCTGCTCCGCCCATGGCGGCATCCAACACGAGTCGCATCAGCTGGGGTTCCTTTGGCTACACTAGCGCTCCAAGCCTCGCCTCACAGCAACGAGTCAATACCAAGACATCACCCGCGCCAGTCTTTTCCAGCGCATCGTGCTCGCATGACAGCCATCACTGCACCTCGAACCCCGATATCGGATCTGCTTTGCACCTCAATGAGCGGGTTGACCTACCCTCTAAGGCGCCGTCATCAGCGACCCGCCTCGCCTTCTTGCCTTCGTCTTCTTCGGCGACTGCTATACGCCGCAAGAGGGGCCGAAACGAGAGTGTAGACATGCAAGAAGAAGATGAGCCCGCAAGGTACGGTTCCGAAACATTGGATTCCAGAGCTAGCGGCTCGTCCTTGAATATTACTGTCAGGTTACAAGATGGGGCGAGCGGAAGTTCAGAAGCTAGGCAGGTGTTGCCGAAGCGAATGAGGTCGGGCATGACCATACACAGCACGACTCGTGATAATTCCACAGAGTATGGACAGGAGCACTCCACTTCGGGACGCATGTCGAGTGACAAGGAATGGGCGGCACGTCATCCTGCCTCGGCAGCTGGCAGCGCGGAGTCGACCCAGGGTGGTAACGACCCAGAGGTGGATCTTGGCAAGCTACTTGGTGAGTCGTGAGGTTCCCGAATCACACCTACCTTGCTTCGTGATGATTACTTGCGTTGCGAGACTGACACACCACGACACTGGACGTACATAGCTATGTTGGATCGACCTTCCCTGTTGGTCCTACTCTCACGTCTGCTCGCTCATTCTACCGACTCCACCTTGCCAGCTCAGATGCTTCGTCACATGCCCACGCCTTCTATTGCCACATTTGGGGCTTCGCTGGACGAATGCGAGCGGCAAGTTCGCGCAGCAATCCCGAATGCCACGAACGCAGGAGTCAGAGCAGAGTGGGCATGGAGCAGAATCAGGAATCCCCTGCAAGACTTCGTCACGAGCGCGATCGGCTTCTTCCGACTCTTTGATGATACTCCCGGCAGCGAGAACACTAATCAGATCGACAACATACACCCTAGCACCACATTTTCCTTTCTTCACGACCTCACTGAACGTCTACTCCGAATTCAGGCCACCCTACCACCCGTTCCTGATTCTACGCTGGCTTTTGCCGCTCACACAGCTCTTTCTCAACACGAATATCAGGGGTCGACAACGCGAACAAATGCTTCGGGTCATGACGTACTACGCTCCTTGCTCGACGCTAGGATGCTATCACGCGCATCGCCCAACACTTTGATCTCGCAGCTGGCTCCTTATCTGCTTCATCGCTGGTCTACTCTGTTGGAGCGCATATCTGGAGCTGTGAACGAGGAAGGCAGGATTTTTGGTCAGGATATGATCAATGGCTGGTTAAGCGCATTACAGACTCTGGGATGTTCTGGTCTCACAAGTGCAAGCTCGGTACTGATGAGCAACAACCGACTGTCGCCTAGCGCCGGTCCAGCTGATGCTGGAGCAATCGGGCCAGAAGAGAGGGCCATCAGACAAGTCCTCCAAATGTACCACCGAGCACTTGTTCAGCAGATAGGCTGGCTCGTCGGTGTCTCATTGTGACTCGGCACGCCAAGCACGGACTGCGTCGGTCTTTACCCCGCTTGTCACTCTTCATTCAGCTAGAAATTCCACTATCGACGTCATACACGTGACAATTCATATCAAGAGGGCCGCGTACCCACAGGTGCGCCGACCACGTCACACATCATCGCAGGGCCCTGCATTCTTGCGCCCTTTGGGCGATGTTGTGAACGGCGTCGAACGAGATATTGATGAACGGGACTGAGAAGGCTGTGGCCATCTTTAATTCTACAAGAATATAAGAACCGCGCGGTTGAACAGAGCGGGTGAGGTAGCTGCTCTGGATCCGACCCCTTGTTCGGGGTTGAAGGTGAAGACGACGTGAAGGTTTTTGGAGATTTCGCTCGAGAACCAGGAGTAGAGTTCGTCTGGAGAGTCGAGCATCAGTCCATCTCTTTGTGATCCCTCCTTGCAAGCTGTCATCAGGGCGCTGTATTCGTCTCCTTCGAAAAGCCCTGGTATCTCGGCATTGGCCAGCAGGGTGTTCATGCGCTCCAAAAAGGCTGGATCTCGGACCTGCGATTCGTCGATGATGAAACAGAGCTTCTCGCCCTGCGTTCCGGCACGCCGAAGGATTCCGCGGAGATCTTCGTCAAAGTCGGCCATCCCGTACCGTCGACTTGGTGAGATAGTGAAGACACTGAGCCCTACGAGCCAGGCGACAAAACGAGTCACGGTGGTTCGTCCGCTGCCTGATGACCCGATGAGGAGCAGGTGTCCTTGACGTTGACGCAAGACGCGATCCACGGAAGTGGCCAGAGCCATGACTGAGTCGTGTAGCACGAGCCTAGTCTCTAACTCTTCTTCACTATACTGCGCCAGACGAGCGACGGTGTGCGCTCTCAGATCGGGCAAAGCTACACTGCTGGTGTTGCGGGTGAGCCAATTGCTGTAGATGATTGGACGCGCGAGTGCCAAATTCTGATCCACGGTTGGAAATCTTGCCAAAGCAACAGCATCAAGCTGGCTATCCGTCCACTCTTTCTCATCCTCACCGACCAATCGGTCTCGGAACAGGCGCAGACCTTCGTGTGCCCAGATTCGGACCAACCCTTCCACATTTATGGTGTCGTCGACTGGCTTGAGATACTCGTATAGACCGCGGACCCATCGACTCAGCTCACGTGGCGAGTAGACGTAGTGGGCTTGCATGTCGGGCGTGAAATGGCTTTGAGAGGCGAGGTAGAAATCGACCATGGCCGACGTCAGTGCTTCGGCGTAGCCTCGGAGATTTGGTGCTAGTTTCAAGAGAGCCCGGTTGAAGGTTCCGTAAATTTGATTCAGGGAGACTTCGCCAGGGTAGTCCACCATGACAAGGGGAGCGTGACGCAAGAACCGTTGGCTGAGCGGGACACGGCCAGCATCCGTCGGTGGGTTGCATGCCCCTACGAATTGAATCCGCTCCAATGTTACCCATGCGAGGTCCGAAGTACGCCAGAATCCGCCTCTTTCGACAAGCTGTCTCAAGAAAGAGATGACTCGCTGCGTTCCATACTGATCGGTGGCTGGCAGGTTGATCTCGTCGCAGAAGAGCACAATCCAGCGGCCGATCTGCTTGGGCGCAAGAATGACTCCGTTCGGCGTCTTGCGATACTCGCAGTGCTGGTCGAAGGTCTTTAGAATGAGCTCAGGGGTAGTCGCGCTCGAGAAATTGAGACCAACAACTTCTTGGTCTGGGAGCTTCCTCAAGGCGGCGAATAGGGTCATCGTCTTGCCCGAACCAGGCGGGCCGCACAACATCAGAGGCTTATGCTCTGACAGCCAAGAGTAGAGCACTTCCTCGTGGCGCACAGTGTCCATGGTCGGAATGACGACATCTGCGCTTGCCACTGCGTGCGTTTCGATTTCGATGGTCGGAACGCGCGTTGTCCACTCGAACCATTCTGCCGTGGCGACCTGAACATCGAAGTCAATTAGGGATGCTCCGTTGTCTAGAGGAGGCATGTCGACCCCCGTTTGAGAGGCAAGAAACTCTCCCATTTCTGCACGGACGTGCAGCTTCGCATCCCCAGTGAACGACCATACCACGCTGACCACCAGGCGCTTGGTAGCATACGCCTCTATCTGCGCTGGCGCGAGAGGAAAGTCTGGATGCTGCTGGTTGTAGTCGAACACATTGCGGACTGTTTTGTTGATAAGGGAGAACAAAGTAGTGAGGGCGCGGCTCGCGGTGAAAGGCATGATGTGGAAAAAGTCTTCTGCGCGCGCAAGAGCAGTGTCGATCAGGCTCTGAGGAGCAAAGAAGGTCTCAATAGCGTCGGCAACGATGCGTTGTGTTACGAGCTCTGTTGATGCAGGCGAGTCACCTGAGCCGCTCGCTACGTCTCTCCTAGCAGTCGAAGGGGCAAGGTCGTCGTCGTCGGCCGCGCCGAGAGGTCTCGCTCGAAGGTGTCCAAAGTAGTTGTTATAGAGCATCGCTGGCGTGACGCTTTCCTCGCTGAACCAGATCATACCGCAGCGCGAGACTGTGGCCGGTGTCGCGAAGCGCAAATGCTCAACTTCAAACATGACGCGAACGTTCGAAGGCAAGTCGATGCGCTCTCCATTGGGCAACGTTAACAGCTTATTGTCATCAAGCACGCTATGGATGGCCAAGAGGGAAGTGAGGAAGGCGTGTAAGTCTGGAGGACAAGCCAGACGCGCATACATTGGGCTCACCTATTCAGATTTTCTACCCAAACAGGGTCGACGTCACCGTCGAAGACAATCCAGTGGCGTTTAGCACTTTCCCCCCGAACGTTGTCGACGATGCGGCGCAGGACATTTGTGAAGAGACCATCGGTCCACTCTCGAGTGGTCACATCTAGCGTGCCGTATAGGCCATCTTTGGAGACAGCTTTGGGGTCCATGACGTATGAGACACCGTCGATGCCTTCCAGCCGGTGGAGAGCTTCGAGTAAGACCGACCATGCAACCGACTTGCCTGTGCCGGAGGGCCCAACAAGCATGACACCATGCGAAATGCGTTGAATCTCGTACAGTTGAATGATTTTGTCGAGCCATACTCCATCGCAGACGAGATGACGTTCGAGGCATACGTCGGAGATGTGTTTGCGAAGTTCATCTAGCGCAGGAGGTTGGTACTGGATACCCGGGAACACATCGTCGAGTAGCGCGCCTAGCAGCGCGACGTCCTCCCCAACGAGCTTCGGCACAATCACTCCCATGACTGCGCTCACTGCAAGGGACTGCTCTACGACATCGACCGTCTGACCCGATGCTTCATGCGCGCCTTGCGCTCGCTTCACTTGCCCTGCTGCAGCGAGGGTAGCTTTGATTGACCTCAGCGAATTGAGATCGTAGTGCGAGCGCTTACTCAGCGTCGACTCGAGAAGGTGGAAGAAGGGGTCCAGCTTTCGAGCGAGCAACTCGGCACTTCTAAAACCGACTGCATACAGCAACACCTGAGACGAGGAAGGGTCAATCGCGTCAGCTTGATATCCCTTGACACCCATGATACGTCGACGGACCTGAATGATCTGCTGTCTGTCTGGTTGGGCCATGACGACAGTTCGAAAGAGCCTTGTGAGTGACCGCGGGAGCGTCGCACGACCGATATAGGTGGGATTGAGCGTCTAGGAGAGATCAAGTCTGTCAATGTGAGTGGAGGTCTCGTTACGAGGAGACTATCGATGCGCAGCTCGCTTACAATGAAAACAGCTGCGCCTGGTGTGAGCTCCACCGACTGGCCAGACAGCATGGCGCCGCCTCCTTGTCGACGCGCGCTTTGCCAGGAGAGGATGTCCTCGCTAATTGATGATAGTACATTGGGGCTCAGACGATTGATCTCGTCGAAAGCGGCCCAGCTGCCAACTCGAGCGCAGCCTAAGAGCCCTCTGGAAATAGACTTGGCGTCGAACTCCTCTCCACAACAGGTCACAATCACCTCTCTCCCAAGGCGGCGCCCCAGGAGCGAAACTGTCTCGGTTTTGCCCTGTGCCAAACAGAGATAATGAGTGATCTTGAGCGCCAGCACAAACAAGATTTCTCGCAATACGCACGGTACCAGCAGGTCCTGTTAATGATCAGCAATATCGCGTTACTAAGACATCAATCTTTCTTTGCAGCGAACGCACTACTCACCTTCGCTGCGGCCCGCGAGCGACTGCTTCAAAGCCTGAGTGAAGACGCCAAATGCCTTCGTTGTGAGTGGTGTGATCACCATAGGATCGGGAACTCCTGTGTAATTGAAACCTGGAAAGGAAAGGAATCTGTGAGCGCGCAGAGACCGAAGCAGGCTTCACGTGCGCGACGCACCATAGGAGAAGGACGCATCTGCCATCTCGATGCGAGCGCTGGGTGCGTTTCCGGTCCCCGTAGACGTCTCAGAGTAATAACGCATCTGAGACTGCCATGCCCAATCATCTGAGGTCTTCGTGCCGTGCGAGATCAATTCACGAAGGACGTCACGTTCGTGAACCAGCTCGACTAGGAGGTTTTCGATCTTCTTGCGTTTGAGTGCCGGCAAGTCCTGGACTACGCTGTCAGCCAGTGCATCCAGCGCGGATTCTACCAGGTTGAGCACCGCGGACAAGCCGTCCTTGCCTTGTTGGAGGGAGTGCTCGACTAGCTTGGTCCACTGGATGCCGAGCACCAAGATCGTCGTTTGGCCAATGTGACGTTCAATCCAGTCGACAAGCTTTTCAGCTTCGAAGGACGAGGGCGTAAAGAACATCGCTAGGTTTGCAAGAGCAGCTTCGCTAGCGAATGCGACAGACTTGCGGAGCTCAGTCTCTAGCCCCTGCAGCCACTCATGTACAGCGATGCCGGCCGTTGGCACTGATCTTGCTAGCTCGACATACTCATCCTGAGGACTGCGCACCCCGATGAGGCTGCTGTCGTCCGAAAAGATGACGGAGGCGACACCTTGCCACATCTTGGCGATGTAAGTTCCCACTCGCATAACGTCTTTGCTTGAGCCCAAAAGCGAAAGCAGGTCCTCGTCGCCAAGAAAGTAGAAGCGCGGAAACACGTTGCGTTGTTTCTCCAAGAATGCTCCAAGTGCGCGCTGAATCTTGTCGAGCCTGTGATCGCAAGAATGTGGCACTCGGGACCGTCAGCGGCTTGATTATACAGAGCATTACTGCAAACACATCAACGCACAGATCGTGTAAGCGATCAAGAGACTGGTTGATGCTGGGGATGTTGATCACATCCAGTACATAGGGAGATTTGTTGATACGCTTCGTAATGGTGAGAAACTCGGTATCAACGACTTGAAAGCGAGATGTTCTGCGCGGGTTGGAGTCCGGTTAGTGTGGATGGGTCATCACTGCAGACGACGGCGCCGACTTACTCTACCGGCAAGATGTGCCGCATTTCAGGGCCACTGAATATCCCTCCGCAATCCACCCAACGTCGCTGGACATCGCGAAGGAGTTCGAACAGGGCGGACACCTGAGAAAGGCGACTCTCCCAGAGAGCTGCTTCTTCTTCAAAGACCTTGTGGTGAGGCGAATTTGCCATGGATTTAAGAGCGGACAGGTGATCGCCTGCGCTCTGGAAGAGTTGGTCCCATCCTCGGACCAATCGGCAGCGATTCTGATAGTTGACCAAATCGAGATCATAGCTGGTCCACCGCTCACGCACTTCCTTCAAAAATTCTTCCAGGGCCATCTCCCCCTGTGCTTGCATAATGACCGCTTTGATGGCTTGCTCGTGACGCTTCAGACCCAAGTCCCACACGATGCCTAGCGTCATCGAGGTGGGGGAGTAGGGCGTGGACACTTGAAGTTGTTTGAACAAAGCTCGCCAATGGCGCTCGCGCATCGCTTCTGACTTTAGTTCCGAGATCAGCGCGTTGGATTTGAGCAGGTCTCGAAGAATGTTCTGGACGTACTCGAAAGCCGCATATTGGCGCATGCGACTTGGCATATCCTTTGTTTGGGTGAGCAGACCATCAAGCTGCTGTCTGAGTTTGCGAGGTTGCACGTTGTTCCAGCTGCTATCACGAAGTTCAGACAGCTGGCTCCACGTGCCCGAGAGGGCGGTCCATACTGCCTTGAGGTCACGAAGCTCCTCCTGTACGGGCTCAACACGATCGTCCGGAGTGTGCTCCAAGTCCAGGGCCTCCTTCGCACGAATGACGAGATCGCGATCGTCGCACAGACGAGCGACCCTGCCCTCGAAGAGGCTGATCGTATTCAAGGCCGTGTCCGCTTTAAGCGTGCCTTCTATTGGCTTTTGCTGCTCCCACTCCGTAACCAGCACCGCGATCTTGTCAGACACAATCTTGTCCTCGGCGATAATCTTCATTTGTAGCCCTGCAAGCTGCTCCTGAATGCTGGAGTTCTTGCGAGCCAGGATCTCGTTAAATGCGCTCCATTCACCTTCCACCTGATCTGCATATAACCAGTCTTGCGAGAACATGTAGCGCTGACGCTCCAAAGTCTTCTGACCAGTGGCGAAGATGGACATCTGAGGTGACCACTTCTTGGTCTGCCTCTTCAAGTCCGTGACAAACGTGATAAAAGTGACGGTTTGCGCAGTGGAGCTGGATTCGATGCTGTGCTGCTCCAAATCGTATCTGGCTTTGCGAATGGCTGCATACGTCTCGCGCATCTCTGCAGCCAGCTTTGTTCCGAAACGATTGAGCACATCGCGCTGCCAAGCATCGTACTTTGCGTTGACTTTACTTTGAACTTGCTCGTAGTCTATGACCGCCATTCCGAAGGATCGTTGAGTATCAGAGGTGTCGAAAGTTGCTCGCGTCTTGCGAATACCAGCCAGCAGCTGTTGCCATCGAGCGAGCGAATCGCCCAGAGTAGCATAGACATGCTCGGCTTCAAGGTCCCAGAGGTTTTGGAATCGCAGCCATTTGGCGACGTAGCGGCCGACCTCCTGTACCTTCGCTTCGATAAGAGCGAAAGGCCGGCTCAAAGTAGTGTCCTCGAAGCGGGTCAACAGTCCAGCGTACGTGACGTCGGCGGTCGTAACATCCCTAGCAAGCTTTTGCATCTGTACGCCCATCTCGTAGCGTGCGCTCTGTACGCGACGCAAGCCGCAAGCTACTCCCAAGACGTCATGAAGTTGGGTGAACCAGCTGGCTCGAGCGTGTTCGATAGGCGGATCCAGATAGATGATTTGGTTCCTAATTCTGATTTCGTGTGTGACGGGTGATAGCTCGACATGATCGCGTTCAAGCGCGGCCTGCGCAAAGCGGCGGTGACAAAGCGGCGTTCAGCTGAAGCGACTGGTCCGCCTGGCATGACCGTCAATTTATACTCACTTTCTCAGCCGGAGAGAGTCGGGTTTCTTTGACATCGCGACGGCGGTGGCGCCCCCCAGGAGCTCCATTCTCGCGGTGTGCCGCACCTGCACTTCCACCTTCCCGAGTCTCTTCGCTTCGCGCAAATTCTTCGCACCAAGCTATGGATATCAGGCGCAGCCTCTCCATGAGGACCTGCTCTATCCGCGCGTCGAGCTCGGCAACCCAGTCGTCAAGATTTGGGTATCCGTCTAGATTGAGACGATCGATGGTCTTCTGGATTTTGGCAAGCCTCTCTGCAAAAGCCGAGCGGGTGTAGGTGCAGCTTGCCAGCTCGTCGACCAAGATGGAGGTCTCGCCATTCATGTTGATGAGTGCGTTGGTCTGATCTTGGAACACGCTCACAGCGCTAGCAAAAGCCCTCACATAGCTGACTTGCTTGTTGTCTCGCAGCCCGTCACCTGCAGTTGACGAAGCTGGCAAGTAGGCTGCAATCGCTCGATGACTCTCGTACGCGTTCGCGAAGTGCTCCCACCGCAGTGTAGTGCCCGATGTGATCAGATTGTGGACGTCGGTCTGGGTTCTTGCAAGCAGGCAAGCGATTCTGGGATGCTCCCGAACTTGTGCGCATGTCTGATTATAAGTTCGGACGGTTTCCATCAGACTGACTGCGTACGGATAGACGCGCTTTGCATCGCGCGCCAAGTTGTTGATCAGGTGCGGAATTTGGAATCCAAGCCAAGACAAATGTCTGACTTCCTTGAAGAGCGCTATGACTTGAGGGTCAAAATTGACTCCCAAGGAATACTGGCCAGTGGCACGATTTCGAGAAACCTCGAAGAGACGTCCGGATATGGTCATGTCGCGCCTGTTGATGTCGTGCAGCCACCCGTCGAAAAGGGGACGGGTATCAAGCTTGCGACTGAATGTCTCGCTTTCAGATCGCAATTTCTGGCCTTCGGCATATAGCTCCCAGCCTTTTCCAAGCACGTCTTCGACACGCTTCATGTACACCATGAGCTGTCTTTCGATCTGTCTAGCCCAAATGATCGCACCCGCAATTTCAGGGATGTCGCGCAGTTGAGACATGTGATTGGCTTCCGAAGGACGGTATTGAGCCTTGAATTTGTCGTGCAGACCTGCTATGTCGCTCTTCACGCTGTTGAGGAGCTGCTGTTGATACTCTTGTACAGCGCCGCGGACCTTGGGGCGCACGAATAGAGTGTTGAATTGGCTCAAGACTCTGAGCATTTCCCGAGCGTTTTTAGCCTGGCCGAGCAAGTCTCTGAGTCTTGCAATGAGGCCATTTTCCACACGCGCCACGCGCTCGTTGTAAGCGCTTTCGGCCGCAGACCAGATTGCAGTACCCTCATCGGTAACGTCGAGAACGTCCACAACTTTGACGACGTCAAATGCGTCTGTGATTTCGTCGGCCATTTGTATTCCAGAAAAGGCGTGGGCACTCGCCTGAGTTCTGGCGATGCCGCTGGTGTTGAGACCTGTCTGGCTACCGCTCGCGGCTAGAGCGATTCCCCGCCCTGAAGTGACCATGACACGCAGCTGTTCATGCGTTTTTCTGGGGTATTCGATGGCGTCCAGGTCAGTCACTGCCGCATGACGAGCGTAAAACCGGTGCTTACCTGAACGCGCTCAAGTAATTGAGTCTCTCCCGCAGCTTTGCATGTGCAGGATTGATCTTGATGGGCATGAACTTTTCCGAGCGCTTGCGCGTGACTTCACGTGCGATATTGACGAACTCGCGCATTACGTCATCCCACGTTGCAAAGACATCTCCAGCTCCTTGCATCGTGTCGCAGAACCGCGAGAAGTCTTGATACATCACCCGTTGAGCACCTAAAATCTTGAGGACGGCGTCGTTTACGTCGCGCGAAATGGCTTCGACCAGCGGAAGGGCGCGTTTGACTGGGTATGGGCTTACGCGCATCTTCTTGTTGAGGTGATTGAAGACAGCTTGCACGGCGTCGATGCACTTGTCAAAGTCAGTGGCTGACAACAGGCTGTCAAGCGGAAATTCCTTCATAAGGATGTTGTAGGCTTGGACCTTTTCGGTGCAGTCCTTAAGGCCAGTGTCGGCCAGGAAAGAGACCGTCGCGTGAAAGCGCTTGGCGTGCTTTAAGATATCAAGCGTGAGGGTGATTGGTTCGGATCGCAGCTGTTGCTCAATGTGATCTTGCGCGCGCTCCATGGAAAGCCAGAAATTGATTTCTTGTGACGCAGTACCGGAGCTGACATCGCGATCGAGGCGTGTAACCAACTGCACCTCTTTCACCCAGTTGTTCACGTCCGATTGCAGTTGGTTGAGAAACGTGCTGTCCTGCAGGAGGGAGCTCGGGCGCACCTCTTCCACAGTTGCCTTGCTTTTTGCTGCTTGACACCTCTCGACTGTCGCACGGACTTGAGGGTGACAGCTCAGATACACTTCTGGAATTTCGACGTTCTGCTGCAGGTGCAGCAGGCTGAGCTCCAGCTCTGCAAACTTTCGCTTGGCCATGGGCACACCTACGTGAAGGTGGCATCACGTTAGCTTGTCTCGAGAGAGGTAACAACGCGCAAAGACGCACCTATTCTGGCATCTGCATCTTTGCTCTTCGGCTTGGCCGTCTTGGCTGCAGAAGTCTTCGAGTCGTCTTCCTTGCTGCTGACATACGCGTCAAACCAAGGCGCCATGACGTGGTGCACCACCGAATGCAAAGCTTCGTACGGAGACTCTCGAATGTTGATCGTGATGCCCTCCTCTTCTCCGCCTCGACCATCTTCACGGCCTAGCTCAGGCGCGGCGGCGATGCCCTCACCGCTGGCATGCCTATCCGCTTCAGATGCGGGACCGAACAGGGATAGAACGTGAACCTGCTGCTGAAGGGGAAGTGCCGGATCGAGAGCACCTGCGCGCTTGATCAAAGCTATCGAAGATACGTGTCGCGGGCTATACGTAGGGTGTGTATCCAATCGATACTCGAAGAGTCCTGTGCGGTAGAGCATGAGCGGGCCGGCATTGAGCTTGGCGGATCTCTCTTAGCTTGCTTGAGCCAATGCAGCGCCACTCACCATCGGTACCGGACCCACTGGTATCTCTTCTGACCTTGTCGATGTACACTGTCATAGTGGACGGATCCGTGGCGAATGCAAATGCGACGGAATGCCAGCCGTCCCCTTTGGCGTCTTCGTCGACATCGCCAAGGGAAGAGGAGAAAAGCGATTCTTCAAGGGCGGCTGGTGTAGCTGCCATAACCACCGGCAGCAGTAGTTCCAGGTAGGCCCTGATCAGAGCAATAGGGAAACGACTGATGCCCGCGCGCGAGCCTGCAGCGCCGTTGGCATTGCTATTGAGAGACATGATGGACGCCGATGGCGGCAAGCCTCCATCTGCCGCAGCCATCGCGGCGAGCTACAAGACCAAGAGAAGATGTGCGCGCAACGAGCGTCAGGACCACGTTTGCGGACCCGACTGATCTGAACAATCAGGCTGGCGTATATGCGCACTGGTGGATGCGAACAGACCACCGATGTGGTGTTGCGGGTCGCTGAGCGATGTAATCGTGACCAAGGTTTCGTGCTGCTTGAATCGTACCGCGCGATGCGAGCCACGACCAGAAGATGGCGAAATGGGGGGCGAAGTGAGGGTCGTCTGCGAAAGGACCCGATGTAGGGCGGGTGATCGTGATTGTCGAATCGTTCGCGACTCCGCGCATGATCCACGCAGGTCGCGTTGCACAACGCGATGCATGGATCTTGTTCGCGTGGTGGTGATGTCGCGGCACGTGCTGCATGTACAGCGGTACCGTGCACCGCACAGCCTACTTACTCTTGACCACACCTTCAAAACACTTGCGACTCGACAGCCAGCTGAAGCTTATCAGTCAAGAATTGAACAACTTCCATGCATGCTTCACGCCCCGAGGTGACTTCTGAGACCTGATCAGACCCTGGACAGTCATTGAACTAGGTATCAAGATCTTTTACGTGAATTTACATTTGTGACGTGAACGACCAGTCAAGCGTCTGAGTCAAGCGCACCGGCACCCACGACTCAAGACTAGACTTACAGGCCCCAATCTCGAACACACAAGTCCACGAGACTCAGAGACTCGAACGTTTCTGGTCGAACACTTGTCGATATCCCAGTCAGTCGAGATTCTGATAGTACCCCATTTGGATGTACTCAACATTCACGACTCGAGTCTTGAGACACATTGCAAAAGATGCGGAGCTGCAAAAGTAGCAACAGCATGCTTGTGGTAGTAGTCGTAGTATCACAAGTAGCCAGGACGATTCCGGCGCCACCTTGAGATCGCTCGATCGGGAGTTGAGCATACCCCTGTGGATAAGAGACAGCCCCAAAGTCCCCGACAAAGCGAGGCTCAGTGCCAGTAGAGATCGCTCGACATGGCTAACGGCAACAAGAAGGAAGTAATGACGAATTTTAGGACGCTGAGGCGCTCTCGTACCGGCGCGGGAGGTGCGCCGAGTCGTGCGAGATCTAATATACAGATAACGAGATAGGGGCGACGTCTTGCTGGGGGAAGGATAATCTGATATCTCTGCGCAAGACGGTACTTGAACACAGTAGGGATTGATAACGGTAATAAGGGCCGACCTACGAAACTTCGTCGAGTTTGACCAAGGGTATCATGGAGCCGTCTGAGTCCCTGAGAAAATGCTCGGCCTTGTCCTCAAAAAGCGACACTCGTTGCAGAGCATCGACCCCAAAGATGAAGTCGAGTCTGTGCTCCTCTGCAACAGCAGCGAAGCTGTTCCAACGCGCGAACTGACCGCACGAAAAGTTTTCTGGCCTGATCATCAGTTCGAAAAGGCGTGGCTTGGCGTTCGAGACAGAACGCCCTTCCTTCCACTGGCGGAAAGCCTTGAAACGGAGCTTAAAAGTCTTTTCAGACTGGTGAACTCTGTCTCCGAACAAGGCAAATCCAAGCCTCTTGACCGCGTCAGGCGACAGGTAGTGACGGTCGCGCCCAATCATGAAGCCTACGACCACCTTGACTGAGCCTGCGCCAACGAGTTCCGTGCGGCAGGCGAAGGTGGTACCCTCGATCAAGAAGTCGTAGGGGGAGATTCCTTGCGTGCTCATGCCTTGTGCGCCCATTGCGGAGGAGCTGGGAGCTGTCGGAAGAGGTGCCTGTGCCAGCGCCGGCGCGGGATCGACGATCGAGATAGGCGAGGACGGCAGAAGGTTGGCCAGCAGACCACCAGTCGGATGCGATGGGCTTGCATCCGTGCTCTGCGATGACGACGGACCGAAGCCCCTGCGCTTGGAGGCAGCGGGAGGTTGGCCATCGGTCGTGTCCTCCCTTGATCGAATCGCCGGCGATGTGGACGCCGATCGAGACAGACTGGGAGCGTCTGACAAGATCGACTCATCGTCCGCGGCAGCTGGAGTCTGTGGCGATCGTTGACGACGGCCGAGAGAACGTCGAGAGGCGACGGCAGCTCCTGACGTTGCAGAGGCGAGATCTTGCTGGCCCAGATCATCGTCGCTGTCGTCGAAGTCGTTGTCGTCCTCGTCGTCCTCATCGTAGCACATCCACCTGTCGCCCGCCGAGAAGTCCGAGTCGCTCGCACGATCGTTGTCGACTTCTTCGGCTTCCTCTTCCTCTTGCTCTTCCTCTTCCTGCTCGCCGGCCTCGAGCTCTTGCTCTTCGGCCTGCAGAGGAGCTTGCGTACCGTGACACGGTACCATGCTGCTCGGGTCGTCGAACTGCAGCTCGCGAATAGCAGCTCTGAAGTGGCAGATGGCACTATGAAGTACCTCCACCACTCCTGGAGTCAGCTGCTCTTGCGCCACCAGCGCACGGGTCTTCTCGCCAACGTCATCGAGGCGGGCAACCAGGGAGTCGGTCGCGCAAGAGCGGCAAATGATGCCGCGAGCAGAAGAGTGGGCGCACTGCTCGTCGAGAAAAGACGTGGGCTGACGGCCCTCGGCGTTGATGGCCGCAAGGGAAGCTCTGCTGCGCAGAGGCGCATCCTTCCATCGTGCATCGTTGAGCTGGGACAGGATATGCGCTGTCGTGATCCTGGCCTCGCGGCGTCCGTCGGTAGATGAGATAGCTACGGCGGATAACGGGCGCAGAGGTCAGCGATTGCACGAAAGATGCTAGCTAGTAGAGTCGATGCGCAAAACCAGCTTGGGCGCGACGAGATTCATCGCTCACGAACGCTCAACGTAATAACAGGCAGTGCCAGCAGCGTGTAGCGTAGCGTTGATACTCACGAAGGTTTAAAGGTGATGAGGCTGTTGGGTTTGATAATCGTGATATGGGCGAAAGGACTGGTGCTGTGAGAGAAGGACAAAGGTCGCACACGGCATCAGCATTGCTGTCGAAATGGGTCATGGGGAGGATAGCCGATGCTCACCGGTATTTGATGGAGCCGAAGAGGAGTTCGGTCCAGTCGTGATGTGAGAAGGAAGTCCAGCTTCCACGGTGATAGCTGTGGTGCGCAAGCGGACAAAAGACAAAGGTCGCACACGATATCAGCATTGCTGTCGAAATGGGTCATAAGCATAGCCGATGCTCACATGTACTCGAGCGCGCCGAAGACGAGTCCGGTCCGGTGGTCTTTGGTGGAAGTCCAGCTTCCACGGTGCTAGCTGTGGTGCGAAGACAAAGGTAGCAGGTCGCGTCAGCTTGACTGTCAACGATTGATACAGGTGTGCTCCCAGGTCGTACTGACGAGACGCGCCACTCGCTGAAGACGGAGCAGGACCGATGACATGCGTAAGTCGAGCATATTGTTGACAACTCTGCCCTAAGTACGGGATCCGCTCACCCAAAGGAGGTGTTTCAGTTCCCAATCATCCAGAGAAGATTGGAACGAGGTAGCCTCCGTCTTGACGGGCTGTGGACGAGGAGAGAGATGGGTTGAGAAACGATGTCAGAGTTATGGCCAACAGAGAGTCTTGGGTAACTGCCACACTGCACGCTCACAAGGGGCAAGACGTCGTCGTCCTCGTCGTCCCCCAAGAAAAGAGGACGAGGTCGGATGACCGGGGGAGGGAAAGGTGGGGGTGGTGGGTTTGGGGAAGGAGCAATGTCGGAAGGAGGAGGAACAGCCGACATTGTTGGTGGTTGGAAAAGAAAGGCGAAGAGGAAGTGGCTGTTCGCTGAACTGGAGAGGAAGAAGAGGCAACGAGTGAGCACCGATGTTGAGAAGACGGAAGCAAGCCATGGTCCGCGTCCACGTAATACGTACAATCGGGATCTCAAAGAAAGAGGAGCTCAAAGTTGCGTTCTCGTCAAAAGAAGCGGCGGAGAGATCGAGATTCGCAAAAGATGAAGAGAGAGGGGAAGACGAATCGAGCGAGCGAAGTCAAGCCCTTTTGAAGTAGACCGAACCTTGATCCTTGAGGTGAGCTTGTGGGGCCTGTTCGCGGCGAAGCACCTGCTCGAGGCGCACTCGCCCAGGAATGCTGTTGGACCCAGCACCTGCATGGCTACTTGTCGAATCTCGAAAGCAAGCTTGCGTCGAAGGGTGTATCGCTGGCTAGGTGCCCGGAATCATCTCTGTAGCGAGCGGTGTTGCTGGCACGCATCTCGCAATGAGTCCGTAGCGAGTCGTTCCAAATGCCTTGGCAGACGGTGGGATGCGCGAGCTCCTGGCATGTTCGTGTTGCGCTGAGGGTTGCGCCTCTCCCGGTTGACTGAAGTTGCCAGCGAGGCGCCATTGTGCGCATTCGAGCCGTGGTGCACCAGGTCGACAGCTTGGGTCAGCATGCGTAGCGTGTGTAGCACAGCCCTCAACGGACGGGTGACAGATGGTCTGGATCGAGTTCGACTGGCGTGTGCAGCTCCTCAACGGCCGAGTGAACGACGGCTTGATCGATCCGGGCGGGGATGAGGCCACCAAGCTGAGGATGTGCCGGGAAAGGGCAGCTGCCTTGACATTCTTGAAGCGCTGCAAGAGCCAGACTGGTTGCGCTGAAGGTGTGTTGCATCGCGGGCGAGGCCTCAACGGTCGAGCTTCAAGCGATTTGGACTGAAGGAGACGGGCCTGTGGAAGATGCAGCCGAATGATGTGAGCGATCGACGGGCCACACACTCGTGACTTGGCGGAGTGCAAAATCGTGATCGAATGGAGACGTTGAAGTCACGAGTGCGCAGCAGGGATCGAGTGCGCTGACTTGCATGAGTGGGTCAGCTCTTGCTCTCGAAGCTGCTGTTCGTCCGCTATAGCTGATAGGATACAGCAGGCCACCGCTCGCGCGCCTGATTTGTTGCGCTCTGCCGCGCTGCAGGTAGCGCTCCGAACGTTTCTGCTGGTCAAGGACACTTGCTGGTTATGTTGCACGCTGTTGCGTGATGACACTCGAACAAGATCAAGGCGTGGTGATTTGGGAGCACATCAGCGCGCCTTGAGCAGTGACTTGTGATGAGGCTCCTCCCCCTCAAGGGCGAGCGAGTTGCAGTCCAGCGTCTTGATTCCTCTTTGCTAGGACGTGGGCTGCGCGGAGGGCTGCCTATCCGCTGAGCACTCTGACTACTCGGTCAGAATCGTACGAGTTGATTCGTGATAAGCTTTGCTTTGCGTCGATGCGTCGCATGGGAGGATGCCTTGCATCAGTCAGTCGCAAGTAGATAGGTTTGGTCTTGGCCGGCTCGATCCAACGGCTGACTACCAGTGCCAGTTGTCGCAGTTGGACAGCGCCAGAGCAGTGTGGCAATCTCAGCGCAGACTTCTTCCAACCCTCTGGCATCAATCGATCATTGATGAAGGTGCCCGCTCGCCATGTCGGTGCATCCGCAGCCTGACAACCTGCCGCGGCACCTTGACAGCAGAAGCAAATCGAGCGCTTGATCCATATATAGTGTGAATAGCATTCGCTGGCTGGATGGATTCATCAGCACCAGCTTGAGCGCTCCTAGCGCCCCATAACCTCAGATCTGAGTTCCATGCACAGGAGCTGTGCTGGCCACAACGTGCCTGTCTTTCAAGTCTGAACCGCGAATCGCTTGAATGGCGCATCGTTGCTGTAGCCCTTCCATGACTCATCATAGATATCGCACCAGCTCTGCCGCGGTTGAAGTTTCATACAGCAGTAGATCCCCCGCATATAGACGTGTGGCTTCCATCCATATCCTATTCTGATTCGCGATTCACATTCGTGATTAGGTGTTCGTTTGGCATTCGCCATCCAGACTCGTGACTGCACCGCGGTGGGGTGCGGTGCCCCGCTGTCAATTAAGGGACCATCCAAGGTATACGATGACACTATACTCGTACATTGCCAGCAAGACAAATTTAGCTCGGTTCACTGGGGACAGCCGTCCCTGAGCTCGACTTGAGGTCTTCGCGCTCGCGGCGCACATCCAACCAATTCAGCGATCCAGAGGACGAGGTGGTGAGGGCTGCTGGTGACACCCTTGGCAGTGTTGCGGCGTTTTCCTTGGAGCCCGCGGCGGCTGACGTCTAAGCATCTAAACGCGCGAAACCCCTTACCTTTCCCTCAACGGTCGATCCCGCGCCTGCATGCATGCATGCTAACTAACTTAATTGCCATGCATCGAAGCACGCGTGGGCTGAATGACAGCTTCGGAAGTGGAGACCCCGGTCTGACTGACGCATACGTGCACTGATGATCGAGCACATTGACTCTGACTCGTGACTCATCAGACTCGTGACTCAAAGTCACGATTTGTGTAGAGGGATAGATTCACGTGATTCAAGATTCTTAATCCATTGATTCAAAATTCATATATAGGCACGCGGGCGTCAAGCTTCGACAGCCTTGAGTCAAGAGTTGATGAGTCTTTGAGTGTCAGTTGCGTTAGCTAATTGTGGAGGCACCGCGCCGCTGTGTCACGCATACAATCACGATCAGCCCTGCGCTGCTGATGAGCCACGCGCGGTGAGCTCGCGCATCGTTGAGAGGTGCAGCCTGCAAGACTCATCAGCAGGCTGTCCGTAGTCTGAGTACAACAATTTGAATCACCTGAATCACGAATCACTCATCGATTCCACCTTGAATATTGATTCTAATTATCATCAGAGCCACACTCATCACACTCGTGACTCACCCACTGTTTGACTGTTGAATGCATGCTGAATCGTGAGTAAGCTAGGATGCGATCACGAATGCAAGCGTCACTTTTCTGATTGAGCCCCGCGCATTCAATCACGCGTCCGCATCACGCGCGGGTGTTTATTCAAGATGCTGCTTGTTCTCAGGGTCAAGCAGCACGTGAGACGCTTCTCCGAATAGCCGCGGAGCTTGTGGGGTCCTCCGAGTCACGTGAACGGATTCACGATTGTTGCGTGAGCATCGCGACGCTCCTAGATGCTGCCTGCTGATCCTTACCCGTATACACAACAGCAGCGCATCATCGTGATAGACGATTCAATGAGTCGCTTTTGAGTAGAGTCGCGGGTGAGGCAAGCGACTGCTCAAGGTTCTCAGAACGTTGTCACCGCGAGACAGCTGGTCACTCACTCTACACCGCCCTTGATATCACCTCAAGGGGATCTGCGCACTTTGCCACCACGACCTGGAAGCGGTGCCCAGCATGTATCATTCTGAGTTTGGTCGCCGTCTGCGCACGCATTCAGCTGGGGCCAGCAGCTCCTCTCCCTCTTCATCTCGTCATCAATTGCAGACCGCCGGTGAATCAAGCGGAAGAGCTTCTCGCGCGCATAATAGACAGCACGACTTGGCCAGCATCAGCGACCTGAGAATTCAACCTCGAAGACCATCCGCGCACGCCAGCTCAAGTCGGCTTGTCGAGGATCCAGACTTGGGGGCGCAAAGTTCAGGAATGATTGGTTCGGGCATTGCCACCGCTATTGAAGATAGTGGCATCAGCAACGCACGCTCATCGGCTACAACTTCAGAGCACCCAGGGACGCCAAAGAGGGCGAAGGCCAAGATCACAGGTGACAGGTGAGAGAAGCAAGAGCTGCAAGGTGCGCATATATGCGCTGTTGCTGAGTCGCAGTGATGCCTACAGATTCATCCCGGCTCGAACTGGCACCGATGTAACCACTGCGTATCAGTTAGGTGTCCACGAAGCCGCGTCTAAGAAGCGGCAAAAGCGAAAGATGGCAGTGGACATGGATGCTCAAAAAGGTGCGTCACAGTCTCTGGCTTCTGGGCACTACCTTTGGCCGGTCTGGGGTGCTGACTCTACGCTGTATACCTCCTGCGCAGAAGAAGCCGACCACACTTTCTCATCTCTGCTGACAACTGAGCTGCTTGGTCCAGGCGCGAGTGACCTGGTCGCCGGAATTAATGGTGCTCCGTTCGCGAACGGCGCTGGTCCGTCCCATAGAGCTGGAGGCACCGGGCAGGTTACGGATCACCCAGCTGGACCTACCACACCGAAGAAGAAGAACCTTCTTACATACTCGCATACACCCTCTCCTTCTTCGTCGCGAAGCTTAGGTACTCCTGGTCGGAGTGGAGGATCGGAGCGCATAGGGGCTTATTCGGCATCTGCAGGCGGACGCTCGAGCTCAGGCCTGTTCGGAGCTGCTTCAACTTCACCCACAAAGCGGGGTCAGGTCGCCTCGCTCGACTCTCCCCTTCACTCCGCGTACAGCCTGAGTCCAGTCAATCTTGAGAGCCAGCGGATGCTCCTGCACCCTCGAAAGCCGGCAAGAACGTTAAGCAAAGTCGCGTTCAAGGTATTGGATGCGCCCGATCTGGCGGTGAGTTGGTCGGGTGCGCAAGCTGTCACCAGCAGGCGCAACAGCTGACCGCTTCCCCTCTGTCATCGGCAGAACGACTTTTACCTCAATCTGGTTGACTGGTCCCCGCTGAATGTGCTCGCTGTTGCTCTCGGCCAATGCGTGTACCTCTGGTCAGCCAAGACGTCTTCGGTCGTGAAGCTCGTTGATCTGACGGATGGCGATGATCGGATCACAGGATTGAACTGGTCCAACAACGTGAGTATGCGAGGTGCTGAGCCGCGTGCTTGTGCCGATGCTCCTGTCTGACACTCGTTCTTGCCGTTCCACCACGCAGGGCAAGTATCTGTCGGTGGGCACTGATCAAGGCGAAGTCCAGATCTGGGATGTGGAGCACGAGAGCAGGGTGCGAACAATGTCGGGCCACCAGAATCGGGTCGGTGCGCTGGCATGGAACCTCGGACTGCTCTCAACCGGCTCGAGAGACAAGGTCATCTACCACCGTGACACACGAGTTCCTGAGCACTGGGTCGCCGAGCTAAAAGCGCACAAGCAAGAAGTCTGCGGGCTGAAATGGAACACGACTACCAACCAATTGGCTAGCGGAGGAAACGATAACAAGCTGCTTGTGTGGGACGGCATGAGCACAGTTCCGTTGCATCGCTTCGCTGAGCACACTGCCGCTGTCAAAGCTATAGCTTGGAGCCCACATCAACAAGGCCTACTGGCTTCCGGTGGAGGCACAGCAGATATGCGTATCAGGTTCTGGAATACGATCACCGGCCAAATGCTCTCGGAGACGGACACAGGATCGCAGGTGTGCAATCTTTCATGGAGCAAGACAGCCAACGAGATCATCTCCACCCATGGATACTCGACCGGCAAAGTTCAGAACCAAATTCAAGTCTGGAAGTATCCTACCATGTCGCAAGTGGCTACTCTCACAGGGCATACCATGCGCGTTCTCTATCTCTCCATGAGTCCGGACGGAGAAAGCATCGTCACGGGCGCTGGAGACGAGACGCTTCGCTTCTGGGACTTGAACACTCCTACAAAGACACAGCTTGAATCTCGCGCATCCTCTTCCTCCTTGGATCCATTTCAGAAGCTGCGATGAGCTACTCCTGTTGGCCTTTTCGACTTTCAGTCTGTTGCCGCTCAAGTCACGAATGCGTCATGCCCTCCCTGATGTAGCATGCAAGGTGTTACTGGCACATCTGGACGATGGATGTCAGGATTCTGTCGAATAATGAATTGAAGTATAGGCATGACATCAACTTGTCCCGACCGGCCACATCACCTCGAGATCAGAGGGAGCATCTTCCAGCGCTGGGGCCGACCATCCGGGCACCACTAGACGGTCTTCTGTCGAGCGACGCCAGGCAGGAAAGCCACGAGGAAGACCAGTATGGCAGCGATGAACGCGTGTATGCGTAGCTGAAGCACTGACGGCGCAAAAATGCCGAGCAGGATTCGAGGCGTACTGGCGTGGACGTCGGGCTTCCTGTCTAGAACCAGGTATGACATCATTCCGTTATGCCACGCTCTGGCCGGGGCAAAGAGGGCAGGCGAGCGTGGGCGGTGAGCGACCAGCCGAAAGAACAGGAAGACAATTCACTCAGCTCATATGACTTACGTTCCCCAACCCGCGCCGACAAACTTGATCGGTATGTAGCCCAGCAGTCCTGATCCAGGAATGACGTACTTAGGTCCGTTCGCTCTGGGGTCTTCGTCATCTACAACATTCTGGTCGAGCACCCTTCGAGGCAGGTCCGGGTACACAGCAGCCATCCGACCGATGCCAACGCCGTCAACGTGACTATTCTCAATCGCGCTCGCCATTCCTGCTCTTGTCTTCAGCCCACCAGTGACGATCAACCTGGTCGAGCTCGAAGCTGGAAGGTTGTCCCGCGCCTTCTTAGCAAAGTTGTGGAAAAATGCTTCCCGAGCATGAGAACGAGCACTACGCGCGCCCTGGTCCTTCTGCCTTTGGGACGCCTCTGTGCCTCGCTGTGGTGCAGATACCGATGTGTCCCCTTGCAACTTGCGCATTTCTTCCTCGGCGTTGAAACCTTCGGTCATGAAGCCTGACAGCGAGAAGGCCGAGGGTTAGAGATTGTGTAGGGTGCTTCAGCTATCTGATCTGCCAGTCTTTCGAGCTGCGCATTCCGAACATACTAGGATTCTCATAATTGCCCCCGCTATGTGAGAATGAACTTCTTGAAGTCAGCGAGGACAACCTCGGAGAAGGGCCCCCGCGCGCGCAGCAGCAGCAGACGTACCTGATCTCGACAAAGTCGACTCCACCATGCTCCGCCAGCCAACGCACATTGAGCAATGCGTCATCTTCCGTCAATCCACCTTGGATGTAATCGCTTGAGTTGAGCTGCAGCATGGATTGGATGGGCGGTGACGCCAGGTGAGTCTTCTGTGCATTGGGCCGGACAGCCTGCCTCATGGCTAATTCACCTTTACGCCGATTAGGAATTCTCGAGGGACCCGTTTGCGTGCTTCAGTGACAATTTCAAGCAGAATGCGTGCTCGTCTTTGGGCATCGCCGCCGTATGCGTCGGCGCGAAGATTGGTCCTTGGGCTTAGGAAAGCTGATAGCTGATAGCTGGGTGACCAAGCGGGCGGAGGCAGCGAGGATGTGCACAGTAAGCTCATTGTACTATCTGGATGCGACAAGTGTCAGTGTGATTGTACACACCCGTGACTGGCATGCAGCTCAATTCCATCAAATCCAGCCCTGGAGCAAGCCTCAGCCGCAGCTGCGAACCGGTTCACCATCTCTTGGATTTCCGGCAGGGTCATAGCTCTCGGCGTGCCCCACAAAAGCCAGTCTAGCGCTTTGCCGACGACGCCCATGCCTTCAGAGGGTCTCATGGGGACAGCAGACGGGGCCAAAGCTGGCTTCCAAGGAGCTCGACCTGAGCCTCGTAGAGATTGTCTGCCAGCATGGACCAGCTGTACCACTACCAGCGGGCGATCTGCCTCGTCAATCGATGAATTGTCTCTACCCGAAGATGCTTCGGCGTACGCTTTGAAGTCTGAGATGAGAGCATCAGAATGAGGCGGCGAGGGAAACGAGATGTCCCAAGGAAATCCAAGATGTGTCCGATCTACAGCTACATTGCCTGAGAATCATAATGAGCACAGGGTTAGGTCGTTCTTTGATTGTCTGAGTCATTCGACCTCGGCAGCGCAGAGAGCGCGCGCATACATTCGGTGCTCACCAGTGATGACCATACCCCAACCAGCCTTGGCCCAGTGCCTGTACAATTTCAGAAGGGCAGGAGTAGGTGCGCTCCCACCAAATCGTCCTAGCATTTCTTCCATTGGAGCCTTGACCAGTCTATTAGGGGCGACCTTGCCATTGCCGAAGTCCAGCTTCTGAGAGAGGATCTTTACTGATTCGGACATTTTCTGGTCGGGCAGTGATGCTGGCGCTGCGCCGGTGCTACCTGCGTTGGGACGGGGAGAGGTGTTGGACAAGCGATATGTAACCGCCCGTGTGAATGCCGAGAAGGATCTGTGGCCGAGATGATAACAATAGAAGACACGCGGATTGATGTCGAGACTACAGACAACGCTAGAGGGGCCAAGCTGGACAGGTGAGCCGAAGCTTCTCTACGGCGTCGAGCCAACCTCGCAAGGGCATGGTCATCTTCACCTACCTCAAGGACACAACCTTCGTCTGAATGACAGGAGCAAGTCGCAAACTGTGCAGGATCCTGACTGACGGACTGATGGAAGTCAAGCTGCGTTGTAGCTGAAGGGGGTCACGAATCACGGACGAGGTCGCGAGTCATGACCACAGCTGTCGGAATGAAGGTCCAACATCTTAGCGAATCAATTCCCCGCAATCGTCCCACCGTCCAAGCTGACCAGCTGCGCACTCGTGGCCTGTAGCTGCAATTCACGCGCCGCGTGAATCGTGAACGATGCATGTGGAGCAGCATGCGAATGCAGCGCGTACCACCGCGAGTGTAGCAGCAAGAGCAGCGTCAGCAGAGCATCCCAAATCCGGTCGAGCGCGTGAAAAGGTCGGCGTTTTGCAGCTCAGCATCATGCTTGGATCGACGCACAGGACCTGCAGCATGCAGATAGCCATTGTTGATTCAGGGTTCAAGCCTGTCCCTCCTTCTCGGAGCAGACTCTTGACTCTCCATCACGGCAAGACTACGGAGGGTACATCACCTGCAGCGTCGTCAACCTGGCTGTTGGGAGCAAGTGTGCCGAGCTGATCAAAGACCTACACGCAAGCACTTGGGCCTCCAGTGGATGATGCTCTCGAAGGATTCCCAAGATCACTTCACGCTGTGCACGATCAGCACAATCGGATCCGTGCCTTCCACGTTGCCGCAAGCGAAGAACATTTAGATGATGCAACCTGGAGTGAGATTTTGTTACACAAGAAAAGTGCGGACGATTGAACAGCTCTACCAGGCAATGCCTCTCAAGGAGCGGCAAAGAAGGTCGGGGAGCAATTTTAGAAGGGGGAGGCAGAGGGTAAAGAACAGACAAGCTGCGTAAGATCGTGTCTTCGCATTCACATGCCGACGAAGCTTGACCTCCCTCCCGGATTGTGCAGAGCAGTCCCAGCTATGTAGATGCGTTGAGGTATGATGATGTTGCTTGTGGCGACGTGGTTGCCAGCCACAGATTTGGGCCTTCCCATGGCTGCAGCGGCCGCAGAATGTGAGTGCACCTCGTCGCTCGAGCTCGGCAAAAGCACACTTGGCATGCCAGGCGTGTTGGGCGCGTTCACGAAGGCTCCATTGGCACCCGCGTCGTGAGAATCGTTGGAAGCTGCCGATACCGTCCTCAGCCCTGGTATCGAGGCTTGTCGCCGTGCCGAAGGTCTGACCTCTGCTTCTGTCTGAATCGCTAGCGCAGCACCAGATAGGTACGCTTGCGCACACCACTCGTACCACACCTTTCTGTCCGAAGTCAATCTCCACATGCTGACGTCAAGCTCCGATTTGGCTGGAAGGTAAAGCGGCTCCTTTGAACGTACACGAAGAAGGAGGAGTTCAGCCAGTGTCAGCGTTTCGAGGCACTCCAAGCAGGCACTCACCTTGAACGGAAAGAAGATGGGGAACCAGCTCAGCATATCCGTGCTCGTCCGTTCTGGGTCTGGGTGGATGGAGCAAAACACATTGCCATACAGATGCGCCTCAAAGTAGCCAGCGAGACCATGACAGGTACCGGCTTCCGGAATGTGGAAAGTGTGCGTGGTCGAGCGCACATTGTGCTGGTTGGTGATCGGAAGACCTGGCGTGACAAGAATCAGAACACCGTGAGTCCAGCAATGCCGAGTTGGCTCCGGCAGACAGACCACTGGGACTCACCATCGTGGCCACGCACGGTCGGAGTGCTTTCGAGGGGCGCGTGCTCGAAGGTCCAAGCATGTTGCACCTGCTCCCAATTGCCCCTCCCTCCATGAGCCGCAAGTAGCTGCACAGCTTGAAACAAGACCACATACGGTGTCTCTGACGCTTTCGTCAACCGTTCCGTCAGAGACCCGCTCGAAGGGGCATTGCCGGTCGATCCTCCAACATTCAGGACTTCGCTATGGAGCTTTGCAGACGAAAGAGGCGTCAAGAAAGGTGTATAGGATGAAGGTATTGACACGCCGTCCGCTGTCCAGAACGCGAGACGCGCGATGATTAGTCATTTCTGGTTTGAAGGCACAGGGGCAGCAGATACCGGTACCAAGCACTCACGCTTCAAGAATCGCATCGCACCATCTAGGCATTCCGGACTGAGCTCATTGTCGCCAAAGCTGCCCAGCAGCTCGGATACGACAATATCGGCTCGCTGCCGCACATCAGACGGAGCAGGCATCGTTCTCATGTCGCCAAACCTGAGCTCGACCTTGTCTCCCCACTCGTTGACGATGCGTTCCTGCAACGTGACCAGTGCATTGGCATTCTTCTCCAGCGCAATGACTTTGACGTTGCGGCGAGCTTTGGTAGCAGCCGCGAGCACCCTTGACACCAGAGGTCCCCTTCCTGCTCCGCACACCCATACCGAAATGACCCCCACGACCGAACGATCAGCTAGAGCCTGCGCGACTGCTTCCTCGTAAAGCTGATACTACAGAGTGCGAGCAACAGCACCGCGGCATGACAGAATCTCGTCAGCAAAGCGAGTCTCATCGCGCAATCAAAGAGGTGAGAGACGCTCACCTTGATGGGGTCTCGCTCGAACACCTCATAGGTTTGACTTTCGAGGTTGTCCATCAGAGGCTGCAGTGGGGCCTGCAACCAATCTGCATATCCTCGCGCAAATGTATCCACCGCACTTTCTGCAGGGGCGCTGCGCTCGATGTGTCTCAAGTATTGCAGATAGCCTGATGGCGTTCCTCGAGTGTGTCGGGGTGGCGGTTCCTGAATGCCAGACAACACGAAGAGCGGTTTCCTCCGCATCAAGCTTCGACACAGGCTTTGAGCTGCCTTTGACAACACCGGGAATCCTTTAGCATTGGCCAAGAAGGAGCCGGCAGGCATCAGAACCAATCCCACAGGCTCAGCCGCCCAATGCGAGAGTGAAGCTGCCGACGGTAGAGGAACGCCTAGATCCAAAGCTACGCTGAGCCGAGTGGGATATCCAGTAATCTGACGCATCAGCTCCCAAACGCTCCAAGCCCAGTCATTGTCACTTCGCACTGCGGCGCCGCGATCCCGCTCGGTTCCGCTTGTGAAGCCGCTGTCGAGACTTTCGGTCGACTTGCTTGACTTGGCTCCACTCTGTTTGTTGAGCCAGATACGGGCTGCATGTACCGATGATACTGGCAGGCGCAAGGACAGCTGCGGCAGAGAGAAAACGAGACAGCTCAGTGTGCACATAATACTCAGAAGTAATGCCAAACAGGGACACTGGACTCACCTGCATCCAGCTCCCTGCTGGGGCAGTCTCGGTCCCGCCGCTGCTCAATAGACCGCTGATGGCTCGCGCGTAGAATGGGAGAAACGGGACGTGAGAGGGAGAGCTAGAAGGTGCTGGGAGCACGACTTGGGGGATTCCGAGAAAGGCTGCATACGCTACTTCTTGTCGAAGGGCCTGGCGGTTGCCAAAGCAGCCGGTGGAAGATGGTGAGTGTGACCCTCTCGCCGGCCCACGTCGATGCATCGCCGTCCTACTCACGATTTCGCTGTCCAGTCGCACTCCCTCATCGGGCGAATCAAGCTCCAACCAAGGACTTATGACAGCGACCAGCCCATCGGTCTCATCTGCGGCGGTCCACACACATATGAGCCAGACGTCGATGAGCACAAGGGCAGGAAGTGCAGTGTTCAAACGCTGTTGACAGCTCACCAATCTTTGCAATGTTCACTTCGTTCCGCCTAAAGGCTGGGGCACGCCTCCAATCTTCAGCTTCCCGCATTCTCGCCTGTTCCTCTGTTTCCGATGAGAACGCAAAGGCTGTACTTGGAGCAGAGGCTTCCGATGGCGGGCTCTTACTGCTCCCTCCTGAGCCGTGTCCGGACATCATGGGCGACTTGAGCTTTCGCTTGAACGTCGCAGCAGGTCCACTGCCACCACCGCTTTTTGGAGCTCCCTCCGGTGCCGTGCCACCTCGACGAGGCGAGTCGTCAGGCAGCGCGACGTGAGGGCGCGAAGTGCTCCTCTTCATGCCTTGCTCCCTGGTCAAGATCTCCCAGCTCTCACCCATCGCGCCTGGGTTGCTCATCGCATGCTTGGGCTGGTCCCAAGCGCTTGCGCCAGGTGAATCATGAGCAGGAGCGGGGCCATCACCAGCCATGTGCCCGTTCATGACGGGCGTTGCTGGAGCCAGGCACATTCTCTCCCATCTGTCCTTCCACTTTTCGTTGGTCAGGGGCACCACTACCTTGTCGTAGCCTTCTGATCGAAGGATAGCGCGAAGCCGTTGAACTTGAGTAAGGCCAGCTAGAGCCGCATCAATGTCTGCGCTCAGCCCTTCAAGCCTGCTAGATGCTGCTTTGCCATTGGATCGCGAAGTGGCTGAAGCTGAGCCTTTGGGACCCGGCAAGCCAGCCGGCGATGGCCCAGAAGCCTCCGAGAGCGCATTGATGTGCGAGGCTTCTGGCAGCGGCTCCAATCCTCCTGGCGTGGCTCTTCCAGAAGTCGATCCTGATGCAGATGGGGGTCCTCGTCGTGCCTGAGACTCGACAGCTGCAAGCGAAGCGTAAGGAAACGCCTTGACCGGCTGAGGCCCATGCGAATTAAAGTCCACAAATTGGCCGATGGGAAGCGGAGGGCCCGATTCGACGCCTACAGGAGCAGGTGCCGACATCATGAACAGCCTGCGCGCTGTGGTGAGTACTTTGGGAAACAAAAAAAGGTGATCTGGAGGTCGAAAACTTGAACAGCAGCCACAGGATGCCCGAGAAGATGTGTGAAGCTGCAGTGACGAAGCCGAGCGCAGGTGGACAATGTCAAGAGCCACTGGCAGTGCGAAGAGGGTAGAACTTTTGGTTCTGCTCGATATGAGCGACAGTCCGGGAAAGGTGGAAAGGCGAGCCTTCAGAGTGGAGCTTTGGGAATGGGTTAGGCTCGCGGCCGGACAATCCAATAATGATCGGCTCTACAGCATGTGGTGAGTTGATGGAGCATTGTCGGGTGATGAGCGCACTAAGGTGGCCCAGCAGACTGCAGTCACAAACCGCTGCGAGAGGGAGACCCGCATCAGAACGAAGCGTCTGGCAGCGCCTCTGCCTGCCAGTTCGGGATTTGCGCGTTGTTTGGCGCAGGCGACCGCCCTCGCGCGGTAACTGCGTGCTTGCGCGCACGCTGCTGCTGGGCGCGCGAACGCGCCTTTGCAGCATGCTGCTTTGTCGGACTTTCTTTCACATCCCGCCGCTCGTTCAACGCGTACGTGTCGCGTCATCCCTGCGCGAGAAGAGAGCAACACATGACACGCCGCTTGAACAAGAATCTCGAATCACGTATGATGATGCATGCTGCATAGCCAGCAAGGGTCAGAGCGTTGACCACCAAAGGGTCTCGCAGCCATATCTCAAACATCTTGGGACATCGAGGTGTCTTCCAGCTAGGCTTGAGCCTTTTGAATACTCTTCTGTACCATCTCCCCCATCTCAGAGGCCACGTAATGCCGTGCTCTATGGATGAACACTGAAGAAAACGGGAATTTGCAAGAAAGCCGTAGTGCATTAGAGATTCCCAACGTGTATGAGGGAGACATATCTGTACCGAGGTAGGGTTCAATTGAGAGAACAAGCGACGCAAGATATCTCAGAAGTGCAAGAGAAGATGAAACGGACGTGAGGAGCTGGGACATTTCCGAACGAATACCTGAAGAATTATGGCGAAAAAAGAATTACAAGGTAGCGCGAGCGGACGATACAGATGAAGGTCTGAGTGCAAAGAGGAGGACGAGGGGCGGTGCCAAAGCCGACGCAAAGCAGCGGGAAGCGAGTGCAGTAGATGGCATGATTCAGGCGTGAAAGGCCGTCGAGAGGTCGAGATGCTGTTGCTGCTCAGCAAGATGTTTCAAGTGCTGTTGTTGAGACTGCAGTTCTTGCTGCTGGGTGATGACGAGGAGATGCTCGAGCGACGCGACCTGCTCACTGAGGTCGAAAGCGTAGCCCAGTTGTGCAAGACCCTCCAAGACCGCTCCGACTTCCCTCGCCTTTGCAGCAGCATCGTAGGGGCCTAGCTGTTCCGTCTTGGAAACTGCGATTTGCGATACAAGCTTCGCTTCGCTGCTCATCCCTGTGCTTCCGTCTGCAGCATCAAAGTGAGAAGGTGATAACGCTCTTGCATCTCCAGAAAGCTGTCTCGGGTCAACATGTGCAGATGTAGCCGATGCAGTGGCATCTGCATGGCAAGAGTCCTCGTCAAGGCCTTCTGTGCCCACGTCCGCCGTTGTAGTTGGAGGTGTGCGGATCAAAAATTGAGCGACCGCAGAGAAGGAGCTGAAGATCGTGCCACCTGTCTGGAACACGCGCTTCGGAAGCAGAAACTCCACAAGGTGGGCGATCGATCTGCACGAAAGGAGTGTACGCTCTCGCGCACGGTGTAAAAGGTGGCCTAGGGCTGCAGCGTGGCCTGCATCTTCAGATGTTGAAGCGCCAGGAAAAGCCTGAGACATTGCGGCGACGTAGGCGTTCTGCACATGAAAGCGCTCGCCAAGTATGCGATAGACGGCGAGGTCGAGCATTCCAGCAGCAACTTTGATAGTCGCGATCCACGTAAGAGGCTGGAAGCCAGTCAGGCGATCCATCTGAGCTCTCGCAGCATCCGTGCAACGGTCAAAGAAGAGCAGAAGGCTCTGTTGGGAATTCCAAAGGGCATTGCAAGCTTTCTGGAGTCTGTGCACGTCTGCAGCCGTCATTCGCTTGCCGAAGCGTTCCTGAGGCCCAATCACTAGCGATGAACCAGTGGGCAGTGGCGAATCAATGTGCTTTGTCACAAATCGAGCAAGCGCACCGATCTGTACCAATGCGAGCACTAATTCGGAAAGCAACCAAGATTTTAGTGCCGCGACGCACCGCATCAGGATCAAAATGACTTACAGCAGAAACTCATTCCCATTTCGCCGCTGAGCTGCATGCCACCAGGAGGGCTTGGCGTTTCGACCCCTGAGCGGGCAGCGCTGCTAGCGCTCGCGCCTCCCTGGATGCCTATCGCTCGATCAGCTTTGTAGTGGGGGGTAGCCCTGGACAGCATCGAGACCAGGCTGGAGTACGTCCAGGCGCTGCAGTAGACACGAGTGGACTGCATCCGCATGATCAGACCTTCGACTGCCGCCTGATCTTGCTCGTGCACCTCGCACGGCTGCTCCAAATTGAGGGCAGTCAGATGACGCGCTGCAGCATTGGTGAAGAGCGGCGAGCTGGCAGGATCTGCGCGGTCGACAACTTGAGCCAAGATGAGCAAGCACTGGATTGTCTCGACAGATGGCTTGCGCAGTAGGTCATGCTTGTGCACCATCTCAATCGCTTTGCTAAGCATCTCCTGACAGAAAGCTCGTCTGGCTTGACCAAATCGCAGCAACTCCTTGGCACGGCCGGCGGCATATTTTGCTGTAGCCTCTGGTCGCCCTTCGACCCAAACACGATTCTCTTCGCCCTTTCCACGATCCTTCCAAGAGTCAGGGCCAAGCTCGGATTGATCGCGCCATTGTGGAGAGCTTGACTCTGATGCACTTTGTTTTCCGGCGCTTGTGTTGGGTGTAGACCCGCTCACTTCAGTTCCTTGAACAGTAGACTTGCGTTTCGTGTTAATGTACTCTTGAGTGCAAATGATTCGTTTGTCCTCACATCGGCTGCATCCCATTCCTGGCGCACGCTCGGTGACGTCGCAACGCACTCGACGTAAGCGACAGGTATCGCAAGCCACTCCTTGCTTACGTTTTGGTCTTCGTCCACCAGGCAATACAGCCGTCTCTGGAGCGCCCATCGCTGTCTTTGCCGATACTACCTCCTCTGGTGGAGTTGTCCGATTTCGATCGCTCGGAGATGCGTCAAGGCTGTTGCTGGCGCCCTGGGCACTTTCTTCGCCAGGCACAAAGCAGGGAACCGACTGTCCATCATCGCCACCAAGTTGATGTGTGTGCTGCAGCCCCACACCACCAATACCCGAGATACCTGACGATGGAATGCCGCCATTGTCGGGGCTGTGAAAGCCCAGTGATTGCGCCTGAGAGCCGAACGCAAGCGGCAAGTCGGTATAGCATGCTGCCCAGGCGTGCATGGCCGCCATGAGTGCTTGGGCGGTAGCAGGCGTAGAAATTGTGCTTTCCCCGGTCTCGGGCCAGATTTTGAGGCGCAAGCCTGGAGTGACCAAGGGCGCGCTTGGAATGCTTTCCTCTTGGCTTCCACCGTTGCTCATAATGCTCATCACTCGTGGGTCTCCTCGCGCCCAATTGTAGCGAAACGAGAAGTGCGCAAGGTCGACGAGGGGCAGCTGAATGTGTGCGGTGGCAAAGAAGCAGGTAAGGAGCCGCAAAGATACCGAGCTGGCCATGACGCTCGAAGCCAGCTTGCTCTCCCCGCGATTTGCAGATGCAAGCGTGTGTGGCTCGATTGCGAGTACGAGAGGGCTCGTTCGACTTGCTTCGGCGTTGGCGATGGAGCCGTGCAGTAAACGTGCTTGTTCGATACGCTTGCCAGTACGACTCGGACGAGGATATCTTCGAGAGGGGGGAGCGTGGTTTTTGGTGCAGTTTAGATCCTTGTCAGTGCAGCGCGTACACTTGACTCCGTTCATGTTGCCATTCTCAGGGTTGGGCGACAGGCCGTGATTAACTCTCCGCTCGAGCAGATCACAGCGCAGGTGCTTGGATCGACAAGCATCGCAGGTCTGCAATGAGCAGACCAGAGGTCAGCAAGGTGACAGCAAGGCATGCACAAATGCAACTTTGTTCACTCACTACGCCTTGCCTCCTCTGAAGCTTGGGCTTCTTTGACGCTCGGTCATATGGCGCGTCGTCAACCTCTTCGTCTTCAAGGATGGCCAGCTCATCCACTTCCTCACTGCCAGCCAGCGAGGCGCGTGGGTAGAAGTGAGGATGTCGTTCGAACGCCTGAGTCGACACACTGGCAGGCGCTTCGCCGTGGAATGGAGTCATGCCCGGGATTGGTAGGGGCCCCTTGGCTCCACTTGAGCGAGCCGCGTCAGCCGAGGATGAGGACGCCCGCTGAGTGTGAGGCACGAAAGGTGTAAAGTCTTCATGCTGCGCCGCCTGCTCCCACAGAGCGTCAAAGTTGGTGAGACCGCTTGCCGGGAACCCCGCTGCGGTGAAGAGTGGTTGGTCTAGATGCCCGTCGCCGTTCAGTCCGTGTTGCATAGCTGACGGAGGACTGCCCAAGGTGATGCCAGAAGCTGCGCTGCTCCCGTGCTGACAATCCTCCTGAGCTGCGGCGGAAAAGTCATCGAAATGCGTAGCCCAAGTAGCAGCACCTTGCCGAGCTGGTGCACCCATGGACCAAATCCAGGGCGCCACGCCTGGACCCGCTGCTGCTCCCGTCCCTTGCGCTCCCACAGCACCGTTGTGTTGGCTCGCTTTGCCTGATAGTTGTCCAGACGTATAGCCAAGATCAGAAGGGTCGTGCGACGCGAGAAGCTCTTCAAAGCTTTCAGAAGTGGAAGAGAAAGGGTTATTCGAGGTCGCAGATGTGCTAGCGGTCATTGTCGCCGATGATGTGCTTGCCGTAGGCGGACGACTGCCCTCGCCGCGTGATTCCTCGTTCGACGAAGGTGTGCGCGTCATGATGGTGTGATGGACGAGGGGAGCGGCATGTAGAAGATGCTTGCGATGCCTGGTCAAGTGGACGATGATGCTGGGAAGTACGAGGAAACTCTGATCGTAGTATCGACAAGGCACAGAAAATTCGAAGGGCCAGGTGGTTGATTGCGCTCACCGAGTGAGAAGGCCAATGCAATGAATGTCCTGATTCGCAATGCCTCGTCTCGACCTTTCACGAGCAAAGCAGAGCTTGTTGGGTGAGTGCGTGTGCGTCCGAGAAGGGCTCGAGCGCTATGTGATACAGAGTCGAGAATTGTGAATCGAATCTTGAATGAGATCCTTGCGTGGTGAGCGATGCATTGTCCGGTGCTGCGCTCGGAGCTGTGGAATCCGGCTGAACTTTGGCTTCTGCTGAAGCGTGCGCCGCCACAGCTGCGTGTGGTGTACAGTGTAAGTACCAAGAAGAGGTGCTCGGGGCAAGCCACTCCAACGGCGCAGCTTCGGGCAGCTAGGAGCTCGGCCACCAATCTCTGCTGGCTGCACCTTTCTGCAGCGAGCACACCCTAAACGCTGACCTTGTGCAGCGGTTGGCCATGCAGAGCCAGAGTGGTGGTGCTCACGGCTTGGTGCAGCTCTCGCGTGCTGCGTGTTCATCACTGGCATGCAGATGCAGCACGGCACGAGAACACAGGCCAAACGCAGCGAGCATCCAGCACGTTTCACCTTCCTTCCGCAAATGGAAGGACGTAGGTGAGGGTGTACCAGAAGACGTATGAGGGCAGAGGAGACGCATGAAGGCCCCTCCACCGCCATTCGAGGTACATAGATTGCGGTCACGATCGAGCTCGTGCGCTGGAGCACAGCTTTCACCTTCAAGAGCTCAAATGCACCGCGGACCAGCGGCTCATTTGCGTTCCGAGCACGCGTCGCAGCAGCAGGGCTGCACCGCCACGGCGTCTCACTTAAATCCAGCTCATGGCGTGAAAGCTTGATCTTCATGAGATTGAAGAGGGACTTTCGAAACTTCTTGACCACCGTCTTTGTGGTCCACAGTACCGATATGGAGCACGAAGCGCGGCGGACGAGGGGGTAAGAAAGCACGAATGCTGAAATGCGACAATATTCTTGCGGAGATTGATCCATGCCAAGTCAGACGCTCTTGTGTGATGCTTTTCCCAGCTGCATGGGGGGTCAGGCAGCCTGCAACTCATGCCGTGACGCGGGGGCAGCTGAGGTAGCCACAGCAGGGCAGCGGCAAATTCACATTCTGCATGCGCCTGCTGCTGTGATTTGATAGCTCTGATCCGGTGGGACGTGGTGGTCACGCGTGCTGCAATCTGCAGAATCACGATCGCCTTGTCACGAGTCTGCTGGGTGCAGACTTGGCGGCTTGCAAACTGCCAGCTTCAATCGTGAAATCATATTCGTGAATCATGGCAGCCTACAGTACTCTTTGCATTCAAATCAAATCAAATCTTGAATGTGCCTATAGCCACTTCAATCACAACTCAGCCGGTGTCTTGACTTTGTCCAGTCCCGAGATTCGAGCTGTTGAGACCTCAGGCTGCAGATTGATGATGGGCTCGTCTTGTTGCCTCTCTGCAGCTGCAGGTACCGTACCGTACCATATTCACACACGCTGCTGTGCGTGAATGCGCGAACCGGCTCTTCCACGCTCAGGTGCCCGGTAGGCCCGCATCGCCCGCGACCTCTGCGCCTTGCAGCATCGGTGGCAACTGTGTACCGACCGCGACCACCTGTTTGTTGCTTATCAACTCCAAAGGCAGCTTTCTCAAAGCGCACGGAGTCTGAGTGATGAATGTGAATGTCCCTCCGCTTTCGACTGCTGCTCAACAATCGCGGTGAGCACTTTCGACGATCAGAAGAAGTCTATCACGTACCGCTTCCACATTCTAGCCCTGATGCAGGCGAGGCGGCCATGGTCTCATAATCTTCGGTCCCCTCGCAGCTGACGCATGATTTGAACATGAAGGTCATATGACATTCAGCTCATCTGTGCACAAGGAGCGTTGTCACCGAATTCCATCCACTGAGAGCCTTGCAAGACTGGTGTGCATGTGGGGAAAGGTGGTACGGGCGGTGCTGGCGCTTGAATTTCACCAGCGGGCAAGGAAGAGACTTTCGCACGCTAAGATTGAGGGTTCCATGCGCAGCTCGGCAGCATGCAGTCTCTCCGAAACTCCGAACCGGGAAAACAGCGTCTGGCTTTTCGTGAGTGGGATCTCGCACCGTATACAAACCATACCTGCGAGATGCCAGGGCAACGTGCGGCTGGATAGGAACGCCCAACGGGTCTTCTTACCAAAGCAAATTGACCAGGTGATGTTTGCTGCACGCTTGCTCCTTCCGGAGTTGCTCAGACTAGTCTGAATGAGCAGCATCTGCCATTGCAATTTGGCCATGATGAACTAGCCACGATGGACAAAGGGTGTACATGAGTGCAAGGACCATTTCGGATCCAATTGCGAGACTGAGCAGCGGGGCAAAGCTGCACACGTTCTCAAGTGATCTGGAGGTACCTTCATTCATCAGTGACCAGGCTGCGGGATCTACGCAACGCACGACTCACCTCGATGAAGACGGTTTCACTTGTGCAAACATCAGTCGACTCAGTAATACCTCGAACTGACCGCAGAGAATTATGCAAGTATCATTGGCATGACAGCAAGAACTGTATATTGATATGATTGACAATGCGAAAAACGTGTGCGGCTTCCGCTCAACCCAATCTCCTGCTCCTCTCCGTCTCCGACCAATGCGACATTTCAGTCTGCAACCGCGGATGTGAGAGGGCTGCTGGTCCATTCTGAGAGGCGGAACGCGCATGACAGACGCAACGATGATGAGTTTCGGGAGGACAAACGCTGCGAATGACAACGCCTCGAGCTGCTGCTCTCCAGAGTACGCACCTCGAGAGCCCGCTTGACGGCAGTCACGCTGCTCATCGCCAACAAGCCAGCGGCATTGGGACCTGAAGCATCATCTGCCGTTCCAGACGCTTTCCTCTTAGAGATTCTCTCCACCTGCTTCTCGATCAGTCTTTCCACCTCTGCTCGCAAGCGCAGCAGTGACGAGAACAGCGCTGGATTGCTTGATGCCGCATCCGGGAACTCTTGCGACATCGTCAGCGACACCACGCTCGAATATAGGCGACCGTATCTGTACGAGACCTACATGTACGGCACCACGTATAAAGCGTCAGATAGACTGCAAGCTGGCTACCCCAGCTGCGGGGTGCTACTCACCGTAACGACATGCTGGTCTGTGACGCGCGGACTTTGGGAACCGAAAGGATTGGAGACAGTGTTCGCAGCTGCCCTGACGAAGCTTCCAAATCCAGCAGCGATGGTTTCTGTGCCTACGTTGGCGGAAGTGAGACCTCCAGCAGACTGTGGCGTCCCACTGTCCGCAAATTTCTTGATACTAGCGATGTGTTCATCCCACTGACGCTGGAGAATGGGATACGCCTCCATCTTGAAGTTCATCAACGTCGGCTGCAGAACGCGAGAGACACCACGCGCGGTGCTCTCGCTCAACAGTCCTTCCAGGTGCTGTAAAACGGTGAGGAGGCTGAGCATTGAAGGGGGGGAAGGCGCAAGAAGTGACTTGACGAATGCCTGGGAATTGACGAGGTCAGATAGATGGCGTCAGTCCAAGTGGGAGCGTCGCAAAGTAGCAGCTCATCTTGTCTCTCACCGTCCAGTGCCCCAATACGGGCTCCATTACCTGTCGCCACAATTCATCAGCACCTGCCGCTCTTCCCTGCATCGCTTGCTGCTCCCTTTTGGACAAGTGCGTAACATCGCCATGCGCTTCCTCCCGCATTGTGCCTCCACCATCGACAATGCTCGCCTTGGCTGTTTCCGAAGCTTCCTCAGCGTCGCCTGCTGCACTGGCGCTTTCCTCGGGCTCTGGCCCGTCGTCTGAAAGATCCTCAAGCGTCTTTGACGGCTTGACTGGCATCGATTCCAAGTCTTCAAAGAAGCGCGCGATGAAACAATACTCCGCTGACGCATTGTCTAGCATGACCAGAGAGAGGCTGCGAAAGAGGGACTCGATGGGATGCCGCTGAAGACGACCAGATGGCGTACGCTTTGTCAGAAGAGGTGCACAGCAACGGTGTCCTTCCGTCGCTTACCATTGCGGGGTCCTCCGCCTGGTATGCCAAGCACACTGGGGGTCCATCGGCCATCTTTGCATGTTCCAGTCGCAAAGTATCTAGAAGCCATGTGTCTCCTTCAGCATCAGGTCCAGCGCCAGTGGCTCCTGCACCCCGAGCGGAAAGCGAAAATCGATGAGTCTCATGTGATCACTTCACTGATAGAGCCCGCGGTGCTACTCGCACTCACCAGGAGGCATCACTTCTGCAATCAGAACAGCTGCTCGAGACTCTCTTCTCCTCGCTTTCTCTCTCGCATACTTAAGCGCCCGCTCGTACCTTCTAAATCCCGTCTCGTAGTAAAGCCTGGCAAGACCGACGTATTCGCGCTGCACGTCGATAGCGACTCGAGGCATTTGACGAGCTAGAAAGCCGTACAGACCTCTGTGCGATCTCAGCAGAAGAGATTGCAGGAGGGTGAGATTCGCAGTCAAGCTGCGTTTGATGGGTTGTAGCGGCGCTAGAAGTGAAGCCCGCAGCTTGGCAGCGGCCTGCAAACCTCCCAAAGGGCCGGTCGTCAGCTCGTGAAAGCGCCGGCATGCTACACCGATCGCTGCCCTTTACTCACAACCATTTTTGCGCCTTCCGCTATCTTTCTCACTTCCTCCAATGCCTCTCCATCCGAGACGATATTTCCTTGAGTTGAAGTGGTGCTCTCTTTCTTGCTCAGCAAGCTGGCCGCAGCCGCTGAGCTGGAAGCATCAAGCACCTTTTCCACCTCCGCAAGGTAGCCTTGCCAATCCTTGTTTGGCTCCTCGTCGAGAATGTGCTTGAGCGTCTCCGGACTGATGCTGATGCTCTGCACCAGGTCGTTGAGCGGCAATTCCAGCTTGCGTCTTGCTACGAGTCTCCGTTCTAGCTCTTGACTTCTAGCTTGGAGCGTGCTGATGTGCGATGACACAGCGCCAAGATCAGCGCTAAAGGTGGACAAGAAGCTGCTCAAGTTTTCCAGCTGCGACAAGCTGGTTGAGAGCGTATTGTGCAGCTCTACAAATTTGGGCGCTTGATTCAGAAAGTGAGTTTGGACCTCTTGTGTGTGAAGTGAGAATTGGGCGAGGTTCTGGGCGTGCAGTGCTTGCAATGGCTTATCGCTGCTTGTGGAAGCGGCGACTGAGAGTGGTTCGGTAATGATGTCTCCTAGTGTTCTTGGGTTGGTCGGCCTATGCTGTTGCTGCGATCTATCCGGCGGCGAAGCCCTGCTTGAGCTGGCTACCGCAGCCATTTCTTGCAGCGCTTGCTTCTTGCGAGTCACTTGCAAAGTACGCTCCCAAGGTCGATTATTGAAAGAGAGCCGGGAGTGTCGGGCCTACGTGTGAGCTCGAATGTTTGGACGGGATGACGATGACTTGTTGGCGATCTCGCGCGGAAAGAAGGTGAAAGGTCGCTCTGCGTGTGTTTGAATATCTTTTGTGGGCGTGCATGTATGCATGCAAGCAGCCCGAGTCTCGAGTATACACAAACTCAACACAGACACAACTCGTGAGACGAGAGGATGTATGGTGGATCAACCTTGTGCTTGTGACTTTGAGAAGATGATGTGTCTCAACGCAACGCGATCGAGTCAAGAGTCAAGAGTCACGAGTGCGAGTGTGAAATCAGGCACGCGGTGCTGCTGTCTTCGCTCGTGCGCACAGACACCCGCGGCTGCTGAGGCATGGCTGCGAGCGATCCTGGCTCGGTGCACGAGCGCGGGGTTGCCCGCTCACGAGTGGAGCGCAGCTCCGATCGGTGCACCGCGTTCGCGCTCGTGCAACTCCACATCGGCACCGCAGAATTGTCAGCGAGAGCATCAGTTGTGGTCCACCATTCACATTCACATTCACATTCACATTCACATTCACATTCACATTCACATTCACATTCACATTCACATTCGTATACGTTAACATTCACATTGACGCGCGTCCTTGGCACTTGCGAAAAGTCGCGCAGAAGCTCAAGGCATGGAAGTGTCTCGTCGGATCTGAGTTCGACCCAACGATTTTAGTAGGTTCCTACCTACCCAGAATGAAGGCTATCTCTAGCAGGGGCAGGAGGCTTGTCTGCTGCTGAGCAAGTGATGGTATCAATTTGTGAATAAAAGACGCAAAGAAGTCGATCGAAAGCGAAAGCTATAGCGACGCCTGGTGGGGAGCGATCATCAGGCGGTACACAGATGCGAGACAGCAAAGGGAAGCGATATAAAGTAGCCGGATTAGATGCTGGACAGCTGCTGCGTCGTGGCCAAGTTGGACATGGCCGACTCGCCGCCCATCAAGTTCATGGGCACAAAGATTGTCTTCGCTCCACTTGTCTTGGCCATGGCCTGCAAAGATTCGAGCTGGCGGATCTGCATAGCAGCAGGAGTAGCTGGGAGCGAACGGTGAGGCAAGAACGGTGGTCAGTGGGGACCTAGCGATGCTCGCGGGCTGCTACAGTGACTTACCAAGCACGTCTGCTGCCTGTCTCATGAGCTTGGCGCTCTGCACTTCGGCGCGAGCAGCGACAACCTTGGATTCACCGATTCTGCGCTGCGTGGCGGCGGAGCTGAGCGAGGCCTCGAGATCTTTGCTGAAGAGCAAGTCTCTGATCAGGATAGCCTCTACCGAGACACCCCACTTTTCAGCAACGCCAGCTACGATCTCTTCGACTTGCACAGCCACACCTTCGCGGTCGGTAATGAGAGCTTGAAGGGTTCGGCTACCCACGACATCCCGCAGAGTGGACTGCGCCCTCTCAATGAGGGCAGCTCGAACGTCGCCGACGCCGAATGCGGCGCGGTATGGGGAGGTGACGTGCCAGTAGCAGACTGCTTCAATGTCGATGGTCACGTTGTCTTTGGTCATGACCGTCTGACGAGGCAGCACACTCAGGTTGATTTTGACATCGACAATGCGCAAAGCTGACAGACAACGATCCGGCATTCGCGTGTAAGTAATCCGATGTCTCGTACGAGGATTTGGGGGCTGATTGACTCACTTTCAGAACAAGGGTTGATGGCGACTAGTCCTGGGTCGACACTCCTGTAGAATTGACCGAAGCGCGAGACGAGTCCAACGCTTCCTTGATTGACCTCCTTGAAAGGGTTGGGGAAGCAGAAGCAGCAAGGCAGCTGGCCGAAGAAGCCGGCGCATGCTCCGAGCCCATTGATCATGGAGCCGTAGAAACCGTGCTCGACGTCTTGCAAGCCCAGGTCCTGAGCGTAAGACGGCTGCATGTCTGCCTTCTTCAGAGGCTGCACTTTGATCAGTGCATCGCCAGCAGGTGGAGCTTTCAAGGGCCTCTTCTGATTCGAATGGCTCGGACCGCCTTCACCAAAGGTCTCTTCGTCACCTCCGAGATTGAAATCGTCATCCGAGGTCTGATGGTCGACGCCTCCGCTGCTACTGGCGAAGGCATCCTGGGCAGAGGCCAACTTGTCGTCTGCGCCTGGTACAGTTGGTGCTTTGAAGTCCGACATGGTGACCTGCAGTTCGAAGTAGAGCAAGGTGTGGTGGAAAGAAAGAGCGCGAGTGGTGGGTAGGTGGAGGAGTATAGATGAGAGATGAAGGCGACTTGGCGGGTCCCGTAGTCGTGAGTCACGAGTGCTGGCTGTGCTATTTAAGCTTTTCTCTTGCTTTGGTCATACGATTCTGTCGGAGAGTGGCTATCAAGACGTCCATCGGCATCGTGCAGCAGCAGCGGGGTCTCCGCGCGCATGTGCGGCCTCTGGAACGCACTAGCAGCGGCATTGCAGCAGAGGAAGGTTGATCGCGGGGCAGCACCACATGTGCCTTGGCGTGCATTTGCGGCTTTGCCGGGGCTGTACAGCAAGCAGCAGCTCAAGAGCATTAGAGTGCGCTTTACCACTCATTATTATGACTCTCTTTGCGGGTAATGGCATCCATCGTACCTACAATGAGCGCGCGAGGTTTACTGACTTGAGATTTGGGTCGTTGCAGGCTCATCGGGTCGGCACCGTGCCGTACTCTCTCCGAAGACCGCACGGCCAGCCGCGCTAGAGGCAAAGGCTCACGCGGTCTGTTCTCATGCAACCCCGCACGGCGACGTCATCAATGCCGTTCTCAGCTTGGTCGTCTCGGAGCGAAGGCCGCGATTGGCCGTCAAGCATCCGTGGACAATGTGGGAGGGTGAGGGAAGGGTACGTGCGAGAAGAAGATGAATCGAGGTATGGGAGAGGTTGTTCAGCCAGACTTGGTGGTGAGCGCAGGGCTAATTCGGGGGAAGCGTCTCCTCGACTGCATAGCGTAAGCTAAAGCGCGTGGGGGATCGGTGTGCTTAGAAGCCGTAATTATCATCGTGACGCGACGCGTGTATGGATGGACGATGGTGCCAACTTTTGAAGCGGGAGTCGTGATGAGTCTCCTTCGAGTATCAAGTCCCGAAAGTCCATGCAGCAGCGAGCGATGAGCAATTCCTCTCCGGGCAGAAGATTTGCTTTCGCGAATTCGTGCAAGGGACCAGCAATTGCGAGTCTGCTGATGACCTAGCTGTATTCACGATTTTGATTCTGACTTAAGATTTGATCATTCCTGCCCATTTCAGCACTCAGATTCATGACGCACTCGGCTGTGACTCACGACTCACGACCTAAGTTGGAACTCATGGGCCGAGCAGCAGCCCCTGCGCTATACAGAGCTGCTGCCCGTCCACCAGCAGCGAGAGCAGAGAGCAAAACGAAACGCCCAGCCAGCATGCCGCGCCCGTCATAAAGATCATGCAGCACCCATGTCGATGAAACCTGCTGCTGCGTGCGGGCTTGCGTGCGTGCGTCAGGAACATCCGAATAGCGCCGTTTAATTGCGATGCCTTGCTTGTTGCGTTAGCGTCGCGAGGTCGTACAGTACGTTGCTGCACCACCGCCACACCAGCACGCGTCGGTGTGGCGCGTTCTAACATCATCCGTGATCATCACGGCCGCCATGCATTCAGCATGCAGGGGCGTGAGTCGATCACGACGCACCATGTATCAGTCTGAGTGAAGCCGTATATGCAACACCAGCTCTTTAGTTGCAGCCAAGAGTGAGTGTGAGACCAACTCTTCGGTCAATGAGTCCAGCTGTGCAGCGTACGTGTTGGTCCTGATCGCAGCTAAGCAACAACACAGACACGGCGTAGTTGACGCAACCGGATGTCGACCCTGCTAAGATCTGGTCATTGCCGCGCTCCCAAGACTTGTTCATCAACTTGTATGATCGAGAGAGTGACTCACCAACACACGAACTGAGCCGAGAGTCTTGATGTGACACAGTCACCAGCGAGATCGCCCGAGCAGCGACGCAGAATCAGCAATTTGGGAACAAATTACCAATGCATCCGCCCGCAGCAAACAACCGCTGCTGTGGCACCAAACGTGGCCTGACCACTGCTGCTGCCGCGGATAGCCTGGACCACGCAGACAAAACTTATAGCAGCAATCAGAATGGCCACGCACGCAGTGACCACTTCGACTCAAGGAGTGACTGCTGCAAGTCAAGTCACAGTAGGGGCGATGAGTGCAATCACGAAACGTGAATCAACATTCAAGAATCAAGAATGATTTTTAATATTACTTCATCGTGGAAAGATGGCTGCATGCGACTCGTGACTGTGCCGCCGCTTACATGTCATGCCCTATAATAAGCTTGATATTCCGTCTGCCCATCTTGCTTTCGTCAAGCGCACTTTCAGGCGGCAACTTCGCTTGGAGAAGGGACGTAAGCACTGCGCCGCGCCCACAGTCTTCATTCAACGAGTCAAGCTCCGACCAAGACTTGATCTCGACTCGTTGCACCCTCGTCAAAGACGGGTACGCACGCAAGTACTGCACCGACATTCGGAACAAAGATGCCCAGTACCCCGTCGCACGCCAGCGGCTCTTGTAAGGGCGCGGTAACGATGTACCGGCCGCGGTACCTTCTCCACGGCGGTCATCTCATATATATTTCAGTCTGAACCTGGCGGAGTTCAACACTTCATTTTGCCGCCATGCGCAACACAGCAATTGTGCAACGTTGCGCAGACTCAATCTGCGCCTCTCAAGACCAAAACAATCAGACGCACCACGGACACCGTCGGACCCCCTACCGTGCTGGCAAACTGGATGTGTGGCAGCGCCAAAGCCGCCAAGCTTCGTCTCATAGCAAAAATTTGGCTGTTGAGGACCTTGCATTGTCGCAGCTGCTCTTTGGCGGTTGGTGAGGAACTGGTCTTTGCCTCATATATGGCAACATGAACTTTGGTGCTGGGGCAATGCTCTCTTTCGCCACCCTTCTCCGTCCATGTTTTTCTACCTCGTTCTTATTCCTTGCCCCCCGTAGCTGATCAACGCTGTGTGCTCACACTCTCAATCATACAGAGGTCGTCCATCCATCCAGTAAGCCCATCCGGCCTTCTTCCAGCCACGACCCCTGCACTTCCTGCTTCGACTCGTGAATATACGATCAGCACACACTTTACAATGTTCAACGCAAAGACGACTTCTCTACTCCTCACCTTTGCTCTCGCCTGCATCAGCGCTCGCGCACAAGCAGGACCAACGCTTAACACACCCACAGGCTTGACGCAATGCCAGCCCGTTGCGCTTACGTGGTCCGGTGGTGCGTGCTCGTGGCCTCGTGGCTTCGTTGCAGAGTCGTGTAGTTCTTTTTCGCCTTTCGTGCCACCCGAGCTGATAGCTCCGTCGTTCCCTACCGAACAGCTTCTGCCACCGGGCAGGTCTTCATTCGTGCCGTTGAAGGTGAGCTCCAAGTTACCAGACGCTGTCGGCAGTGGATCTGCACGCTAAGCATCATTCCTGTATTACAGGTACGGACACTTCCGCTCAGCCTGTCAAGCAATTTCCACCCCAGTCTGGTGCCAGCGGCACATACACTTGGACCGTCGGTGAGTACGATCGCAAGTTCCAGCTGGAACAGAAAAGTGCTCTCTCGCCAAGATCGCATCGCAGACGCGTGTGAGCTGAACCACTACCATCTCGGGTGCAGATCTCGACGTAGGCAAGACGTTGACCTTCATCATCTCCGACGCTACCGGAGTAAATGTGAGTCTAGACAGAGACTTGGGCTCCGGCAAGGTCACCCGTCGTAGCCTTGGCTCAACCCGATTCCGCATCCTGCACAATAGAACTTTACTGGTCAAGTTGAAATTCACAAGGGAGTGACAGACGATTGCACCAAGGGTGCTAGTCTAACCTCCGGAGGTTCGTCGTCCTCGTCTTCGTCCTCATCGTCTTCCTCTGGCTCGGCATCTGCCGGCGCCGGTGGAACGCATTCTCAAAGTAGCACTACTCACAATGGCTCTACCGACACTGCCACTTCCTCAGGCCCTTCGAGTGGCGCTGCTACTAGTAGTACTTCACCGAGCGGTAGCAGCAACAGCAGGTGAGTCAGGGAACGCGGAATTGTCATCGCAAGTACGCTCGTCCTCTTGCTCAATGTCACCGAGGCTGGACTCGTACGCGCAGTTCGGCCCCAAGCACCTCGGGCTCTACTGCCGGATCAGCATCTGGCTCTGCTTCGGGCTCTGTGTCGGGCTCGGTGTCAGGCTCTTCGAGTCCAAGTAACACCACCTCAACTACCTCGAGCTCGAGTCCGAGCTCGAGTGGCTCAACCGGATCGAGCTCCTCTCCAAGCTCCAGTTCAGGTTCAGGCTCAGGCTCGAGCTCGAGTGCTTCCGCCGCTCTTGCCAACGCGCACGCTTCGCCTGCACTCATGGCAGCTTCTGCCGTGCTCGCCCTCGGTGTTGCTACCTTTGTCGTCACCGTCAGCGCGTGAACAAGCCACCGATTCAGATCGAAACGTCTCACGCTAGCGCCCACCCCTTGAAGCCGCCCGTTCGTGTAAACACCTGCCATCCCCTGTTGCTTCCCAAACCCAATCAAAGTAAACGCTTCACCGTCGAAAAACCTTCTATCATCGCCCGTAATCTCTCGTGACTGGCCACATTCTCTTTGCATGACCTCGGTCACGCCGAGCTTCTTGAAGGTTGTATATAGGTAGCCGCGGGATGTTCCACAGCGAGGAAGTTGGGGGCGCGCAGTGCCCACAACGTGCTATGATTCGCTTTGCTTCAGACATAGCAAGGGCTCGATGCCGCTCGCGTGTGAGGCTCCTTTAAAGAGCAGTTAGATCCAGCCCCTGCGGCCATCAAACTGCAGCTGTATGCTGTTCAAGCGTCAATTCACCTGCTGGTCTCAGCAACCAAAATCTTAACCTCTGGGCAACAGTCAGAGGCGCACCAGCTGCTTGGCCTGGATTCACGATTGCAGCAGGTCAAGGAGGTTGCGCTAAATGCACAACCCCAGCAGGACGAGAAGATGTGGATTGACCGACCATGACGCGTCGTTTTGCCGCGGCTCTCCAGCAGAAACTTAGGGCGCGCGCTTGCTTGCTGATGCCTGATGCTGATGATGTGCCCCCCTTCGTGCTTGACGGCATGATGCCGGTGATTTCATCCTAGCTGTCCGCCTAATTTTACCGAGAGATCACAGCCGCGAAGACCCGACCCTACAGCTTAATTCCTTCATGTTGGTTGAGCGCAGCGCTTGATGCTTGTGTGACTCGTTTTCCCGACGCAAGGCAAGATTTTCTGCTGATACCACACAGCAGCAAGTCACCGTCCGGGTGCATGGGGTCTGCTGATCATTTGCCCAGCTGAATGAAGCCAATCTTGTTCCTTTGCCGCGTTTGACAGCCGCCACTCTCGCCGCACAAAGCTCGCTCGCGCCGTATCAGCCTTCATCCACCATCTCGTTTGAGCAGTGTTCATCTTTACGAAGACCGGAGCGCGAGCCCGCACACCGTGCAGCACCGTTTGGGGATTGCCTGTCGGCATCATCTGTGTCTCGTCAGTTGATCAAATCTTGCATTCACATCCTCTGCGACTCGACACGCCACCTCGATCACCTCTAAGACACTAAGACACTGTCACACCAACACGTCAACACTCGTCACAAACCTTCGGAAAGATCGACCGAGACAGGTCCGTCTACGACACTCAGCTGTTGCGCGTATCGCGGGCTGCGACGAGCGTACTTGCAAGCTCATCCACATTCACATTCAGCCTCGCTCTGACACGAATCACTTCAGGCAATTGCTGCTCCCCTCATCCGCTGTCACATCGCTATCATCGCTCTCTGTTGCACCTCTGGAACTCTCGGATTTCACGGGTCTGACCTCCTACTCGCACGATACACACAGGAGCAAGTGGGACTTTGCTACCTTCGCACCGCAAAGATCAGCTGCCAGGCAATCACGACCGCGTACTTGGATAAGTTGTTGACCTCACCAGGCTGCAGCTGCGACCTTCAAAGGGATCGGACTCATCATCTGCTCTGCTGATGTGAGACTCTAGGTCCACACTGGCATCATAACACCACTTCAGCTATTCGCCTATATCACATCTGCCTCGCGCCTTTCGCTTGCTTCTTCACGAATGCATCGGCCACTCTGCTTGAAGGCACAATCTCCTCTTGCATTCTCTTGCTGCCATGATCGCCTCTTCCTCCAAGGCGACATCAATCAAGCAGAGTGAATCCACACCATCAAACAGTGCAGACTCGGAACGCACTAAGAGAGGGTCCGGCTTCTCGCTCACATCGCATAGCGATTCAAAGCATGGGAACGAGGAGGATCTGGCGGGATGTGGTTCGAAAGGCTCTGCCCAGCTTTTGGCACCATCATCGTCTGATACTTCGTCAGCAGAGGATTCCGCGGCCAGGACGGACGAAGGGGAGCACCCTTCGCATGCGAGTCAGACTGTCGAGCGGGAAAGTGCAGCACGAAGCGAAGTCTGGTCAGATCGCGAGAAGCATGGGTCAGCGATAGCGGAGCAGCTGGCCGGGACACGTCAAGGTGACAGGATATGGGTCGAGTGGGAGGAAGGAGGTGAGTTGAAGCCGCGCTTGCAAGTGTCAGCGCAGGCAATCACTCTGACGAACGTTTCACGGCATTGCCACCGCGCCGCAAATCCATTGCTTGGACGCTAACCCGCGAACAGATCCAGAGAATCCTTTCAATTTCAGTCCCACAAGAAAATGGCTAAGTGCGCATCAATCACGGTGGCGGTGGGGGGAAGCGACAGGGACATCACCAAAGCAGACACCGCAAAGAAGGGCTCCAAAGCGTCGAAGACGGGAGTTGCTAACGAAGGTCGCTGACACACATGCGCGTCTCATCGGCGCAGTGACCATCTTTGCAACATTCTTCACCATGGAGGTGGCTGCCACAGCCGGCGCGTGAGTTCAACTTGATTGCTACCCATGTTCGGCCGATGTCCTAACAACGCACATGATCACTCACAAATCCCTCTACCATTCTATGCGCTCCCTGATGCTGCACATCGTCGGAAAACAGCTACGTCCCGGGCATACCCTCCATGGAAGCATCGTTGCGCCATGACCTGCACGAAGTCAGCCTACTGGGCATCTCGGTGTATGCTTTCGGGTTCGGTCTGCCTCCGCTAGTTCTCGCACCGCTGAGCGAGGTGATGGGCAGGAACACCATCTACCTGGTCAGCCATGCTCTCTACACGATACTCTTCGTGGGCATCGGCCAAGCTCGTAACATTCAAACCGTCATCATTTTGCGGTTCCTGCAAGGAGCTTTTGGGAGCACAGGCAGCACCATGGGTGAGGCGGCAAAACTGCGTGACGGTGCACTGCGCCCAGCTGAATCATTACCCCTATCTTCATTTGCAACTCACGCGAGCAGTCGGTGGCAGCATAGCAGGTTCGTCATATTACCTCGAAGAATTGTTCAGCACGAGCTTACCGGACGTTCTTTAAACACGCACTTACTATGGCAGACCTGTTCAGCTCCAGCGATCGAGGTGCACCGATGGCTCTGTTCGCTACCGCCGCTATCTTTGGCACCGGCTTCGGACGTGAGTGGTTCGCCAAGCACACTCCGTCGTGCGTCGCCCCGGTTGCGCACTGATGTTTCACTTCTCCACCACGCGTGTAGCATTCTGGGCAGGCTTCGTTGAGCAGTACATCGCAGATGGCTGGCGGTGGATTCAGCACATTCAGGCAATTTATACCGGGGCGTTTCTCATCATCTTTACCGTCGTACTCAAGGAAACTAGAGGGAGCGTGATTCTTGCCCGCCGTGCGAGCCGACTCCGCAAGCAGACGGGCGATGGAAGGTACATGGCCAAGAGCGAGCTGGAGCGCGCAAGTGTCGTGACTCTTATCAAGGGGAGCCTGACGAGACCCATGATCAGTGAGCAGCTGATCGCTGGTCGCGCATACATTTTGCGAGCTCTGACGAGCATCGAGATCCTCTTCTTGCCTCCAGTGCTCTTCACTGAGCCAGTGGTGACGGCTTTCAGTCTTTGGATCAGCCTTCAATGGGGAATGATGTACGCCTTGTTGGAAAGCATTGGCCTGGTCTCAGCGTTGCATGATTACACGCCTAGTCAGGTAAGACGCGCTCGCCGTCATGGAACAATTCGCGTGGCGCTGCTCACCCAATCTCGCCATCCCGTATCATCGCACCAGACCGGGCTGGTGTTCCTAGCGATCTGTGTTGCCGCCTTGATTGGCAACCTTCTCAACCCTCTCTCAGAGAGAGCGTATGCTCGCAACTATCCGAAAAGAGGAGCGGAAGCTCGACTATACGCGGCTATGTTCGCAGGCTTGATGTTCCCGGCAGGCTGCGCGATCTACGCATGGACGTCCTATTCTGATGTCAGCATGGCTGGACCGTGAGTAAGGCGCGCCACCTTTGAATAGGCTCATGTAGCCAGGCTGAATCTTGGCCATTCCCCAAATCCCACCAACGCAGCATCATCGGAATCGTCGTCCTCATGGTGGCGGTCTACATCGTCTATCTTGCCGCTTTCTCCTACCTTGCCGATTCTTACGGTCCTTATGCATCTTCAGCACTAGCAGCGCAGTCGTTCTCGCGGAACATGTTTGGAGCAGCTTTCCCTCTATTCACGACGCAAATGTACAAGAACCTCGGTGAGTCATATTCTTCAGCTCTGCTGACATGAGGCTTTGACCATCACTCGAACACTCCTCACGAACCGTTCACCTCGATCATAGGATACCAATGGGCGTCGATGCTCGCTGGGCTGATAGGCTTGGTGCTAGGATGTGCGCCCTTCTTGCTCTTCCGGTGGGGTCCGCAGATCCGAGCAAAAAGCAGATTGAGCAGCGAGCTCGAAAGATTGGGGCTTTTGTAGACTGATTGCTTCGAGATCTAGGTGCAGTGTACGCGCTGCCTTGCCTTGAAGGGGGCTCTCTTTTCAATAAATGTAGATTGCTCCCTACACGGCGTTCTACGTCTCCGCCACATATTTTTCTACGCTCGTCTATGGTAAGCTCGCTAGCATCTAGATGCTTCCGTGTGTGAAATCATCCTCCTGCTTGCTGATGTTGAGTCAGAAGCTACATCTCATCTATGAGCACCATTCACCTACAACTTAGCGGTATTGCCGACCGCTACATAGCAGCAAAGCTGCACTGATGCTGCCACAATTGCTGACGGAGAGATGCACATCACAGCGTTGGTCCGATGGTCCGATACGAGTCGAGCGTTGCTCAGCCTGAGTCCACCGTTTTATCCAGGCAAACGACCTACCTGCACCTTCGTAACACCATCGTTCTCGCCCTGGCAATTCAATGATGTCTAAGATTCACACCGCGAATGTGCTCTCGCAGCCAAGTATCTTTCACTACCGGCGAAGGGCCTTTAAATCGCTTAGGTCACAGCTGGTCGCAAGACGTTCTGCACGGAAGCCACCGACATCGAAAGCGAAAGCACTATTTGAACGAGCAAGAACCTGTGCGTTAGTGTACTCGGCGGACGAACACGTCTCTTGGAGTACGAGGTCGTCGGTAAGAGCACAAGGTGGGCCCTGGGCGACTCGTTGCCAGCAGTCTGACGAGGATGTGAAGTATGCCGTGTCGGCGCAGGCAGCATCAACGCAGCCAAGAGGTGACGAATAGCTCGCGCTTACCCAGCCTGGCATCTGCAGCCAACCAAGAACCCTTTACTAGCTCCTGACATCCAACTCTCAAGCCTCAGACACCCTTCATCGCCGTTGACCCGCGTGCCAGCGCAGGCCCATCATGACCTGCTGGGTGAATTGTGCTATATTTCTCGAGACGTGTCGAGTCATGGTGCATAGTTTTGAAGACAGTACAGGAGCACGAAGCGAGAGTGAATGATTGACCAGAACGAGAAGCAAGCAGGGTGAAGAGGGCCGGAAGTGGGCGAGAATTTCGCGGCGAACTCCTGTATGCTTATGCGTCCTTGTTGTGGGCAGCACCAGTGATGAGACCAGTGCGACGAGCAGCGATGAGACCAGCCTTCTGACCGGGAACGCTGGAGCGAGCGACGGTGGAGGCGTGACCAATGTGCTGGTGGTTACCACCACCATGAGGGTGATCGACGGCTGCGAGTGCAAGACGATGAAACAAAGCTCAGCAACCTCCCAAGAGCGTGCCAGATACCGGGCGCTTTCCTCCTTTCGAACGCATGGCTTCCTTGCGCAACACTCACGGTTCATAGCCACACCACGAGTCTTGGGCCAGCTGTTGCGCTTGACCTTGAACTTGTGGTGAGCGCGACCAGCCTTGAGCAAAGGCTTGTCGACACGGCCACCACCGGCGACGATACCAACAGTAGCGCGACTGCCAGAGGGAACAGACTTCTTGGCACCCGATGGAAGACGAATACGGGTGGTGCCATCGTTGTCGTGTCCGATGAGGGTGGCGTAGTTGCCGGAAGTGCGAGCAAGGGTTCCTCGGTCGCCAGCCTTCTCCTCTACGTTGCAGACAATGGTACCCTCTGGCAGAGCGGACAGAGGCAGGACGTTGCCGACGTTGATGGCAGCCTTCTTGCCGCAGTAGACGAATTGGCCAGTGCTCAAGCCCTCGGTAGCAATGAAGGTCTCGACTCTTTGCTTGAAGCGGTAAGGGTCGCGGAAAGCGACGCGAGCAAGGGGAGCTCCACTGTAGAGAGAGGACATGTTGCCTTTTGCGTAAGCATCGGAATGACTTGGCACGGCAACCGAGCAGCAGCTCGCCACAAGGAGGTCGGGGCGAAAGCAATCCTGGCGAGGGCCCAAGATACCACAAACATGCCCGACACCCCACAATTCGCAGCCTATTGTCATCTGTACCCGATCAACACCTCGTCCATCAAAAGTCCGTGCCTACGTCCCTCTTTCACCTCAGCTGCCCACATCGCGCCAAGTCCGGTTGCCTCTCGCCAAGCTGCTTGTGTGTCGTGGTGCAGACGGCAAGGCGATCGCCCCTCTCACACATCCTCTCGCGCTCCTTCCTCACGTCCCCTCCGTCTCCCTCTCCGCGGTGCTGCATCCCATCGCGATGATACTCACCGGCCAGCATCGTGAATGATCTCCTTGACAACACCGCGAAGGTACCCTTGCCTCTCGGAGAAGTCCAAGGGTCTAAGCTTAGCAGGTGCCTTGTTGTGGTGGGTGTGCGACCTGAAGATGGTCGACGCCTTACGTTGCGAGCGGATAACACGACCCATCTTGACTGTATATCGTGATCTGGTGGAGATGAAACGAGTTCGGTCCGAAGTCAGCGAGGAGCTGTGGAAGCGCTATCGAAGGAATTGCAGAAGCTGTCCTTCCCCACTCCAACTTCGATCCGCTGCAGGCTTTCGCACCTGATCGTGCTTCGTGCTACGAGTATCCTCACAACTGAGGACAGAGGGATCTACCACAGCACTTACCTTGAAGGGGTTTGGGTGGTGGTGGGAATCGAGAAAGTGCACGCCCGCCGCTGGATCGCTGGAGCTGATGCACGTCCAATCCTGACCGCAGCGCGCACTGCAAAATTTTCGGCCGAGGCTCAAACGAAGCGCGCACGCCGCGGCTGACGGCGAGGGGAATCAGGCCGCGCGCACTCAATTTGAGCAGCTTATGCGCCACGCTCACGCTCAGACAACCCTTCCCCGCCGCGAAGCGCTGTCTGGCACGCTTCGGTTACCCCGCAGAGCGGCAAGACCGTCAACGTCCAAGCTGACTCCAGTCGTGAGTTGCTCCTCGCTCAATTCAGCTCAAAGGTTCACTTGAGCCTGCATCACAGTCTTGATTGTGCAAAAGCCGATGGCAGCAGCATCTTATTTGCTGACCTGGTGAGCAAAGGAACGTCGAACCAGACTTGGCTGCGAAAGGTCACGTGTCGGCTTGTTTACAAACTGGCTCGGCGACTCAGGAAATCACCATTCGTTCCTGCGATCCTCGTAGTCGAGGCGCAGCGCTCTTCGCCGCTTGATGTGTCGTGTGGACTCGCACGCTGTGAGATTAGAGTAGTGACACCAAATTGCAAATCACGACTAAGAACGATGAGATGTGTCTCCCGGTCAAGAATCAAGCATGACCGCCATGCGGAGGGCCAAAAAGTGACTATGGAAGTGGTGGTTGCGTCGCCACGCACGCAGAGTTCCGCTTGAGCCACGTGTCTCAGGTCCGACTGACTAACTCTTGACTGCCGACCGACGAGCCGCACCCTTCCACGTCACGGGGTGCGCATGCCAGCGATGCGCGTGCACGGGCGCTGCACGCGCGATGGTGAGATTTGGTTGACGCCTTGCGAGGCTGGACGGGCGTGCATGGCGCGACGGCCAAAGAAACCTGCAGCAGCCTGTCGACGTGTCCATGCAGTTCGAGCCCCGTTGGCGTGCGGGGGGGGGGGGCTTGGTGAGCTGGCAGCAAGTCGCAGCAGAAGCAGAAGCAGCAGCTCTAATTTGTGGCCAACATGCGAAAAGCTAAAGAAGTCGCAGCTCGCTCGATTCTGCTCCAGCTTCAAATCCAAACCTTCACCATCCCAAAAGAAGGCATCTGCCAGCGACGTCAGATCCGTTTTGTCCGCCTAGCGAACATCTCAAAACAGGCCCTCGACTTTCTCAGACATCAAAGTAGGACACAAACTTCGCGCACCATCTACACATATCTTCCAGGTCGGCACCATGTTCGCCGCTCTCGGCCGCAACAGTGCGGCTGGCACACGGCGCCATGGCGGCTTCTCGCTGCCTTCCATGGCCACCGTCTGCCTCGCATTCGTCGCTCTTTTGGCTCTCATCTCGTCTGTGAGCGCCGACGAGAATGAAGACAAGCGCAAGAATTACGGGACTGTCATTGGTATCGATTTGGGAACAACGTGAGTCGGAGAGAGCTTGATGATTCAATAGACGCCTAACGCACTCTTCGATATGCTTCACAGATACTCTTGCGTTGGTGTGCAGCGCGAGGGCCGCGTGGAGATCATCACAAACGACCAAGGAAACCGTATCACACCGTCTTACGTCGCTTTCGAGGCCAATGGCGAGCGTCTCATTGGTGATGCAGCTAAGAACCAGGCTGCTTCCAACCCGGAGAACACGATGTGAGCCACGAAATGCTGCGCTAGGTCACATCACACGTCTCGAGTCTGACGCCCTGTAATTCTAACAGCTTCGACGCCAAGCGTCTCATTGGTCGCAAGTGGGGAGAGTCCGATGTCAAGAAGGACTTGAAGCACTTCCCTTTCAAGGTGAGCTCCACGCAGCTTTGAGTCTGGGCTCGCATCACGAAGCTAATCAGTGAGGCTCCTCTTGACGTCTCCAGCTCGTCGAAAAGACCGGAAAGCCCGCCATCTCTGTTCAGGTCAAGGACTCCCAGCGCGTGTTCACGCCAGAGGAAGTGAGCGCCATGATCCTCCAGAAGATGAAGGAGACTGCCGAGGCCTACCTCGGTCACAAGGTCACCCACGCAGTTGTGACGGTGCCAGCTTACTTGTGAGCCTTGCAGGCGCTACTGATCGCCCCATGTTGCATTTCTGACTTGCCTGCATCTACACTTTTCTAGCAACGACGCTCAGCGTTCTGCCACCAAGGATGCCGGCACTATCGCCGGTCTCACAGTTTTGCGTATTGTCAACGAGCCCACAGCCGCAGCTATTGCGTATGGCCTGGACAAGAAGGGCGACTCCCAAATTATCGTCTACGATCTTGGAGGTGGTACATTCGATGTCAGCTTGCTGTCTATCGAAGACGGAGTCTTCGAAGTACTGGCCACCGCAGGTGACACACATCTTGGAGGTGAAGACTTCGACAACCGAGTCATGGAGTACATGCTCAAGCAATTCAAGAAGAAGGAGAATGTCGATGCCGCCGGAAACAAGCGCAGCGTCGGCAAGTTGAAGCGCGAGGTGGAGCGCGCCAAGCGAACTCTTTCCAGCCAAATGTCTACCAAGATCGAAATTGAGAGCTTCTTCGAGGGCAAGGATCTCAGCGAGACCCTGACCCGCGCCAAGTTCGAGGAGCTCAACGCAGACCTGTTCCGCAAGACCATGAAGCCTGTCGAGCAGGTGCTGAAGGACGCCGGCGTCAAGAAGGAAGACATCGATGACGTTGTGCTTGTCGGTGGTTCTACTCGTATCCCCAAGGTCCAGTCTCTCCTGAAGGTGCGTGGCTCGCCTCAACTTTGTCGCCCGCGCACGCGCTGACCTCCTAAGTCTTACCACAGGACTTCTTCAACGGCAAAGAACCTTCAAAGGGAATCAACCCTGATGAGGCCGTTGCATGGGGTGCCGCAGTCCAGGGTGGTGTCCTCGGTGGCCAGGAAGGTCTTGGCGAAGTCCTCCTCATCGATGTCAACCCTCTTACACTCGGCATCGAGACTACTGGAGGCGTCATGACCAAGCTGATCCCCCGTAACACCGTCGTGCCTACCAAGAAGTCCCAGATCTTCTCCACAGCCGCGGACAACCAGAATGTTGTGCTCATCCAAGTGTACGAAGGCGAGCGTTCTATGACCAAGGACAACAACCTGCTCGGCAAATTCGAGCTCACTGGTATCCCACCTGCCCCGCGAGGAGTTCCTCAGATTGAGGTCACTTTTGAAGTAGACGCGAACGGTATCATGAAGGTCAGCGCCTCGGACAAGGGCACTGGTAAGGCCGAGTCCATCACGATCACAAACGATAAGGGTCGCTTGTCTCCCGAGGACATCGAACGCATGGTCAAGGAAGCTGAGCAGTTCGCAGAAGAGGACGAGGCTTCGCGCAAGAGAATTGAAGCTCTTAACCAACTGCAGGCTCTTATCGCTTCCACTCGCTCGCAGGTCAGCGATAAAGATGGTTTGGGTGCCAAGCTCGACAAGTCCGACAAGGAGTCAATCAACACTGCGCTCAAGGACACCGAGAAGTGGCTGGAAGAAAATTCCGAGAGTGCCAGCGCCGAGGACGTGGAGGAGCAGCTCTCTGAGCTCCAGGCCACTTTGGCACCCATCACCTCCAAGGTCTACGCCGATGCCGCTGGTGGCAAGGCGACTGACCCTGAGGATGAGCCCATCACTCACGATGAGCTCTAGATGGAGACCGAGTAGAAGGATCTTGACAGAAGGCAAATGGCCAGTGCCGGATTGTCAAGCGATCCAAACTTTGCTTCTTTTCGCGAAGTCAAAAAGCCACGATCGAGTTTCAGACAGTAATCCAATTTGCAGTTGAAAAAGTGAAGTAACCCTAACCCTATGGCCCGTGCGTTGTGAGCAGCTTGAGAACGCGACACTCACGACTGAGCTTGACTTAGAATCATATGAGAGCTCGGCCGAGTGCCACGGCGGCTCGCGAGAGACAAGCACAGCTCTCTCACCATCGTGGCTTGTCTGCATGGTGCTCCCTGGCGAAGCCCGCCCGCCAGCGCGATACCTTGTATGTGCGAGAGCCTCATCGGTGAGATGAGGAGCGGCGGCGACGGCCCTCTACCTCGGCTTGTCAACGATCGGTAGCATGTTAGCCGTGACTCCCATGCGCCCGGCGAGCTCGATCTGTGATCAGTCTTGATCCCAATAACGCGGGCCTCCACGCCCTCTCGCCAGAGTCGTGGCGCCGTGAGAGATGAGGTATTGTATGAGGCGATGTCAGTCGTGAGTGCGCTTCATCTCAGTAAGGCTGCCATCAAGCGCGCGGGAACAGAGCAAAGACCTCATAAATTGCGTCTCACGCGCGAGCACATCGGTAATTTGAATGTTTGACTCAAGACTCGTGCCGCCATTGCCGGTCCCGGATGAAGGGTCCCGATCGAGCAAACTAATTTGCACCACATCATAGCAACCTCGGGACGCACGTCGCGCAATCAATGTGGAACAGGGGTCTGCATTCAAGATTCGTGATTGTGGTTTGGGCTGAATGGTCACACAATGTACAACATCACCTGAGTCGCGCCTTGGCTACGGCACACTCACGAATGCAGCGGTACGGCTCTCCGTGAGAGTTTCAAAGGTTCAAAGAGCAGCCAGTTGGCGTCGTCTCGTCACGCTCTTCACCTCACGTCTCCACATTCGTTCCACGCATGGTAAATCTCATCGCACCAGATACTTTTGACCAGCCAGCATCATCATGGATGAACTTCAAATAGTATCGATAGGCATGCTCGTCCTGCTGCTCTTCTTTTCGGTGGCCTACTTGCTGGAGGCAGCCGAGGAGCGCCGACAGCTCAAGCTACCTCCAGGCCCTCCAGCATCGCTGCTTTTCGGAAGCAGACTGCCCGCTTTCGACAAGCACCCATGGCTCGTCTTTGACGAGATGAAGAAACAGTACGGACCAGTGATTACGTTCGCAGATGGTCCATCCAAGCTCATCTTTGTCGTGACTTCTCTCAAAGCTGCTCAGCATATACTGGCCGACAAGGCTGCCATTTCCGGAGATCGACCTCGCAGCATCTTGGTGAATGAGTGGATGTCGGGTGGGAATCGCGTGCTTTTGATGCCTCGCAACGATCGTTTCCGCAAGTACAGGCGAATCTACAGCTCTGCCTTGAGCGACAAAGCTTCTGCTCATTACGAGAGCATCCAATCGCAAGAGGCCAAGGACGCCATGCTTCAGCTTGCGCAATGCACCGACGACAAGCAATGGCAACACGTCTTGACCCGCTTGACGGCCAGCATCATCATGTCTGTCATCTACGACATTCGCGTTGAGGGCTTGCACGATCCTCGAGTGCAAACGATGATCAAACACCTCTTCACCTTCACCGGCTACGTTCTTCCAGGCGCATCGATGCCCGATGCCTGGCCCATCCTCGAATACGTCCCCAAGATTATCAATCCTTGGTGAGTCAAGGGAAAAAGCCGGGAGTACTCCCACGTTAGGATGGTTCTGAACGACTTAATCTTGCCCTCGACGTACGACAGGAAGAAGATGGCGGCCGAATTCCTCAAGAGCGAGAGCGGTATCGTGACGAAGCTGTTCAGCGAGGTGAAGGTCAGGGTTCAGCAGGGTCAAGCTCGCAGGTGCTTCGTCAGTGATCTGCAAGAGGAGCAAAATGCGTTGGGACTCAGCGATGTCGAGGTGTGTCTGGAGAGATAGAGGCGATCTACAAGCAAAGAGTGCTCATCTGTCGCGCTGCTCTTTCGCAGGCTTCCTACTGCTCTGGTGCGCTTTTTGGTGGTGAGTGGCGAGGCTGAATGGGAAACGAGGTCAGTGGCTCGGTCCTGAATTGGGTGCCCTCATCTGCAACGACAGCTGGCACTCATACTACTGCTTCTGCTGCGAGTGCCATCGCGCTCTTTTGAGATGCGAAGCGACAGTCGGCTCATCGACTTGCGTCTCGACGTTTTGCAGCTGTCCGTCCTTGTACTCGCGATGCTCAAGTATCCAGCAGAATACAAGAAGCTGCAAGCGGAGATGGACCGCGTAGTCGGCTCAGATCGAATGCCCTCGTTCGAAGACGAGTTACCCTTCCTTCAGGCGTGTCTGTACGAGTCTTTTAGATGGCGGCCCATCACACCTAGCGGTGCTCCACACCGTCTGGAGGATGACATCGTCTGGGAAGGGAGGGTTCTGCCAAAAGGATCCGTCGTGTACGCGTGTCAGTAGTGAGTATTTCTGGCCGCTCACGAGGAATGTTGGAGCAGTCCAAGATGAAGCCGACTCTGCTCCGAACATGCTAGCTCCATCAATCGAGATCCAGAGGTGTACAGCGACGTAGACACTTTCAAACCAGAGGTGAGTCGTATGGCTCCTTGCATAGTGCACAAGGTCCTTACCCGATCTTCATTTCCGTCGCAGCGCTTTTTAGACAGCAGCGGAAAGCTTACGGCAACGCGAGATGCCATGCAACTCCTATTTGGTTGGGGCCGTCGTGCCTGGTGAGGTTCTTGGTCGTAGACATGGATACGAAGAGACGCCATAGCAGCAGTGCTGATGCTTCATAGCTTGCCTTTGATCAGCCCGGGTAATCACGTCGCTATGCGCAGCTTGCGAATCACCCTGGCTATGCTCGCTTGGTCTTTCGATATCACGTCGCCCCTGAAACCGCAAGACCAGCCAACTGTGAGCCGATGCGACAGGGGGGCGCGATATACCCGAGTTGAAATGCTGATTTCTGCGTGCGTAGTCGTACAAGCGATTCACCAGCTCTTCGGCGAGCATGCCTTTCCCTTTCCCAGCGTGAGTATCTTTGTCCCTCGATCGATTTGTTTTGGCTGAGCTAGTTCAATCTCGGTCCGCAGGAAGTTTACCTGGCGCTCCGAGGAGCGCCGACAGGTCTGTCTGGCAGAGGTGGCAGCTACTAGCGTGCGTATATTAGCGGCATCGCTGGGCCGTCATCAGCAGAGCAGCGAGGCACGTTTCTGAATCTTCTGTTTGCTTCATTGCAGCAGGATACTTGCAAGTGAATTGGAACTGTCTCGTGCCAAGCATGACATGTGTGCATGTCGACCGCTAAAAATCAAAAAGCTGATCGATGCAGATTCTTCAGCTTGTAATGTGACATGTCTTCTCGCTTGCCACGATGGACCGAACAAAACGCGGGTGCGGATCGAGGTGTGACGGGGAGCATGCCATGCATTCCTTGAAAGTGCTGAAGCCCATTTGCACCGGTAGCTACTTGTTCAAACGCCCTAGCTGCAGCAATGCAGCATCGCGCGTCCGTGTCTCACGCTCGGATGATGAGATGAGGTCAGCAAAGCCCGGACTCCGGATGAATCAAACACTGCTCCACACCAGCGGGTGGCTTTTCATCCCATCCATCCGCCTTGCCCGCGCGCGTCCTTCTGATCCACCGAGGATCATGTGGCGGCGTTCCACACTGTCCGCGCGATTGATCGTTTCGCAGTCGCCTTGTTGGTCAGGGTACGTGTTATGAAGCTTGCTTGCTGCTGGCCATTTGCTTGGCAAAGTCTGGCCTGCCTGCCCAGCTTGCTTTGCTTTGAGCGCGTGCAGATAGATCTTCAGCGAATGAAAGGCCGAGCGGGGCTAAGCCAAAGTGTGGGTCTGGCATCGCGCACGGGAATGCTTGCGAGATTTCAGCTGGCAATGTGAATGGTTCATTCATACCTGACTCGCAGGACAAGCGGGTGATACATGTCTAGAGAAGATTGTCTTCTCGAGCTTGGATTGCGTCACCGATGAGCTTCTTTCTTGTATTGTCAAACGGGGGCCTCCTACCTGCGCGGTCGCGACGAGACTGGAAGCAGACTGACGTCGGAGTGTCACGAGTCTTTGGAGTGCATCATCGACTCTTCTTGCGAGTCAAGTGTGGATGAGGGCGGGCACTCGCGACTGTGACTGCAGCGGAGTGCGAACGCGGGCATGTCTGCTACTGTATCAGCGCTACAGTCTCGCCAGAGTGGCACAGAGTCACGGGCTTGAGTGATGGATGCGGCGAGCGACGCGACGCGACGCGACGCGACGCATTCCCGCTCAGTCGAGACTTGCATCCGGAGCGGACTTGGGCGCAGGTCAACTGAGTGGATCGAATCTTCGATCGGGTAGCAAGCATCATGGCGGGGAAAAATGGAATGGAAGGAAGGATTTGAATGTGAATCACAATCGTGAATGTGAATATCCTCAACGATGCTGATTTTCCTGCGAGCACACCGTCAATATTGAAGTTTGAATTCGAATTCGAGACTCGTGTCACTGAATCATGTTTGTTGTAATGTAATTTCGGACTGTGACTTCGACTCAAAAGCTCATGTGCGTGCCGTGCCGTGCGTCCTATGGAAATACGATGTCATTGTATAGCCGAGGATCGCGCAGCGGGAAAAACCAAGCGAAGTCAATCAAGTCTGGCCGAGATTTGGAACTCAGAGCTGAGACAGAGACAGTTCAGTGAGTAAGACGAGATGAGAGGCGGAAGAAGGGAGAGGGAACGCGCGCGATGCTGCTGATGCTGATGCTGGTGATGAGGTGTGTGTGCGCTGCAGCGTACAGTCGTGAGTATTTTGATTTTGATGGGCTCACCATGCACGCACTCGCGCCTGCATGTAGGCACTGTAGTTCCGTATAGTTCCACATCCGCCGGGCTTTCCACGTCTCCGGAGTGAATTCGATCGTAACTGTGGTGAAGCACAACCACATGCAGCAGGTACTGTATATGCATAGAGAGGAACCCGCTGCTGCCTCGCATGCTCTCGGACGTTCTTGCTCAGCTAGTGCAGCACACTGACATGGCGCTCCTTCCACAGATTCTTGGCCATACCTGCACGACTTTGGTGTCATCTGCAGTCACAGTCACGTACCGGTAAAGTAAACGGCTGCGTCAGTCGACGAGTCATGCATCAGGTCTTCGAAAAGGCCCGGAGATTCGCCTGACTCCGCTGCAGGGCACTCACACTCACACTCGCAGGAGCTGCTGCACGGCATATCAGCAGCACCTCTTCGTCCATCCATCGCTTCAACTCGATTTGCTGCCTCTCTGACCGCCTGCTGTTGCTTTTCGCGCTGTCGTAGCGCCTCAGCATCTGCACACGTGCATCCATGCTGCCACTCACGACTCGGGCGGCCCACCTTTCGACGCGACCGAACTCATCCACGAGCGCTTCTTTTGCGAAGGAACGCATCTTGGCCTTCTGCAGGTCATTTGCGATTGCGGATTGCGGCAACGCTGGTGAATTGCGCGTCATCACCCTTTTCCGCTCACAGCTAGGCATCAAGGGTCGTACACATCCGAGGTTGGGCAAGGCCGCTTGCCCGCTTCCCCACCTCTCACACCTCGTACCCAAGCCTCCATTCAGGCGACTGCAGCATACCTGCGAACACCGTCGGACGCAGCACAAGGCCACCTCTCCATCGAGCTGCGACCCGCTCACCGTCACGAGCTTATCCGCCCTCGCCCAGGCTCTGATCTGCTGAGCAGCCGACTGTGATTGCTGCCGTTGAAATCAAATTGGCATCCTGGAGGCTTGTTTGCAACAAACAAGTCTTGTCCACTCCTCAGCAGTGGATCGCATTCGCCATTCTCCTTCTCGTCGTCGTCGCCGCCATTCATCTCATTCTTCAGGCCGCATTTCGCCGCACTTTACACTCCGGCCATCCTCTTGAGTTGCTCTTCAGCAATCGCACACAGGCCTCAGCTACCGCGCACAGCAGTCGAGGAAGGACCAATCCGCACCGCCACGTTCAATACCCTCATTGATCACAGACAGCCATTCGCGAAGCGAAGATCTTGGTGGCAATCAATTTGGCAAAGTAGAGTGCAGAGGAGGAGGACAGCGACGCGGCGCTCAATTTAGAAGCGCCGTTGATTCATTCATACTTGCTGGTTGTGTGGAAGGAAGTCGCAAGATTTTGTGCTGAGCATAGCTGGAGGATTTGCCAACTTGAGTCTAGCTGCTGGTGAGTTCGGCTTGGAGCAATAGCCTGAGGGGTGGGTGCCAAGGGATAGTCAGGCTGGCCCCGCATGGATGTCAGGCCCATATCATGGCAGTATGTGTCAGTCTCATCAAGTCTGCGTGGACTGGACAGTAAGGGGGGAGCCGTCGTGGCTGCGCAAGTTGGCAAATGTCTGGGAATAGCTAGGAGGCTGGCTGATGCAGCTGATGCAAGAGGTCTTGCAAGCTTGAGCAAGCCTCGACGATGGCGATGCGCTCCACATGCCGCTGCTCCAAAGGCAGCATCTGTCAGCTTTTTGATTGGAGCACCGTACGAGGTTGCGTGCCAGATCAGCGCAGACTATCAGGCCTCTTTGCTGGGCAAGCTATTTTGGGCATCAGTTGGGCGCCAGATCGACAGCGCAAGCAGCCTTGCGCAACAGTGCGCGCGCGCAACTCTATTCAAAAGTCGCTGTTTAGGCGCTGCGATGGACGCCGACGCAGGAGGAGCACGTGTGCGCTCAGATCCCCGAGACCCTCACGCTGATGCAGGCTACGCAAAGTGCAGCTTGATTGGGATATGTTCCTTTGGGCAGACGAGATGGAATTCGAGCTTCAAAGACTCGCACTGCGCACGCTCAAAGAGATCTGAGACTGGAAGGTCGATGTGCATTCGTGCAACGTCTCGCTTGGCCGACTACGAAAGCGTTGCGTTGCGGCGCAAAGGTTCATCGAGCAGCGATGTGCTAAAGGCTTGTTGTCGTGCTCGGGGTCGCGCCTGTTGCAGTAGCCTGCAGAAGCGAGACGTACTGGACTTTCACCCATGGAGGCCAGCCGAAGAGGACAGGCAGAGCCAGAGCTTGTGGTGCTTCCAAATACATTGGTCCTCTGAAGTCTTCTGCTGCTGGCGCGCCCAGAATGTCGAGCAAGGAGCGTCGGGTCTCCGCGTCGCGTCGCGTCTCGTCTACACGGCTAGGCAGTAGACTCAGAGTCGAGCCTCGAGGGAGGATCATCGTCGAGATTGTCCAGACAAGCTGACTGGACCCCCATTTCCTAATCTGCTTGCAGAGCCGGCTCCACTTTGTGTGTCAAGACCTGGAGTCTGTGGAAGTGCACGCTTGATCGGTCCCTCTCGTCGAAAGTTGCGGACGCCCGCGGATCCCGCGCACATCCACGCTCGCCGCTGCAAGTCATTCGCCGAACACCCGCAAAGAAGGCATTTGTTGTCGAGCAGCTTGCACGCGGATCGGCGCAACGCCTCGTTGGTGGCCGCCGACTGACTACTTGCATCAAGCCCGACATTCAGTTTCACAGTCATCAGAGTTGACCTTGTCTGCCCCACCTAGTGAAACCTGATTGCCAGCCAATCTATTCGGACGGAACCGACCGTGCTGATAGGTTCATCACTACGAGCGACGAATCACAACGAATTGGTGGTCAGGCTGCTGCGTACAAGCGACTGGGTATCAGCGATTGTACGCTGAACCCGGAGGCGCCTGCAGTGTCGCGCCAAGATTAGCCTGGCCCCGAGCCAGCTATCAGTTTGGAGGACGCGATCGACCTTTCTGCTTCAGGCAACAGGCAAGCGCTTAGTCTCAGCCCAGTCAGAAGGCTACCGAGGACCAGCGCTTTGCAGCTCCGGCTTTGCTAGTTGGATCAACTTATAGATCCGGATTCTTCGGCCGCTGCAGTGGGATAGAAACCTCTTCCACTGAGCCATCAAAACCTTTAAAGCATCGTCACTTCGTGGAGAATTTTGCGGAGCTACTACTGCCATCAATCACGGACGGAGCGTCCATCACGTCACCCGGACACGGCAGTGGATCTGAGGTACTCGGTCACCGGACCCGACGTTCAGCCCAGAGCTGCGCGATACCGTCCGCGATTTGAGACGCTGAGCAAGTGTCACACCACGGCTGTCATTACAAACGCAGCATGTCACACGTCACATCTTCACCGATTTGGCACGAAGGTGCCTTCTCAGCCGAGCAGTACCGCCAGTCAGCTCCAGCGGTTCCTTTACAAATGGTGCCCCCAAACGCCCAGTTGCGTGGCCGTATGCCACCTTCACTCGGGCACGCAAGGCACTTCACGACGCCAATCGCAGCGCCCGCTCAGGGACCTACAATAGCCCACGATGAGGCACGGCCTTCCGATTCAAACGGTCTCACTCCGTAAGTGACGTTCGCGCCCGCTTACGGTCCACACGAGCTCATTTGAGGTCATGCCCTCCCCTTTCTGTGTGATCTCCACTCTCAGGTCGTGCTCTCGGTGCAGACAAAAGAAGTTGAGATGTGATTTTCAGACACCGTGCTCGAATTGCATTGGCAAAGGTTTACAGAGCGAGTGTCACAAGGATGTCCGGATTCCTAGGGGGCGCAAGCGACCCAAGTGAGTGTGATGAGGCGATGGAAAATCCAACGCTATCGTACGCTAATCTTGACTCGCGACTGGAACAGAGCCGAATCGCAGCTCACAGACGAAGAGGAAATTGTCAAGCTGCGCAAACGGCTTGCCGAGCTCGAGGAGCGTGCCGGCGGTGGTCGACTAACACCGTCCACCTCATCAGCAAACAGTTTGGGTGGCCGGGTGTCCACGCGGAGCGACAAGCCGCTCAGACACCGGCACCATGCAACTGGTCCTGCCGATGATCGCTCGGGCGGTAACAGCAGTCCTGGCAGCCGAAGTCACCTGTCTAGCAGTTTCGTCACTGCCACTAGAGACATCATTGGCTCGCAGGAAGGTTTGAGCATCCATTTGCCACTTTCTGGCAGTGCGTCTTCCGACTCATTCCGATCCGTTCCTCACGGCAGCACAGTCCCATCGCCCCATTCGGCATCCGTCAACGAGAGTGTGCTGATGAAACCCCAAACTCGCACTCGCTCCTCGAAGCCATTGATCTTGTCACCGCTGCTGCCTGCCGAGCGCGCGTTGCGATCCCTCGAGACCGTCGCCAATCCCTCTGCCGCCCGCACGATCTGCGGCACCTCTGAACGTGACGGCCTGCTCAAAAGACTGACAGGTCTTTCCGACGATGTGCCGAACGCCTATTGGTCGGATCCGGCCAATGCCGAGGAACGCATCGCGTTGTTCGTAGAAGCACGTGCTGCTATTCCGGACCCCATCGTCGTCGAAGAATTGGCTAGAACCTTTCTGTGAGTGGCGGCGATCGCGTCGGCATGAACCTCAAACGCGCTTGCTCACCTCGCTGACTTGCTCCCGCACATCGTCTTAGCTACCGGGCGAACCACTGCGGTGGCCATGTCGTCTACACGCCCTGGCACAAGGCCGCGACCGAGCTGCTCAGTATCGCCAGTCCCGAACAGGCGGTCTCAGCTCCCATGTTCCAGGACGTCTCGAATCTTGGACTCTGGTTCTTGATCCTGAGCGTCGGGTACCATTTTCATCCCAACAATGGGCCGACTTCGCACACTCGCGGATTTGCCGCGGTGCACGCTCTTCGCAAGTCTGGCATCGATCCCTCAGTACGCTGGTACGGCATCGCTAAGCGTGCTCTTGCCATCGAGAAGGACTACGTCTTGAAAAGCTTGCCTGCCCTCCAGTGCGCCTCCCTTTTCCTCCTGCTCGGTCGTGATGACCCCGCCTGGCTGCGAATGCTGCGGGCGATGACTATCGCTGGTGCCCGTGATATGGGCCTGCCAAGATTGGGCAGCGCCAGCTATGCGCGCGAGATGACCACAAACGACTTTGTTCGTCTAGAGACTGCCGTGCGCGTCTGGAACTTCCTTTGCGTCAGAGACTGGTGCTGGTCGCAGCGCGATGGCAGCTACTCGCTCCATCCGAGTCAGATGACGACACGCCTTCCTTTGAACCTCAACGACGCAGATCTCGAAGCTGGCACGACCGAATCCAAATCATCATCGAATTGGACCGAGATGTCCTTCGTCATCGCCCAGGTTGGCCTTGCGCACTGTGTACGCGAGGCTGCAGATCTTCGGAACGCGAATCTGGACGACACCTCGCGAGCGGTCGTCGAGTGCATCGACGAGTCCTTCCGACGTTTCTTGAGCGCTGGTCTACCGCACTTCTACAGCGTCAACAGTAGAGAGGCTACCCCGCCAATCATGGCACCTCAACGGTGGATGCTACACCAGCAAGTGTTCCATCAGCTCTTGCTGGTCCACAGAAATCACATTGCTTCGCCTGTTGGACGGTCAACGTGCTTATCGCTCGCCCTAGGCACCCTGGAGCTGTTCAAGCAGCTCCGCATGATGTGCCCGGTAATCGAGGGCATGTATGTCAATTCTCACCACCTCTTCGCAGCCGGCACTCTCCTCTTGCTCGACTTGTTCAATGACAACGTCGATGATGAGCATCGTGCCAACGTTCGCGACAAGGTCTCGGCCGCTGTGCAGTACATGTCTCCAGCACCTCGTGCCAAGCAGCTGCTCAGTACGCTGTTAGATGAAGAGGCGCAATATTATGAGGCCACCAGAGATCGGAAAGCGTACGTGCAACGCGACAGAACCTTGGATCTGGCCACTCTCTGCGACCGGGTGGCGGAAGTCATCGAGCAAACACCTGGTCTTCCTCGCGACGATGTCAATGCCATCGACGACGTGAGGATGCCGGACCATCACTTGATGCCAGCTCTCATTGGACTGCAATCGCCGACGAGCGATTTCAACCAGACCAAGCCAAACCTCGAGCATCATCTGTCCCAAGACAAGGTCGGGCCGAACTCTGCATTCGAAGATCCAAGGTTCTTTGGCTTTGATCACCGACAAGGAAACACGTCGGCATCTCCATCCTCGCGCCCCAATACCGGTCTGATGCCCCGCAGAGGCACTGTGCTATCGCCAGCTCTGCCGTCGCCCGCCGAGCTTGCCAGAAGAGCGCCAAGGATCCTTGCAGAAGGAGCCATCACGCTGCCCAGCATCGGCGTGGATCACAACTTGTCTTCCAATCAGCACAACTCCTTCAATATCCACCCTAGCTTCCGATCGGCCGTGTACGATCAACCCAGCAGCAGCAGCAGCAGCCACAACGACAAGAACGCTATGGGGCCCATTCCTGCTGGCGGCTTTGATGTGTTCGCACCCAACAATGTCCACTCTGTCTCGGAGAACGATCAAGCGATCTGGAATTGGCTACTATCTGCCGGTCTTCCAGACATGCAAACTGCTTTCTGAGCCCCTTGCCCTTTCACAGCGGGCCCGCGCCTCAATCAGCGCCCTCTACCATCAGTCTCGCAAGGCTCATCTCAAGAATGTCTAGACGCGCATCGTGCCGTCGCTCGCTCGCTTGCTCATCGTGCAAGGAGTGTCCATCACGTATCCGTGCCTTGCGACTTATCTTCTATACTCTGCGTCGGCCTTTCGCTCCGCGCACTTCGACTCTTTCGCTCCATTCACGTGATATTTTTTTTGCTCTGCGATCCCCCTCGCGCGCGAGAGAAGTGTCGATGTACACTCAGACTCGTCATCCGTCTGCTCACCTAATGTCATTGGCTACTCCACAAGTATCTCGCCCGCTTGCTGATCAGTCGTGAGTGCAGGCGTCTGCGCGAGCTGCGTGTGGCAAGGGACGGAGATGTGAGAATGGAGGATGTGGGTGACGAGGTGTGTAGGTAGAAGAGAGTTCGTGAATGGATACAGGGTCTGCAAGGTAGAAGAACAGAGGGTGGCACGCGCTTGATGCGGCGCACAAAGTAGCGGTATGAAGGGCTTCGACGGGAAAAGAAAAGGTGATACATGGACGAGACGAGGCTCGATGAAGCGTACGTACAGAGTGACGGGGAGGTCAGCGTGCAGACTACTGCTTGACGACACCTTGCGAGCTGCCTAGCTTGTCCGCGTTCTGACGCTGCTTGTCTATGATGCCCTTGAAGGCCTCAAAGAAGTAAAAGAGCAAAGTGGTTTGCGGTTGCAATCTGAGCCAAGCGGGTGTCCAGCCCCTAAAGAAAACAGTCGGTCCATCCTTCTTGACGGCGCCCCGAATGATGCTGACCAGCGTGGCTGATGGATCTTTATTGTTCTGCACGCGCGACTTGATGAAATCTACCGGTTGCGCCAGAGTCGTTGCGGCTGTTCCTGCGCAAAAGGTCGCTGCTGTCACCACCATGCCGTCGGGCACTGCCTTGGTGTTTTCGAGGAGATTCTTGAAAAAGTCGTACCTGAATGCGAGCTGTGTGTGAGCTCAACTTTTGATTCCATTGCTTTGACGCCTGGCACATCGGCCTCCACTCACCCGGCCAGCTGACCGACATTCAGAGTCGCGCCCTTCACCACATTGGCCTCCATGCCGCGCACCAAAATCTTGACTCCATCATCCCGGACTACACGCACAAGTCCATTGACAGCATTTCCATACGCAAAGCGCTCAGCTGGAGCTCTGTTCAGATCGGAGCAAGTGCGCACGAGAACGATCTCTGCAGGGTTGCCCACAATCTGTGTCCACTCGCACTAGGTCTCAGCATACAATCATGCAGCTTCCTGTCAGACGCAACGAGAAATTGACCCACCGAGGCTACACCACCTCCAAGACCTGCGGCAAAGGCCAGCTCCAAGCTGGTCGGCTTTGTCTTTCCTTCGCTTAAGAAGGAAGCCTTAGTCTTTTCGTACACAGCAAATCGGGTCAAACTTGGGAATAGAGGTGCGGTGTGCAAAGCGAAGCGCACGCAGTCTTGTGAGCGAGAATGATAGGAGGCTATGCGGAGAGTGAGCTACTTACGAGTAGCTGAACTGTCGTAGCCAGGTGGCGGTGAGACCATGCCAGAGGCTGGTGATGCCTTCTGATTTGGCAGTGGAGATGATGGTAGCGAACATGCCTCTTTTGACAGTTGCGGTCTCTATTGTAGACAATACCAAGCGTCGTCGTCACAGGGTGCGGGTCAGATGGCTTGAAGGAGCGGAGGACTTTGCAGCGCAGACAAGACTGACTACGCACGGAGTCTATACTTCGTCAGATCTAGCGGATGTCTGGACAAGGAGGGGGAGGAGCATGGTCAGCGTTGCAGCAAGGACCAAAATGTCGCGCTCGACGTCAACGTCGATACTTACGTTATCGTGGCTGCACAGCACGCGCTGGCTCCTCCCAGCCAGAAGGGATAAGGCTTTTTCTGAATCGGCGCTCCTCCTGAACCAGCCTCGCGCAGAGGTTGTTGACGTGGTGCTGACATTGTGAATAGCCGAGGAGCAGCAGATGCAGAGCTTTCGAAACAGTGCTGGGGTTGTAGATGGACCTTGGAGAAAGGTTTGTGCTGGAAATGTGAGAAGCCAAGGTGAGGAATGGCAGCGTTGCCTGAACTGCGAGAAGCACGCTTTTGCCTTGCGAGATGGCGGAGGGAGTACAGGATGAGCAGACTGGCCAAGAAGGTGATGAAGGTTCACTCGTCTAGAGGAGGAAGCTCGCCTCGCAGCTTACACTCCAATTGAAGCTCCGTTACGTGTAGATCGTTGAGCTGACAAACTCGGTGAACTCGTTGTTTGTTACGAATCTTGTCGGTGCGGGGTGACGAGCGAGAAGACGCTGGAGAGGCCCGTCCACGGAGCGGGCGTACTTCACAGCTGCGTGATCAAGCGAAGCGACGACCAAGCTCAAGGCAAGGCAAGGCAAGGCAAGGCAAGGCAAGGCAGGCAGGCAGCTTTGAGATGGCTCGTGGCGAGTCAGAGTGTGAGAAGGCAGACGACGGGTGGATGAACCCGCGGATGGGTTGGACAGCTCAGCTCATATGCCTTGCAACTCGCCCTCACTTATCATCGTGGACGGGACGGGCTGTTCATAGACTCACACTCTGACTCGTCCATGACTGCAACTCTGACCCGCGAGAGCGCGTATTGGTGGGCCGAAAAGCAGCAGCAGCGTGTGAGCACAGCATCACGAACCCCACATTTTGCTCCAAAGCTCCGCGCGGACACGGGATGGCTTGGACTGCCGACGTGCCTGCGCAGTCTCCTGCAGCGCCGCGTGCATTTACGGTACCGCGGACTCTCTGACTGACACGCCGCGCCGTAATTTGGACGGGGCACATCATCATATCATGCACGCACGGACCACAGCTCGCACACTTGCAATCGTGAATAATCTTGCATTGCGAATGATTCGTGAGTATTCACAATGATTCGCGCTGATGCTGGGATGCTGCATCGTCACACGTCACACGTCACACATCCTCCACCATCCGCCAATGCATCTCCAGACTCACCACCCAGCTTTACAGCACCGCCGACAGACCGCAATTAAGAATCACTGGCCAGTCAAATATTTCCTTTCCACGCACGCGAGAATGACCCACACGGCATCTTCCTCGAGGCCCAAAGTGGTCCTCACACGTCCTCTACCCACCTGCATCCTGGACGAAGCCAGAGCTGCAGGCGCGATCGACCTGACGGTTTGGAAAGATGCGGACCGACCTGCGGATAGAGAGTGGCTGTTGCGCAGTGCGGAAGGAGCAGATGCCGTGCTGGTCATGATGAGCGACAAGGTGCGTGCGCAACCGCGTGCGCGTGTGCATGGAGTTTTGTGCGTGGGTGATGGGGGTCGTCGATGTCATGGTGGAACGTGGTAGTGCTGGCGCCCTTCGAGTCACGTCGCAATGTCTCACATCTCAGGCGCCATCCTGATTCGAGCTCAGGTGGATGCGGAGCTGCTGGATCGCGCTGGACCTTCTTTGAAGATCGTTTCTTGCATGAGCGTAGGCTACGATCACGTCGATACAGCCGAGCTGAAACGTCGAGGTATCCAGCTAGGTCACAGTGAGTCATCGATGTGGGCTTGTCATGTAAGCTGTCAGAGAACATCAAGTTGACCATTTGGCGCTGTGCTACATCGCAGCTCCTGATGTGCTGAATGCAGCAGTGGCAGATCTGGTCTTGCTGCTCATCCTCAGCACCACCAGGTTGTTGCCCAACGCCAAGCGGACGGTGGATGAGGGACGCTGGCCGCAAACACCTTGGGCTCCACTCAGCTTCGCAGGTCCGAGCTTGCAAGGCAAGACGATTGGCTTTGTGGGATTTGGCGCGAGTAAGTCGAGTTGCGCATCGAGGGTGAAGGCAAAGGGGCTTTGATGCGAGACCAGAGCGTGCAGTTGACAATGACCGCTTCCACCTGCGTTGCACGTTGCCCGACCCCCTATGTTCCTCGCAGTTGCCCAATCCACTCTTCTCCGCTTGCTGCCGCTCGGTCCTAGTCGCTACATCTACCTCAATTCTTCTCCCCAGCCTTTCGACCTTGACAATGCTAAATTTGCAGCCCTAAAGGCGGGCGGCTTGGAGAGGCTATTGCCTGCGTACGAAGCGGTGCAGGGAAGCAGGATCAGTGTAGAGAATGCGAGGGACTTGGAGGATCTGGCTAGGCAGTCGGATGTGATTGTGTGAGTGTGCCGGCAAGCTGAACGAGGAGCGCTCGCTGAGCCATCATCAACTGACACCTCATTCCACTCTCGCATGGTGAATCTCGTCACAGCGTGCTAGCGAGCTTGAACGCAAAGACGAAACATTTGATAGATGGGCGATGCTTTGATCACATGAAGTGAGATTGGCGTGTCCTGCCTCTTCCAAGGGCCACACTTCACTGAACTCGTCGCTTCGGATTTTCGCAGACCTACAGCGCACCTGGTCAATGCCGCTCGAGGGCCCTTGGTGAATACCTCCGCACTAGTCTCCGCGCTTCAACAAGGCAAAATGGCAGGCGCAGGACTAGACGTTTTGGAGGGTGAACCGGTTATTGGAGCTACGCACCCATTGTTATCGGATGAAAGCATCAGGGATAAAGTGTGCTTGTTGCCGCATATAGGCAGCGCTACGTTGGAAGCTAGAAGAGGCATGAGCGAGCTGGCGGTTGCGAATGTGCTGCATCAGTTGGGCTTTGCACACCTCGTAAAGGGCAGAGGGAGCAGACTTGTTCAATTGTAATGTGTAATGTTATTACAACCGCCGCGTGACAGAGGCTAATGATGTCGCTGTGTATGGCGAGGATGCGGTCGGTACCTATTCGATTGGCCCAGGCTGAACAGGCGCTCGAAGACGGCGTAAAGCAGCGACTTGCTTACTCTGGGCATGGCAGTGGGTCTGCGTACCTACACTCGTGAGTCATCGAGTGTGGACACAGACACGAGCGTTCAGCACCTTGGCCATGTCGCCATCGCCTGTAGTCCTGGCGGGTGTAGCAACGAGCAACGAGCAACGAGCAACGAGCAGCGAGCAACGAGCAACGAGCAACGAAGGTGGAGCGCGTCCCACCAGCACCACGACGCAAGACTACTGCTGAATGCTTGTCACTCATGCTTGCAACGTGCGTGAAAGTCGTGAGTCGCCAAGATGCGGGGCAGCAGCAGCAGCACGCAGCAGCAGCTGCAGGTTCGATGACCGGCCGCGGCATTTGGTCAGCCCGACACTCCGGCGCGCGCCGCTATGCAAGCAAAGTCGTGAGTCCAGACTATACCCTTCGCGCAGAGCAATCAACACACTTCCATCACAAACGTACCACGAAACCGCGAAAGGGAAGGCGCATCTTGATTGCCTTGCGGTGCTTGCTGTGTTGATTCCACATCATCAAACCAGTCCTCTGCCCGTTCCACGTTGACCGCTGCGAAATCATCGACGAGACTTGTGCTGAAGATACAAGCACCCTTCATCTGACCTTTTCTCCGATCGTAATTGCCGTACCCCCTTCGTGCTCCTTCTCCACTTCCACCTCCACCCCGACCTCGTTCTCGTTCTCGTTGCGCAACGTTGCTGCAAGCATGGCTGCTCCTCCACCCACCACGACATTCGAAACAAAGGATGGTGCAAAGATTGCCTATCATGTCTATGGCAAGGATCTGTTGGGAAGGGTGACGCCTATAGCATTGGTGAGCGTGCAGCGCAGGCTCATGGCTACATGAACGGCTCAGAAGAACGAAATTCCTTGACTGAATGCGCGATTTCGTTTGGCGTGCCGCCTGTCGCAGATCATGGGCATGTCGGGAGTGATGGAGGATTGGTCGCCGCTATCCGAGACGCTAGCAATCACTCGACCCGTGCTGGTGTGGGATCATCGAGGCATCGGTCATTCCAGCGTGCCAGCCGAGTGGGACTACGATCTCTCTCTTCAACTCATGGCTTCCGACTTGCTGGAATTGCTGAACGGGCTGGGAAAAGAGTGGCAAAACACCCACTTGCTGGGCTGGAGTATGGGCGGACACATCTTGCAGACCCTCTTGACCTTGCCTGATGCGAAAGAGGATGGCAAAGGCGGACTGAATATCAGAGGGATCAGAGTTCCTTCGGCTATTCTGGCAGCTACCATGACGAAGATGCCTCGAGGAGATTTTAAGCCTGATGAACTGGAAGCTGCGTGGGTATCGACGTGTTATGGTTGTCCTCCAGGCTGGCAATCCAATTGCGCTCAATACTCCCTCTCCTCTCTTGCCTTTCATCAGCGCTGCCAATGCCAAATCAAAAGAGGAGCGCAACAAGCTCATGTCGGAAGCCATCATGGCCTTGCAATACTTTCCCGAATGGATCACCTCTTCTCAAGACCACGCTTCCCTGCTAGCCCATCGCGTCAAAGTTTCTCTCGATACGCGTCGTCCTCAAGAGATCATCGGCCTTCAAATCGGAGCTATAGGAGCGGTGGATACTAGACCCGACCTTTATCGCATTCCCCAAACTCTACCTACGCTCGTCATTCATGGAAAGAGGGATCGCATGGTGGCTTATTCGGAGAGCGAACATATCCTAAAGGGCATCAAGCACGCCACCAGACTCGACACTCCCAATGATCAGATTGGTCACTTTTGGTGAGTCGCAAGTAGAGTATCCTGCGTACGCCAATGCTGCTTGTTGCTTATCCAGCTTCCACCCCTCATCGTCATGTGACCTGATCCGACTACGCAGGTTCGACTTCCTCACCACCAACTTTTGGGTCGACTCTATCAACGCTCACCTCGACTCTGCCAAGCATGTCCAAGCAGCCGCAAATTCCAAAACGTCCGCGCAGCAATCCAAATTGTAGTCCCCCATACGAATGCTCTCTCTCCCCCCCAATGATCGCTTCTACACCTAGAACTGCTCGTCAGGCTTCAGCTGTACCTGCTCCCGCTCGTCTAGGTCTTGCAGTGGGATTTGCAGGCGGTGCGCCATACTTTTGGCCCAGGCAGCCCAGACCTCCTTCGCGTTATGCATTCCCCTCTTCTTCCTCTTCTTCTGCTCACGAGCAGCGCGGTCAGCACAATTGAGACTCTATGCAGCATTGATGTTACATATCGGGGCGCGCGTGCAGTACACATAAGAAATGGGAGATGGCAGAGCAGAGGGATGTAGCTATCAAACGAAGCAGCATCAGGAAAGCCATACACTTTGGTTTGGCGTAGTCCCTACGATGCAGACAGACGACTACGCCGTGTCCAGCCGGATTCCTGTCAGCTAATCACACGAAGCGTCTTCGTCTCAACGTCCATTGCCCTGCACTTGAGGCTGAGGCGAGCCGTGCTGACCACCGGAGCGCTGATTCGACGAAGTCTGCGAAAAGCTTGGTTGGTGCTGCTGGTGATAGCTGTGTTGCTGTTGCTGTTGCTGCATTTGAGCAAGCTGAAACGCGTGTTGCTGAAAGTGCGCAGCAGCCTGGGAGTGCATCGGAGAAGGGAAGAAGGCTTGGCTGCTTGCAGACGATGCACCCGATGACCTCGCCTGCGGGGGCGGCGCATGTGGTTGGAAGCGAGGCTGAGTCGGACTCATGTCCCTTCCATTCGGTGGACCATATGCGCCATGATGCCTCAAAGGCGCAGTCCCGGCGTTGGTAGGATAGAAAGCGGGCTGTCCGTTCGACAAGCTGCCAACAGGTGAGCGCGCGCCTTGGCTGGCATTCGACAGCGCCCGCTGTCGAGAAGCAGAGGGCGAACTTGTGTAGGCCGAGTGTGCGCTTTGAGACACAGGCGTCGCTGCCAAAGGTGAGGGTGAACGTGCATCCGCTGCGTGCGCCGGTACTGGAAAGAACGGCTTATTTGCTACGGGCCTGTGCACGGAATAATCTGGTGTTGGCGCGCGATGCGGCGAGTAAGCACCCGTGTTGGCTCGCAATGGCTGAGAGATCGAAGATTGACGGCTCCGCTCTTGAGCTTGGGCATGTGGATGAGGCGATGCGTGCGCTACCTGTTGCACAGGCGATCTTTGGGAAAGCGGCGACGTAGTTCCAGGCGTATGCTGAGGAACGGAAAGACTTTGGCCCAGCTGATGTGTTTGGCCGTGTTGCGCTTGCGTCACAGGCACGGGCGTGGTTACAGGCGGTGGCACCGGTCTGGTCAGGGCGCGCGCGCTGTTCGGCGCTCGCGATGATTGACCGAGGTGTCTGTGAGGCCGATCGTGTGGATCCTGTCGAGTAGCATCATAGCTCCTGGATGCAGCTATCCTATCGAGTAGATGGGGGCCGCGCTTCTTCTTCTCGTCGGTAGAAGTGGCTGCCTTGCCTTGCTGCAAGTCGTTCGGTGATGCTGGCGAAGAAATGGGTGGGCGCGCATTGAGTCGTTCGAGCGCCCGACCTTCCAGGCCCTCAGGCAATTTGACAGTCTCGTTGTCCGCAATGACAGGAGGTCCAACGAGACCCAACGGGTGAGCGAGCGGTTTCAACGAAAGCACAGGTGACGTGGCAACGGCAGCTCTTCTTCTTCGCGCTTCCGGACCATACGACGCCTCGTCCAGGGTTCCCCAATATCCATCTCCAGGCTCACCACCTGCATCTATCAGAGCGGGATCAACAGCAGCTGATTTTGCGGCGGCTCGCAACTTCGAGGCCACAGGAATCAAATTGCTGCATCCGCTCTCCAACTCCAAGCGTGGTCGGAGCTTGACCAGCTCGGTCAGATTACCCAAAGCTTGACTCGCTGCACAAATTAAGAGTGTGTGTGATGTCAGGCCCGCTGGACTAGCAGGTGCTAGTCAACTGATATAGCTCACCTGTATGTTGCTCTTCAGCAGAAGGAGCCACCTCGCGTCCACTTTTGTAGCCTCGCCTTAACCTTGCATCCTGAAGCTCTTGCAATCGCTTCAGCAGAGCGCGGCTCTGAGTCAAGCGATGCTCAATGGTCTCTTCGTCTTCGAGCTCTTCGTAGGCGGCCGCCAAATCGTCGGGATGCAAGTCAGGATGCAAGCCCGCAAAGTCCGCCTCGTGCAAGTACGAGTCGGCTCTTTTCGCATCCTTCGTGGAGGCGAAAGCTACTGGTGCCACCATGGGCGCCGCAAGCAGATCAGCTCGGGATTTCCCTTCAGCTTTAAGGTCCGCCCAGCCTTTCGCTCGAAGCTCGTCTCTGCGTCTTCGGCCCTGAGACCACATCAGTCTGGAACCGGCAAGCCCAAGTGTCGAGTCGCTGCTGTCGTACGTCGGTGTGAAGGACGACCATGCGTCGTAGTACAGATGCGTAGCTGCTCGTAGCGCGCGCACAAGACCTCATGGGTAAGCGGACAAAGTTTGCGAGGCACACCTCAACTTTTCAATGTTGCTCACCAGGCACAATCCGCTCTCCCAGAGCATCATCATCAGGGCCGATGGGAGGAGTGGGTGTGCTCCTCATATTGTCGGCCACGCTCTTTAGTGACCTCTTATTCTTGACCGCCGATAGTGCTCTCGAGCCAAGCGTAGGCACCGGCATCTTTGACCGTGCCTTTGGGGCAATCGAGATGACGTTTGCGCAGCCTGTTGTACGAAGCGAGCCGAAGTCAGTCATTTGTGAACTGCTCTGGAACATTGGTTGAGTCAGATGCCTCTCACCTGGGTCGATCTTGCCTGCATCGCCTTCTACAGCACTCGTGAAGTAATGACCAGTCGGTAAGAGCATGTGCAACGCGATCTTTCGTGCGGCGCTTCCAGACCCCACAGGGCGTGTGTGATCAGAGTGTTCCTGCTTGAATCTGGCTTCAGCCTGCTCATTCTCGCCTACCCCATCTCCGCCGCTCATATTGGTACGCTTGTTGGCCGCGATGCTGTCTACCAATGACAGCAAGAGGGCGACGCATCCTTGCTCATGATTTGGAATCGCTTTCCTTGCCGTGTGCGCTGCATGCAAAGCGGCTACGCTACCCTGATCCTGCTCATGCGACCTCAACGCCTCCCTCCGATCGTATGCTTCTTGGGAAACGTCTGCGCGAGCGTCCTTGAGCTTCAGTAAGAAAGACTAAGTGCAGGAAGGATCGTGTTGGAGAGCAGCGTATGAGCCTCGACCAGTGGACCGCACGAAAGCGTGTGCATTGGAAACTTACTCTCAAGGCTCGGATGCCGATCTCTCGATGTGCCAGTGTCTCTTCGAGGGTGGCTGGCCCGACTTCACAGACAGCTGTACTTGCACCAGCTTCAACCTTTGTGATTTGGACTTGCCGCTGCAACAGTCCGGGCGCGTAACTGATTGGACGCAAGCGAGTGAGTTTTGGCGCCCGATTGTCAGCTTTGGAGTGCTGTCAAGGAGTGGTGTAGGAGTAGCCGCAACGTACCTTTCAAGAATGAGTCTGAAATGCTGCCGTTCCTCCTCTTCTAGCATGAGCTCATCGTCTCGACCATCTATGTGCAGAGCATCGTCGATGCCCGAGTCTTCTGTCGAGCTAGCTTTCTTCGTAGAACCATTGCTGGAAGACTTGAGGCCACCATTCGAGAGATCCACTTTGCGCGTGCGAGCGTCCTTGACACCCGGTGCTGCTGTATCAGTTGCCACTGGTGATTCCGATCTCCCGTTGGCTTGCCGAGGGCGCGCAACTCTGCCAGTAACTCGCTCGTCGGGGCTCAGCGTCCCATTTGCGGCTCGGCCATCCATTGATGGGCTGGCCTCTCCAGCCTTGCCCCTCTTGCGCTTCAAGGTGGAAGGCAGAGCCGATGATGGTGCCGCGCTGCTCGTCGATGGTTCCAAAGACCCCTCCGCCCCCACATCAGCAGCTGCGCGAGACCGCTCTGACCTTCGCGTCGACATGTCGAGCTGGAAGATGAATTGCCAAGGAGCGATGGCGTACGCTCAGCTATCGCTCGATGCTCGATGCTCGATGCAGCACCTTTCGGAGTGGCGCACGTCGGCCACTTTCAGTCTCGGAAGAAGGAGGTAGATGAAGTCCGAGCTCTTGCACGTGTGCGTCTATGGGCCTACGAGCGCGCGCTGTTCGAACAGTACTCAGACTGAAAGGCTTGCCGTGCCTAGAGAAGCGCGAGCAAGGCCGGCAAGAAGTGCCAGATGCAGCAAGCGATACGTTGTCGGGCAAGCAGCAGATGAAATCGCCGTGCAGACTCGGATACGCCGACCAGCAGTCACGAGTATGAGCTCTGCTTTCACGTCCGATGGAATCAAGAATGTGCAGGTGAGATCAGCGCGCGGCTTTGTTGAAGGGAGACCTTTGGCGCCTTCGGTGCGTCCGACGTCGCGGCGCAAGAGCTCTGCCCCGACTGGGAGGGAAGAAGCGTGGTTGATGTGCTTGTGTCGGTGTGCCGTACGGTGTGTACGTAGATCAAGCTTTTTGAAAGGCGCGCATATATGCTGCGTCGTGAGAAACGAGTTCGTGCGCGTTGAGCTGCTGCGTGCGCGAGGCGAGGCGTTACTTTGCGTTTGGCGACGACGCGACGCAGTAGCGGCAGCAGACAGACAGACAGCAGGGTTCGGATGGAAAGAGGCGCGTAGAGGTGCTGCCTGACACGCGTGGCTTGGCACACGTGATAGCTCGAGCCTTTCAAGGCGTTTCGATGTGAGGGTGGATGACAAAAAAGGTTCACAACCATGCAAGATCGATTGGTGGAAGAATTGGAGATGGATGGTATGCTGATACGATCCACTGAAGCGCAACGATGCCGTGGAAGCGAGCGATCGAGCCACGCGAGAAAATGAACTCAAGGCAGCAAAGCGGCGCGTGGCCGCACGCGCCTCGGGAGCAGCCCTGATGTACGAGCTACACAGGCAGCAACGCGCCCAGCCAGCAGCAGTCAAAAGTCACGGACGGCACCTGACAGTCAGTGAGTTAAGTGTGCTGGCGCGGCGGGCAAAGTTGAGTCACGTGAGCCTACCTGGGGCCCAGCTCGCGCCCAAAATCCGAGGCTTTCCCTCTCCGCCATACAAGTCGTAAGTTTGAACTCTTTGACCAAGTTGTGAACCAGAGGCCATTCAAACTTGTTGCTTGTCACACCGGGAAACGTGAATCGTCACTCATCCGGTCGACATCACGACGACCCAACGACGCAGCGCGGTCGGCGCCGCACATCAACATGCAGGCATCGCGCAGGCTAGGAAGGGCGGAGCGTGAAAAGTACATTCACATTCGTGATTATTGGGTTCGATCATAAATTCAACGACGCTTTTACCCGTCTTTGTTGAACTGCGCAATGGATGCAAACTTGCCGCCTTTCCAATCATTACTCTGCCGTCTCCTCCTCGAAGAGGACAAGCTCGACGCCTTCTCCTATCATCTGACCAGCTTTAGCTGCCAATGTCGCGACGACGCCTGCACGAGGTGCGCGCACGACGTGCTCGGTCTGCGCATGGCAAAAGGAGAGAGTGGAAAGTCCGGAGTCAACCGCAAAAGCCGAAGATGCCAAGATTGGGCGCGTGTGGGATCTTCGCACTGTCACACGTCGAGCACGCACCTTCATCGCTTCGAGCACGACTAGCACATCGCCAGCTTCTACCTTCGAGCCCACCTGAACGCGCACATCGACAACCTTTCGAGCGAACAAGGCCAAGTCGTGCAGCAGGCTTGTCAGCACGATCACTGCGGTGACTCGCGCAATGATACACCGATACTCACCTTGCAAGGCATGGGGCTCTTCACGCTCGCCTTTGACTCCGTGAGCGCTCCTCTGAGCTCCGCAACCCATGCCGGGGCAACGACGTCTATTTCAATCTGCCTGTCCTCCAAGAACAGGTCCAGTCGTTCCACAGTATCCAGAGCATTGCTAGAAGGACGTCTCGGTACGATCGTCGCTTGTATCCTGGGCGACGGAAATGCAGCATCGGCCGCGTCCGTCGGTGCCAGTTCGGCGCTCAGCACTTCTCCTTCGCTGCCTGCGATGCTGGTCGTAATACATCGAATAGACGAGATTGCACCGTCGTCCTCGTGCAGCTGCACAGTGAATACGCCGCCTTGCTCTTGGAGGACACGAACGCTGACATGTGGCTGTTTCTCCGAGCCAGACGATGCCCGACCACGCAGAAGATACGTTCTGCTTGCAGGCTGCGCCGCCGACAACCGCAAAGCTTGGAAGGCGCTCAGAGTTGGACCTGCGTTGGCGGCGCTCGTCGCAGAGTCTCGCAGGCCAAGGTACAGTGCTGCACAGGTGAGCACCGACTTGCTTGGCCTGGGGACAGCTGGCAGAAGGTCGGCTTTGTATCTCTGTCCTCGGAGCTTAGCAATGATAAGCCGATAACGGATGCCAATCTCGAGCGGAAGCTCAGCGCACTCACAGCAATGAACCCGGTGTCAAGCTCGTCCGCGCTGATAAATGCCGGATGATCACACAGACGTTTGAGAAAGTCGACGTTCGTCTTGGGACCCACGATACGGGTCTGCTCCAGTGCCAACCGCAGTCGACGCAAAGCTGTACCCCTATCTTTGGCGTGTACGATCAACTTGGCGATCATCGGATCGTAGAAGACTCTGCGACGACAGCAGAGCAGAATCAGAACGGACTCTGGAGGCAGGCTTTCGATTCAGACTCACGACACATCATCTCCACTTCGCACTCCCGTGTCGATTCTGACAACAGAGTCGGAGCCGATAGAGCTCTCCGCTGGAAAGTGCAAGTGCTGCAAGTGTCCCACATCCGGCAAAAAGTTGGACGCTGGGTCTTCAGCGTAGAGTCTAGCCTCGAAGGCATGCCCTTTGACGTGCACGTCTTCCTGAGATAGCGGAAGCGGGGCGCCGCTCGCCACGAGCAATTGAAGGGCGACAAGATCGACTGCATGCGGAGCAAGGTACGTCAGCTGCCTGGCTCGAGCTGTCAAGCACTTGATGACCGTCTGCTCACCTCCCGTCACGAGCTCCGATACTGGATGCTCCACCTGCAGTCTTGTATTCATCTCCATGAAGTAGCTGAAGACAGGCAGGTGATGAGAAACGCATTCAATGCAACGTCGTTGTACCAATGCAATCGTTGGAAGCGACACCTTCCCACTCACAATTCGCCGGTCGTGGCGTCCATGATGAACTCGACAGTTCTGTTCGCAGCGTCACAATGCGCAATTGTGCTCAACTCTGAAAGAGGGGCTCGCCGACGTCAGGAGTCAGTCCACTCACCCTGCGCCAACATAGTCTACGGCTCTTGCCGCTTCAACAGCCTTCGACTCCAGATCTCTTCTGAGCTCTTCGGACAGGTTAGGGGCGGGTGCTTCCTCAATGATCTTTTGATGTCTTCGCTGCACGCTGCAATCCCGACTGGAAAGTGCAATGTGTTGCGAGTGGGGTGGCGCAGAGGAGATGATCTAGGCAGCACGAGTGAAGCCGATCGATGAGTGTCTGCATTCGTCAGACGGCATTGGGTCATGCTTGACGCACCTGGACCTCTACGTGCCTCGGCTTGAGCAGATACTTCTCGATGAGTACTGTGCCATCTCCAAAGGACTTGGCAATGGAAAGCGAGGTTGAGCTTCAGCGAGGTACCAGCGAAACAAATAATAGGCAAGCGTACCGACGCACCTTCTCAGCCTCCCTTTTTGCGCTCAACAGTTGCTCTTCAAATTCATTCTCATGCCAAACGATTTTCATGCCCTTTCCTCCGCCGCCTTTGACTGCCTTGATCAGGACCGGGAAGCCCATCTTTTTGGCCTCTTGAGAAAGTCGTTCATAGGACTGATCATCACCATGATAGCCTGGAACGCACGGTACGCCTGCTGCTAGCATGATGGCCTTTGAAGCTGATTTGGATCCCATGCTTATGATGGCGCTCGTTGGAGGGCCGATAAATGTGATGCCGGCTTCTGACAGCGCAAGACTGAAGTCGCTGTTTTCGGACAGGAACCCATAGCCGGGGTGAACCATCTTGAGGCAATGCGCGCGGCAGGCAGGTGAGAACGAGCTCCAAATTCGGACCTTCAACCTGGTTCGTCGTGGTACTCACCTCGGCTCCGGTCAGCTTGGCTACATTGATGATTCGATCCGCTCGTAGATAGGAGTCGCTCGATGCAGCTGGCCCGATGCAGTACGCCTCATCAGCCTGTACGGAGCCAGGCGTATGGTGCGGAAATGTGAGGCGCAGACGTGGACTCGCTCGCTGCTTTCTGCACTCACTAGCTGTACGTGCAAGCTCTTGGCATCAGCCTCGGAATACACAGCGACTGTCCTGACGCCCAACTCTTTGCAAGTCTTGATGATTCTGCACGCTATTTCTCCCCGATTTGCGATCAAAACTTTGCTTGGCAGGCGTGCTGTATTGGTAGACGTGGTGTCCGAAGCGCCTGGAACGAAGCCCTCCGCTCCTGCTTGGCTATGAGAGGTAGCGACGGAGCTCAGGCCCCTCTTGCCGGCAAGCGTAAGAATCCTCTTTCTCTGGCGGAACGCAAGCGTCTTCGATGCGACGGCTGCTCCATCTGAGCAGCAATGAGTTGGAGTGGGAGCGAGATCAAACGCGTACGTGCCGTCGCGCTGAGGTGCATTGAACACGCGCTCAAGCAGACTCGCCGAGGCTGTGTGGAGTTGCGAGCGCAGAGCCGGCGCATTGATAGAGGTGTACGGTCTCGCAGTCGCTGCCCTTTTGGTGAGATGAAGCATGACTGCGGCTCAGCTGGCGACCATAAGCGATGCAGCTTGTGAAAGTCTTCTGCAGGGCTTCTGGAGATACTCTGAAAGCGTCTTCAGGGTGTCCACCAATGTCTCGTCCCCGTTGCGTCCCCAGAGCCTTCGAGACGATCCTCGCCTATTCTTATCAGACACTGGCACAAGCTGCTGTGGTCAGGGGGCCTCAACGTGCAGTGCATATGAAGACCGCAGGGCAAATGCTTGGAGCTTGGATGAGTGACTGAGTGTGAATGATGGTGTTCATGGTCGCAACCCAAGCAGCAGTCAAGTCTCGCTTGTCACACAGCTCTACAACTTTTGATGCGCTTCCCCACACTCACCACACCAGCAGCTCACGCATCTTGCAAGCATCACACGCGCGCCCGTACCCACCTTCGGAGAAACGAAGGCGTGCGCGGGCGCGGGCCCGGACGCCGCGGGCAATTCTCCGACAGCGTGGGGGATCTTTCATCAGAATCACCAATACAGAAGACGTGACTCACGACTGCATGTTGACTACAAGTCAAAAGTTGCTGCTGGCCGCCTGACTAGATCGATGCACGTGATCTCGCGTGTGTGAAAGGCAAGACAATCTGAATCTGAATCTGAATCTGAATCAAAAATCAAGAAATCGCGAACGTGCTGTGGCCGAGTGTCGCGATTCAGATGCGCGATTGCGCAGAGGTCCATGAGGAGAACAAGTCAAGTCAAGTCAAGTCAAGTCAAGTCAAGTCAGTCGAGCTCGTCTGCTGCGAAGACGATCATCACGCCTCTGTCCGATCTCGCGACGGTTCGTCATCCACAGACTCTCTTCCTGATCACAGCACGCACGACTAGAATACCGACTTGCCGACTCAACAGCCATCTCGCCCGCTTCGCTGTGCAAAAAAAATGAGCGGCCTAATCGTGATGCCGAGCATGTATTTGGACCAAAGCACGCTATTTGTCCTCCTCATCTTTTTCCCCATCGAGGTCATAGGTGGCTCAGCTTTCGATCAGTCCTTCAAGAACCCGTCCATGCTGCTGTACTTCGCCTTCTATCTCCTGTGCATCAGTCTCGCTTCGCGTTGCCTCTTACCGCTCGACGTCGACGCTTCCACCAGCACACTGACACTGGTGCAAGCCATACAAGACTCCTTTTCACAAGGAAGAGCAGACCAACCACACGCTACGCTGCTGAGCATCTCTCTGATCGGAGGACTGGCAGCCCTTGCATTATACCTTTACGCCTTGAGGCACATGTTGAAAGCGCACAGACTAAGCCTGATTGGTTCCAACGATGCGCCGACCAAGCTGCTCAAGAGCGGTCCATGGCACCACATCAGACACCCATTCTACACTTCTTACATGATCAACATCATCTGCATCGCTTTAGCTTCTGCTCCAACGACCCGCAACCGTTTCATAGCGGCAGCATCAGCCATCGGTGTTTCTGTGGTCTGGGCTTTTGCTGCCAAGAGAGAAGAAGCTAAATTCGAGCAGAGCAAGCTCAAAGAAGAGTACGAGGCTTACAAACGTCAGACTGGCATGCTGTTTCCCAGTCTCACAAGTACAACGTGCCAGTCAAGACGGCTCAAGTAGGAAACAAGCAGATTGGGCTCGGTTTCCAGCACGCAAGCAACGTGGACGCGAGAGGCGCCTCCAAGGTCGCACCGCTTACGCTTACGCTTGGTAGAAGTTCGTATTATACATTTCATGAAAGGCCTCGGTAGTCTACGTTCCGCAAAAATGACTCGTCGCATCTATCGACTTCTAGCGATTCGCTTCCTCAAGCCTCTGAACTTCAACCACGCCCATGCCGACAGCTTGTCCTCTCTCCAAGACGTGGCCTTGAACGCAACGACGGTGATGAGCACCTGGCCGATGGTTATGAGGACTGCCCAGCCCGTGTACAGTGCGCCATCACCGACCGCATCTTGTAGTGGCCCAGCCACTTCGGAAGCGACAAAGGCCGTCAAGCCTCTGAAGAAACTATTGCAAGACACCGCGCCCGACGCTCCTCCGACGTTGGAATCGACCTGTCGTGCGCGGCAAAGGTACACACAAGTTTAGCGTGTGATCGAGGCTGCCCGTCGAAGCGCAGACGCAGTCGCACTCACGATGTAGCTCAGACTGGTAGAGTAAGGCCAAAAGGTCGAAAAACCTATCAAAACCAAGCTGACGACCGGTGCCGCAATCTCGACGTGTTGGTGCACGGTCCAAGCATACATGATGAAGGCGAGCGGACAGAGCAGCATGGCCAGGAAGCTGCTCTTGATCCTCTCTTCCGCAGGGGCCTTGTGGCCCAGCTCGATGCCTTTGCGCCTTAGTCGCAGATCGGACAGCTTGCCGCCCAAGACCGAACCGAATATCCCACCCACGCCTAGCGCTAGCAGCACCACACCCACCAGCAATGGACCGTATGAGTAGGGAGCAGCGGCAAACGTGCGAGCTGCTGTGTACGATAGAGAGTACTGGCTACCAAAAGCAAGCTGCAGAGGTGCGATGAGGCGGTCAGCAGCGAGCAGAGCAATCAGCCTGACCAACTTTCTGAAAGAAGTGAGCTCACCCCATTGTATATGAGACTCAAGACATTGTGAGGTTGGTTCAAGACGTGCTTGAAGTTGGACCAAGGGTTCACATCGGCCAGTGTGGGTTTGAACTGAGAAACCGGGGATGCCGTGGCTCAGATCAGCTTCGATCCCCACCAGCGAGATGGGCCGGGACTCGCGACGATGCCGACTCACCTTGATCTCCTGTCCGTCGCGCGTCAAGACCCGTCTTGCGCTTCCAGCGCTCTTGGCTCGCGCGATAGCCGCCGGTTTTGCGCTGCGAGCAGTCGCGTTGGTGGTGACGCGAGCCATTCTCGCAGCTCGCTCTTCTTGTCTTGCCGCTTCGTCCACTGCCTGAGCTGCTGCCGATGGTGCCATTGGAGCTACGGGCGGAGCAAGCTCCACATCCGCAGGTTCTCGATACTCTGGTGGGGTGTGTGGACGGATGGATGATGCAGGGGAGACGGTAGTGCCTGCACCGCCAGACAGCTTCTCTCTCGGCGTCGACGCCGCATTGGGTTTGGACCGCCGCATCCACCTTTCCCAGAACGGTCTGCGCGTAGAAGCGTGATCGGCCTCACATGACCCGATGTAGGTAACGTCTCGATTTGCCTGTGCCTGTCGCGACTCTTCTGCTTTGGTTAGCGCTCTCTTCTTGGCGGTCTGCCAAGCCAGACTCCTTTCCACTCTGAACGTCTCTCGGAAGAAGAAAAAGGATAGGCAGGAAGCGCCACCGAGTCCCGCCATGGCGTAGAAGGTGGCTTGCCAGCCTCCAGCTTCGGTGAGAGCACCGCCGATGACAGGAGCCAGAGCAGGTCCTAGCAGAGGAGCAGAGTAGTATATGCCGACCTTGACGCCGCGCTCGTGCGGTTCGTACATGTCTGCTATGCTGCCTGCAGATATGGACAGCATGGCCGCTGAGCCTGCCGCACCCAAGACCCGCAATGCTATGACGGCCTTGATGCTTCGTACTGCACCAGCGACGCCCACGCAGACGCTGAAGATGAGCATGGCAAGCAGAAAGCAGGGCTTGCGACCGATGATCTCTGAAGTGGGCGCCCACACGAGTGGAAAGGACCCCTGAGATCCGAGTGTGGCAATGCGAAGGGAGAGCACGGTAAGCGAAGAGGGTGCAAGGTGAAAGGTGAGCCTCCTAGCTAAGCGGGCTCGTGAGGATAGAGACGTACCTGAGCAAGAATGTACAACGAGATGCTGAGAGATATTTGCGCATCGCTAGCATTCAGATCCGACTTGATCTGGTCGATGGCGGGGAAGAAAACGTTGGCAGCCATGGTGGGTATCAGAGCCCCAAAGCTCAGCATGGCGAGCTGAGTCCACTTGCGCGCCGATGACCAGCTTCTCGGGTCATCTGCCACTACCGTATGCTCAATGTCTGGCTTCTCATTTGGGGTCGATGCGGTTGGCTTGCTCGCAGGCTGGCCGCCTTTGGCTGCCGAAGCCTCGATGTCCTCATCGTCGATGCCAGTGCTTTGCCGCGATGAGTTGTCGGGTGGATTGCTTATTCGCGGTGCAGGTGTGTGCGCAGGCGTGGAAGTGGCTGTATGCTCGTCTGTCTCTGAAGGTGCGTGAGCCGCCATCTTTGCACGAAGCTGGGATCTGACTGGTGGGGAATGGTGTTTGTGAAAGGCGCTCGGGGCTGTCTGAACATGATGGCACTGTGTATGTACCGGTACAGCAGCAGTCGGGGGATTATATGTGCATGCGGGCGCACCCAAAGTTGAGGGATCGAGCGAGCGAGCGGCAGAAGCGGGAAAACCGTCTGATCTGAGTCACGATCGATCTGAGTGAGTCAAAAGTTATTGCATGGGCGGCGCGGCCGAGCTGCAGCGAGCGCGGTGAGTTCGGCACGCGATAGCTGCTGCTGCTGCTGCCCTCTGTACCGGTACCGGTACCTACACACTGCATGGCGTCGCGGCGGCCATGGCGGTTTAGGAACAATCAAGCAGAGGGCAGAGAGAGCGAAGGTGGGCTTGCATGGGCGTGGGCGTGGGCGTGGGCGTGACTCGTTGCAGCAGCAGTAACTCCGCTCCGCCTCATCCTTTGCTGACCATTCGGGCATTATGCCGATCCATCAAATGCTTGGACTGGAGCCGAGCCGATTGTTCCCACGCTCGCATGTCCATGTCGTCCACTTTCTTCATGACAATGGCGTTGAGCACAGCGCTGCGGCTTGGAGCGGGAATGGGAGGAATGGCTTCAGGCGTGGCTGAATACAGCTCGACGCTGCCTTGAGGCTGGAGTCACAGTGTAGAGAAGAGCCTTGGGGCAATAAGCCACGCGAGCGTAGCACAGTATTACGCCAGTCGACATGCTCGCACTCACGTGGGCATCCGCTGGCTCCAGCTCGCCGATCAGCATGAGTAGGGACTTGAGACGGGGCCTGTCTGCTTCAACCAAGCACAAGCTGAAGTTGACCAGCAGACTGGTCTCACCATACGTGACGACTCCGATCGAGACGGCCGTGTCAAAGGCAATGAGACTAGCAGTTTCAAGTGCGTCAGGAGGGCTGAGGCCCCATGTCCCACAATGCGATCCGACTGCGGTCCGGTCAATTGTATGGGCACCGACACTCACAAGCCTACGATCCTAAGCTTCTGACCGACGTCGTCTGGCAGCAGCAAATCATCCAGTGGCATCAACACTGCCGGTTTCGGATCTGTCATTCTGGACCTGCCACTCGAGACGCCAGACGCATTGAAGGCCGGAGCAAAGGCCCGGTTCGAGACAGGATCGGAATGTGAATGTATTCGTCGACCTCACTGCGCAAAAAGTTGAAGGCGCGCAGGCGCCATCGATTGTCTGATCAGCTACCAGCGTCCATGCGGGTCTGATCAGCTGCCAGCGTCCACGTATCCGCTCTCGAGCGGAGGGTCGTCTCACCTCACTCAACACCGCAATGTGTCCATGCTTGGTGAGGTTCAGCGTTCGCAGAGTACGCAGGGCAGGACAACGTGTGAGATCGGCCAAGCTTCAAGAGCCGCTTTTGCGCAGAGGATTGTGCAAGTGAGTCACAACAGTCGCGAGTGTCGACTGCATGGGCGTGCCGGAGATGATGGGTCTTTGAGGAGCGCGTGCGTGATTGCTGATTGTGCACGCACCCGTAAGATGAGGAGGTACGGTGCTGTTGTGTGTCGCGCCGGCGATCGCCTGTTACTACTACTCACTCACAGGCTATACAGTAGGTACTCTGACTGCCTGTGAAGACCTCAGCAGATCCGCGGTCTCCGCGGTCAAAGCCTTTTCGCCGCCAAGCCCGGCTCGCACGCTTTGGGCGGAGGATGGTCGGACGTAGTCGGCCGAAACCCGCTCGACACTTGTAACTTTGGTGCGAGCGGGATCGAGTGGTGTAGAATCACGAATCACGAATCACGCGAAGGGTGAATTGACAATGGGAGGTCGGCATGTCGATTTGCATGTCGATGCTCTCATATCCCCGCACACCCCGACCAGCATCCGCCCTTGAAGATCACGAATCGTTGGTTTGCAGGCCCAATTGCCTCGTCACGTATGGCAGGCCATCAAGTCTTGAAAGTACGCTCTGCTCTACCTCTGCGCCGCAGGAATCGCTATGGAGGATTCTCACTCAAAGCACGCCATCATCTCTTTGTTCCTGGGTCCCCTCCCTAATCACTTGGCAGTGCAGACCTACTCTCAGCTCTCTTCTCACTTCACGTTCGACTCCTCCTCAACGCACGACCCACTGCTGCTGCACGATGTGGATTGGTACGAGGGGGAGAGCAGAGGCAAGGCGACCTACGTGCCAAGAGCTGTCTGCTTGGATACCAAGTGGGGCTGCAGTGCTGGGGCAGGTGGCAGCTACGGATGGGACGCTTACGACGAGAAAGAAGATGGAGTTGGTGCAGATGACCGCGATGGAGATGAGGATGAAGGCGAGAAGGAGGAGGAGGAACGAGCGGAAGCGCGGATGAGGCGGCAGGGCCTGCTCGCTTGGTGAGTCGCCTTCAGCTGGACGGGAGCGAGGTGTGAGGCGCAGACATACTCCACTTGAGGTGTCCCGAGGACAAGAAAGCTCCTATCACATCTTTAATCGTCTTCCGTAGCCCTTATTCACTGAATGACGCTTCTTGCAGGGGTTCCGAAGCTCAGTTGCATCGTTTGAACCGAGGCAGCGAATCTCAGAACGCGAAGACGCCCACTGAGGACTGGCAAGCAAGCGACGAGAGTGAGGCAGAGTCGGAAAACGAAGCCGAAGCTCGGCGAGATTCTCGCGATGCAGAGCAGGACCATGCGGCTCCTCTTGAGCTGCGCAAAGTTGCCGTCGACTCAGATGCCACACTTCAAAATCCTCGTAGAGCTGGTCAGCCGGTTCCGCGTCCCAAGCCTTGGTCTCATTACGCTACTTTCGATTATCATCCACGCTCCATCGTGCCCCTGTCAGCTCCATCTGGGATTGGCGTAGTCACTGCACCAAGCGATCTCTCTCACGCAGCGGACGATGTAGCGGCGTCCTCGTTGTTTCTGGACAGTTGGGAGCTGGGAGGTGAAGTGGGCAAGAATTTGGACAGGGTGGGTCTGACTGAGGTGGCCGGGTCGCTATCGGGCCATTCACGCTTCGTTTCGTGCTGAATATTTCGCTACTACGTCACCGTGTTCCAGAACACGCCATTTCTGGACGATATTCTGAGACCTTGGCTGGAGTCATGCGACAGGCTCCAGGCAATTCAGACCACCACGACGCTCAACGACTCGTTCGCAGGCATATCGCAGTGGGCCATGGAGGAGATTCGAGACGAGCTCAACAAGTGCGAGCTGCTTTGTTCGGCTGTTTGGCATGACACAAGCAATGCCTTCGAGAATAAGGATCGAAGAGCTGTGAGTGCATGGTCCATCTACTGGGCAATGCGTCGAAAGGATCTTGGTCTAATCACCCATCCGCTCCTTGGCTCGTACTGCAGCAAGCACAAAGGGTATCCAATCTGACCAGCGCTTTGTCCTTCGCGAGCTTGTCAGACTCAAGTACACTCTTCCTTCCCATCTACTCACCCTGTCCGGCCAACAGCGCAGAGACAGCATTCCGGAGAAGGGCGGGCTGGAATGATGCCAGAACACTCGCAGCTCGCGTACATCCGTACTGGGATTCAGCATTCGTGGCACTTCGGTGAGGAGTGAGGTCAGGGGCTCATCGAGGTTGCGCGATCTCACGCAGTTCGCTGGCGGACTTTCTTTCTGCTTCTTCAGGTTGCGGAGCTCAGATCAGACTGCGAGCATGCTTACTTCTCGCCTGAATTGGAGAAGTGACACGCCCATCTCTCTGCTCGAAGGGATCATGCCTCTTGCATCTTTGGCCTCGACTTTGTCCCCATCGCTGCAAGCGATGGATCCTATCGACGCTTTGCTCGCATCTCGGGGCTACGGACCTGGTCGAGGCAAGGTTTTACAGCTGACAGCGGAACAAAAGACATCACGCAAGCTAGCTGAGCTGAGGCAGGCTCGGGTGGACCTCTCAGGGTCGATCGAAAGTCTTGCTGGTGTCTCTGCCAAGAAGTCGAGCCTTGCCACCGAGACGCGCAGCGATAAGGCCTTCGCTAGCGCTACCACTGCTCGAGGTCTTGCTACGTCTTGTTCGGAAGAAGAAGCGAGCACCTTTTCGGATGCGGTAAATAAGCTTGTTGAGTGCGAAGAACCGTGGAGTCATCTGTGAGCGTCGGCTTGTAATGCTCTGTTCTGTATAGGCCGCTTTCCGGATCCGAAGAATGGTCGCTTACAAAAAAATTCGTCCACTAACATCAGAACGACGAGCACATTAGCGTACAACGAAGTGCGAAGGTCCTATCCTGCGCTGCGCCGCTTGGCCGAGCCGAGATGTGCATCCCAGCCAAAGCAGATGCAAGACGTTCGGACATCCCACAGCGTCCTCTCCACTTTGCGTACGTCGCCTCGCGCAGCCACGCATCTTCGTCGTTCCCTCTCCACCGTTCAAGAGGCTCTCACGGGTCACTTGCCGCTGGAAAGCTGGGGTCTGGATTCGGGCAGACTGGGAAGCGGAAGAGAAGCGGGATGCGTGGGGGGAAAAGAGGGTTTGGAAGAGGTCAAGGAGAGGTTGTATGAGCTCTTGGGAGCTTACGAGGAGGAAACTTTTGAGGATGACGATCATGTCGGAACGGATGAGGAACGGGCTGACGAGAAGGATGAACTGGACTGGGACTAAGACCCTTTGTATGCGCCAGCATGCAGAGAGCGAGCCCACCGGCTTCGTATAGGCACAACCCATGTATACCATTACAGTCTCAGCTCGAGCTTGATCGCACAGAGAGCGCTACAGAAGCCGGCTTGCGCTTGCGGTGAGGCTACGCGCAGCGCATCTGACTAGGATAGAGTACCTGCAGGCAGCTGGAAGTTGGCCAGCCTCAACCTTCTTGAATCGTTGGGGTGTTCAAGAGCGATGTTGGCTCTGACTAGGAAAGCGACGAGTGGCGGAGCAAACCGCCTGTTCACGTCCACGTAGGGATCTGCTGGTGTGTCCCACGCCTTGTTCATCAGCGTCTGCGCGGGCGAACGTAATGGGGGTGAGCGACGCAGATCGCTTGAGGCTTGAGCATTCAAGCTCTGAAGTTCGTGGTCTGATGTGTGGCAGCCATGACCGAAGACTCACGTCCAGCAAGGCGCGCAGCTGAGCGCCCATGCGGGCATTTGCCTCAGTGAAGAGTCCATTGGAAGTGGAGATGAGCGTATTGAGGAGGAGCGACAAGTCGGCCTCCACTCGAGTAATCTTGTTCCGAAGGTTGCTGATCGTGACGCAGATGATGAGTCAGTTGGAGCCAATTGGTCTGCTTTCGGTCCACCAAACTTACTCTGAGATCTCTTCGGGGGTCAGAAGAATGGCTTTCTCCTTCTCTGTGGCGATTCGTCTTTCCAACCCTTGGGACACGGCTTGCAGATCAGACAGCAGCTTGCGGTCACTGTTGTCATTAGTCAGCCCGGCACAAGCGATCTTTGACGGTCAAGCACGCCTTGACAGAAGAGCGCTCTTCTCTACTCACGAATCACAGCTTTGCCTCTCTCTCTCCACTCTTGCACGCAGCTCCATCAAGGCATCATCGAATTGGTTGATGCTTGCATACAGGTCCTTCCTCAGGTCTATGGTCTGCGCCAGCGTCGTTGTGGATGTCGGTAGCACAGACATTTCTGTGGACGCAGAGGGCAGTGCCTGGGCCTTTAGGCCATTTTGATGGATGTTGCTACCATTGCTCTGCCAGACTCACCCGCCTCAAGCGCTTTGATCTCGGCGTCCAGCATATCAACTTGAAGCTGCATGATAGCGGCGAGAAAGAAAAGGGGCTGGATCAGTGAGAAGGCGCGCTATCAACGCTTGCGCAAGTCTTGTACACCTGCTCTCACCTCTTTGTCTCTGAGGCTCTTTTCTTGCCGCCTCTCAACCGCCGAGTCATCCATGCTAGCACCCCACACATCCTCCTCATCGTCCATGCCCACTTCTGATGGATCCACCTTGCCTAGACGCGTGAGACCCTGGCCGCCCGGCGCCGATAACGTGGGCGGGTCGATGTCAGCGCAGTTTTCTGGCAGATACGTTGTATTATGCAAGTGCCGCTCACCTCACGTATCCTCTCCCACTCTACATCATTCCTACTCTTCTCCTCCTGCAAAGCCTGCAAGAGTTCTCGTGTGTAAGGATCCTTCTCCGCGTCCTCTTCTTTTTTCGACCCGGCACGCCCGACTTCTTCGTTCGAGTTTCGATTAGTCACCTGCCGCCTGACAGCTTCCTGAAGAGCAGCAACTTGAAGACGCTCCACGAGTCGCACGTCGATCGACAGATTCGGATCTGCCAGCAGAGCGGTCAGACTGGCAAAAGTCGAGTCGGTACCTTTGCCCGACGAGGATGAGGCTGCTTGTAGATGCTGGCCTAGCATTTTCAAACGCTTCGAAGGCTTGCTATCTGTGCAGGAGTATGATGTTACGAGCTCACGACGCAATTTTGGAGTGGTTCCACGGATCTGAAGGAGGGCGGTGATGTGAGTGGGAAGGTCGAGTCGTGGTTCGTAGGTGATGGTGTTGGTCTGCGCGAGCCGTTCTAGGCGCGTGTTACGTGCAGCTCGTCTGTTTGAAGCGCGAGCAAGGTAGAGTGACGTGATGCGCCTACTTTCAGGTCGATACCATCTTTACCTAATGACATCTCAATCGTGAATTGAATTCAAGATCAAGATTTGCCCTTGATGGCTTGTTTGCACACGCGACGCGTAAGGTAAGCGCGAGCCTCCGCGGGAAAGTGGAGGGGGATTGAGTCGAGCTCGCGGTCGCGGAGGCGCGCATACACATACCATACGAATACACGTATATATGTATACAGGCATGCAGCAGCAGGGTGGTCGTGTACCATGCAGCACCACAAAAGCTTCACCACCATCCGCCTCCCCTCAAGGATTGACCCAGCAGCCCCGGTGCGTTATACAATCAATCCGCGACAAGCGCACAGGCAAGTCCTGAGGTAGTTATTAGGCCGCACTCTGGTCTTAGTCAAGAGTCGTTCGGCTCTACTGGATCAATAAGCACAGCAATCGGACCACCGCTCTAGCGTGAGAAAGAGGACAAACAAGCGTCAGCATGGGTATCAAAGGCGAGTGGACTTCAGAGCAACCTCGGGCGCTTCCCATTCGGCGCCCTGTGCTCCTCCCATCAGCCTTCGCTCTTCCCGACCTGCACCACGCTCATGCCTCACTCCTCTCATCGCAGGTCTGACCAGTCTGATATCGGACGAGGCACCGAGTGCGATCAAGGAGCGTGACTTCAAATCCTACTTCGGTCGCAAAGTCGCCATCGATGCCAGCATGAGCTTGTACCAGTTTCTCATTGCTGTAAGGCAGAGCGATGGGCAACAATTGATGAGCGACACTGGAGAGACGACCAGGTAAGGTGTCACAGTGGCCATCGCACGATGCAGTCCGCACACAGCAATAGAAGTGCAGTGGTCTAATTTTTTCTTCACACCGCATACAGTCATCTTATGGGTTTCTTCTACCGAACGCTTCGAATGATAGACGGAGGCATCAAACCTATGTACGTGTTTGATGGTAAGCCTCCAGACCTCAAATCTAAAGTTGTGAGTGCACTAGCGCCCCGCTCGCAAGTACGCCCTCCTCCCGTGTGGGTCTAAAGCCGATCGTGCGCGCCTCTCCGAACAGCTCGAAGCTCGTTTTGGCAAGCGGAACGAAGCGGCAGATCAAGCAGAGGAGGAAAAGGACATCGGTAAGTCAAATTGGCGCCTTGTTCCTTCCTTCCTTCTGTCATCTTGCTCACACCGCCACATGCACCGCTTGGTGCTCACAGCAACGGAGGAGCGCGCAGAGCAACTTGCACGAAGACAAGTCAGACCTACGAGACAACACAATGAAGAAGTCAGGGAATTGCTGAAGCTCATGGGCATCCCTTGCATCACTGTGAGACTTGTTTCGGCGCGCAAAGTCGCGTCGAAACTGCAGTTGACTCATGCCCTGGGCCAAACGCGCTCAGTCACCTTCCGAAGCTGAGGCTCAGTGCGCCGAGTTGGTCAAAGCCGGCAAGGTGCGTCCTCGAGCAACACCAGAGATGACCTTCATCCACTAAGCTCGCGAGTGGACCCGTCCGCAGGTGTTTGCGGCCGGATCAGAAGACATGGACACCTTGACTTTTGGAACGCCCATCTTGCTCAAACACTTGACCTACTCCGAAGCGAAGAAGATGCCAATCCACGAAGTGCATCTGGAAGAGGCGAGAGAAGGCCTTGGCTTGACCATGGATCAGGTACGTTGACTGCCAGGTAGTGCAACTCTTTGCATCCACAGTCCAGCTCACGTAGTCTCTCCCTTCCGGCTATTGGCGCTGTAGTTCATCGACCTGTGTATCTTGTGCGGCTGCGACTACATGGAGCAAATGAAGGGCATCGGACCCAAGACGGCTCTGAAACTCATCAAAGAGCACGAGAATCTGGAAGGAGTCATGTCCCACATCGAAGACGAGACCGCGGAGAAGCAAAAGGATGGCAAAAAGTCAAAATACAGTGTGCCTGAGATCTGGCCTTACAAGGAAGCGCGGGAAATTTTCAAGCATCCAGACGTACACAAGGGTGCCGACCTGGACTTGAATTGGGAGAAGCCTGATGTGGAGGGTCTGGTCAAGTTCCTGTGCACCGACCGAGGCTTTAGGTGGGTGCCATTTTGCAGCGCTATTACGACGTTCCTGCACCTTTGCTCACTCATGCACTTGCTACTCGCTAGTGAGGATCGAGTGCGAAAAGGGGCGGAACGGTTAACCAAGGCCATTGGCCAAAAGCAGCAAGGACGATTAGAAAGCTTCTTCGGGTGAGTGGGCCCCTGCGCTTCCATGAGCGAGCCGGCCGCAGCGTCGCAAAAGCGTACAAGCTCATCTGCTCCACGCGACTTTTTCTTTACGTTGATTGAGCAGAGCTGTTCCGAAACGTAAAGCAGAGGATCCGCAGGAGGACAAGAAGGGCGCAAAGAAATCCAAGGGCACTCCTGCCAAGAGTAAGAAAAAATGACCTGACGAAGTTTTGCAGGGCGAGCGACGTTCATTTGTTGTACACGTAGTCATCAACTCTTTGCAAACTCCGAGTCGCCCCTCTTGCATTTTGAGCAGATCGCGGCGACGTGTGTATCTATTTGGGACCTGCAGAGAGTGCCGCCTGTGCTGCGCTTCAGCTTAATCGTGGAGCTGCACACAAATTGGCTCTAGTTCAAGGTTGAACCTTGTCTGACAGAGTTGCTCACAAAGGGTGGAGCGTCGCAGCTGTAGGACAGCAATCGACCTTGCAACCCCAGCATGACCCTGCTTCCATCAAGCCACGTCAAGACACGGCCTGCGACTGTGACCCATGACCGGTCGGTTGCCAGAGGCGGTGATTGATTCAAAAGATGTCCAAAGCTTGGTCATTCCGAGCACCACATGCGGATCCTCGCTCCGCCTGGGATCTCCAACCAGGTCATGATAGTCATAGCATTTCTATCCGAATATACAGCGTCAAATGAGATTCACAATGTACTCTACACTGTTGATGTGCAGATTGTAAGCATCAAAGACATGCGTGGCTTTTGACACGGGGCCTTCATCTCACTTTGAACACTTTTGTCGCGACCGAGAGCCGCACTGCGGGGTGCGCGGCGTTCGCAGGCTTCAGCTCATTAGGAAAGAAGAGGGCGGGCCAGGCGTGGTGGGAGAGTCAGGCCGTGTCGATTGTTTTGCTGATCGGCAGGGCACCTCCAAGAGCTCCATCTTGCTGTGACGGAGACCGGGCATTGTCACCGTAACGCCTCCTCGCAAGAATGCAGAAGGAGATGTGGTCCTGCCGGTGACCTTGGGTCGAGCGGACGTTCGTCTGCCAACGCTCCTGCGATGCATCTGTCTCGTCCTCGCGCGACTCGAAGAGGTGAGAGATGCCGTCTCCCGCGTGCTTGAGACTGATGCACAGGCACTTGAATGCCCACCGTGAGATGCGGACAGTCTATGCTGCTCCGCATCGATAGGTTTCAAAGCTTCTAGATACCTGCGCCAATCGCGTTCTCCATCGTCTACGCCACTCGAAGCGCTCGGGTCGTCACTCCACTCGTCTGCACGTGGTCGCGCAGAGCTGGACTGGGCGGCAAGACGGGCAGAAGTAGAGTTGCTGGGTCCTGGATCACACCGATCTTGAATGGTACCGGACAAAGGTGGCGGGGGCAAAGCCTTCGACTTGTACTTTGAGATCGCCTCTTCTGGCGGGGGACTGACATTTCGGCCTTTCACTTCGCATGGTCGCAGCAGCTCTGACGTTCCTTCACCCCAGCCAGTAGCTCTTCTCTTGCCTTTTGAGACCCTTTTCATCCTAGGTCCAAGGTCCTTGGCTGCGGTGCTACTCTTCTGGATGTGCAGACGCTGCAGCCAATCTTTCGCTTTGTGCGCAGCATCGACTTGACCTTCCAGCTTGCTGAGAGCATCTTGCCGCTCGAGCTTCACGGTGCGCTTTGTACTTTCGTAGCGCACCTTTTCCCGGCGCGACAAGCCTCGTGGACTAGACACGCTGTGTGTGATTGCAAGTCGGCCATTTTTGGGCGACACACCAAGTATTAACGCGACTGCATATGCTTTCGCGACACCCATGCGAACGGGCTCCTTGCGAGACATGTCGGAGCACGTTTGCGCCACTTCAAGCGCCTTCTGGGTCAGTGGCTGTCGAGCTGCTGGGACTTCCTGTGACCTTGACGCAACACCGTCCCGACCGCGCGCGGCTGAGCGGGAGCTTCCCTCGGCAGGCGAGCACGTACTATTCTGGCTTTGTGACGAAATAGTTGGACTTGTAGGCTTGTCGTTCGGGAGACTCTTCCCTGATTTCGACTCGCGACGCTCCTTGTTTTCGGCGTCGCTTTCCCAGCCCTGTCCTTGTTCCCCCTGTTGCCTTTCGCCATCGTCAGAGCTCGAGTCATCATCGATAGTGACAGAACCGAGCCCCTGTTGATGTTTGGACTCAACCAAGAGCAACGGTCGAGGTTTGAAATTTCCTGTCCTCTTGCGTTTTGCGGTCAATTGAACTCGCGTTGGTGTAGGTGGCTGAGGTAAGAAGGAGCGTCGAATGGTCATCGACTTGCTCTTGACACGAAGTGACAGTGCTCGAGATTGTGTTGTCTTCGACATTGACGATTCCTGAGGCGTAGCGGGAGGGTGCTGCGAAAGTTTTGCATTCCGCGCTGACCGCTGCGAGATGCCAGATCGCACGCTCGACCGCGATTGTGGGCGATAGCTCTTTGACCGTCTTTGGACCTGCAATTGTGCAGCTAAGTGCGTAGGGTAAAACTCGTCATCAGGTGAGTATTCCGAGACTGACTCCGGCATTGCGCCGTACGCGAGCTCTGGCGTTGGAGCAGTTGCCACAAAGGTGAGCGACGAGTCCAATGAATCGTCTTCCACTGAGTAAGTCCGCAGGGAGAACGCCCTGCACGAAGATTCTGCTTCCGACCGTCGCGAGGAGGGTCGCAGTGTCAATCGCCGCGGCATTTGATCAGCACCTTCGGGCCTACCCTGCACGTAGTCCGCCTCTACCTCATACTGCTGCGTTGCTTGCACTGACGTTGCAGGCTTCCACAAAGCCGTGTCGATCCGGAGCGAGGCGACATTGCGTCCAGACAATCGCCTTGAGGTGCCGAAGCCGACGCTCTTGTTTGATGAAGCAGTCGTTGGCCGAGAGCCAACGTGCCGGTCCGATGACGCCGTTGGAGGTCTGGAAGACCGCGAGGGTGGGGGTCGCTTGAGCGAGTCCGAGTGTGAGTGCGAACGTTCTCGCAAGGATGTCGCAACGCTCGTCTCAGCGATGTGTGGGCGGCCGTTGGGATCCCCTGACAGCACCTTAGGAAGATCGGGAGCTTCTGCGTCGGACCTGGCAGATGCGTCGGCCGGCTTGCTGACTGGCTCCTCGGAATCGACCGAAGCAGAGGCTGGGCTCGTGGTAGGACTCAGTCCATTTGCCTCGCGCCCAAATTTTGCACGTCTCGAACGTAAGATTGTCCCGCTCACGAATCGTGCTCTCTGCCGGGCGGCAGAAATGGTCATCGTCTTGGCTTGCCTAGTCACCTCTGCCGCATCTTCTTCCGCGCTTTTGTTGAACACCGATGACGTGCGAGAGGATCTGAACCAAGAATTGCTGGGTGCTGAAGTGACAGAGCTCTCCTTTGACGTTCGCTTTTCGTTGGCGCCAGTATCTTGCTGCAGGGACGTGCAGGAAGGGCGTCGAGAGACATGGAAAGATGGACGAGCTTGTTGATCACACGACTGGCGAATCTCTTCTGTCACGTCTCCATTCAGGAGATCAAGAGACAGTGAAGCTTCGCGATGCTCTGTCAAATCTATGTCGCTCAAGCTGTGCTTCTGATACTCGGAAGCCAATTTCGCAGCGGGACTGTCGTCCGTGGACCTGGAAAGCTTTTGAGCCTCTGGCGCGCGATAGCGACCACCGAAGAGCTTCGTCCATCTCATTCGAGGAGGGCTTTCGCCTGGCGTAACGTCTTGCCTCCATCGACCCTTGTGCGAATTCCGATTACTGATGGACTGCGCAAGGGATGCTATCGCATTGGTGGATTGCCTTTGACGAGCGGCTTGTCCAGCGTGCCCAGAGAATGAGGGCTGTTCGCCAATGTGACCTGCTTCAGATTCTTTCGATGGAGATTGCGGAGCATCTGTGCTTGTGAGCAACCGCTGTGGTTCCTGTCCGTGCGACGCGACGGGCAGTCGATGAGGGCCTTCGCCGGCTGCCTTGGGCGCTCCGGTCGCATTCCTAGGCCCGAGAGCTTCTACGCTTGTCTTGGTGTCTGGTGTTGGTGCATCTGCATCTGTTCGTTTCGACAAAGCAGATCGAGTCCCCGAAAGAAGAGGCATTGATTGAATTCCAATCAAACTAGCGTGACCAGCGTGCTTGCCAATGCGCTTGGTAGGCGACGTCAACGCGCCGAATTCTTCACTCGCGCGAACTCTGGCGATGGAACATGGATCCGATGGAGGGCTTGGGGTCGCTGCGCTTCCTGTGGAGAGGAAAGACGGACTGATGATGGGCCAGAGCAGCAATGAGCAGGATGGTGAGGTGAGCGGTCCGTTGCCCAAGCATACTGAATCTTGCACCTACATCACTCACCTTGGAGAGTCCACACTGTTTACAAGAGGGGAAACACTTTCCGACCTCTCAAACGCCTGCGGTGGGGATGCATCGCCCCTTGTCTTCTTTCTGCTTAATCCAGACTTGCTGATGAAAGAGCTTTTTGAAGATTTGTGCTTCACACCGCTGGGTGGACCCGAAGCAGGGCATGTCTTGGTGTGATTAGGCTGGTTGGTCTCTTCACGAAGGGGCGCGGCGCTACTACTCCGAGAAGCAGGAGAGGCAGAGCTGTTCGTCACCGGAGCAGAGCTTGGAGCTTGACGGTCTTGCGGAGTGGATGGACTCTGCGTTGGACGACCAAAGGTGCCGTGACTGACAGCACTAAACATGGTAGAGGACGTGCTGGAAGCCGACCGATCCAGAGAGGATACCGTAGCGGCCGGCGGAGAGAATCGAATGGTCTGCCCAGAAGAACTTGAAGGAGAGATGCGCGTCGGAAGCGCTGGAAGCGTTGTTACCGAACTACTGACAGTATGCCCAGCTCTCCCAGCACCCAGCGCTGTCATGCTTGCCGAACCCGCTCTTGCCATCAAAGGATTGTACAAAGTGCCGCCCTTGCTGAACGCTGTTTTCGACGCGCTATCAGTACGTTTGGTGAGTGGAACTGAGAGTCTGCCGCTGTTATTCAGACTGAAAGCGAGCAATGGGTTGCCAGGATTGCTGGAAGGCGCGCTAGGAGGCATCACAGGAAAAGCGCGCGAGCCTCTGACAGTCGGCGGAGGCTGTACATCAACGCCGCAGGTGATAGTGGGCCGCTGGCTCTTGAGACTGCTGTCAAGCTTTACTATGGCTCCCTGAGCAGGCTTCTTGCGGCCCTCGTCAGGGTGGCGGCTCCAGCCCGCAGGTGGGGCAATGGCTTTTCGTGCCTCTGCTCTTTGCTCCAGGATCATCGACTTCGTGCGATGGGTTAACCCATCGGACTTGGGAGACTCATTAGCCGCGCCTTTCGACTTCGCATTGCGTCCTATTTTGGAACTCATCCTTTGAGGGACACCTAGCGACGGCGTACTCGAAGGAGATCCATCTATGTCGTGCCCATGCTTCGACTTTGGACTCACATCCAGCGACGCTCTAGATGGCGCTGGAGGGCGGCGAATGCCTATTTTGTTCACATTGATGCTGGACCTCAGACGATCGATGCCCTTCTTGGCAGCAGGCATCGACCCGTTGCTCTTGCGGTCACTTGTGTAGTCGACCGAAGGTCTTGCAGAAGACGACTCGAACTTGAACTCATCTAACCAATTCGCCGTGCGCACTGGAAACCGGTCACCGATAGCTCCTTTGCTGTCGACTTGTCTCAGAAGGTCGAGCGACTTGCTTCTGCGGCTCAATTCCGTCCTCGTCATCGCGGCGAAAGGACTGTCCGCGGGCAACACGGCGTATTTGCCCTGCTTCTGTTTGAGGGCAAAGGTGTTCGATTCCACAGGATCCGCGGCAAATGTGATGCGCTGCTTGGACAAAAGTCTTGGCGGGCTGGCAAACGCTCTTTTTGGTGGCTCCGACTCCCGCGCACCGTCTTCTTTGTCAGCAAAATGCTGTGCGGCGCGCAGCTTGCCCGCGAGGTCCGATCGCGTCTTCTTGAGTTCGCTGTAAACTTGTCCTCGCTTGTTGATGATGGTTTCGTCGTTATCGGGTGAGTAGGAGAGAAAAGACCTTGTCGAAGCGATCCCAGCTGATGTCACTTCGTCGGTATCTCGATTGACTGCATGAGTGGAGGTGATCTTCAAGCCACACTCTTGCGTGGTCGTGTGGCATGGACCATTAAACTTGATCGAAGAAGCTTGAACGTCATCGAGAGATGCAGCGCAATCGGCCTGGCGCGCAGACTCAGATGAAATGTTTGGGCTCATAGCCTGAGTGCTCTCGCCTGCCTCTTCAGCGCACCCTTCGAGCTCAGGAATTGCAACACCGCGCAACTCTCTTGCACTAGCACTCTCTCGCAGCCTTCTTCGACACTTTTCGGAAAGCGCCCGGCGAATGCCAAGCTGCTGAGGTTGTAGAGGCAAGCTCTGAGAAGAAGCGCGTGGAGTTAGAGCGGAATCGCTGCTCAGATCTAGCGGCGACGACGAAACGCTGCTTGGTGGTGACTGTAGCAGCGCTGAAAGGGCGACTGTTGTGGCGTGCTCGGCTTTGAGCGAAGCCAAAAGTGGACTGAGACATCTTTCCGATGCGTGGGTCCGCGAGGAGCCGGACGAAGATGCCGAGCCGCGATTCGCGCTGCTAGGTGCCAACGTCCGCTGCCGTTCCACAGAAAGGAGAGCTGACGTCCGCACGCTCTGCGCGACTGGGATCTTGTCCTTCGCTTGGCTGCTAGTACTTGGGCCCGCGGCCAACAGCGAGACAAGAAGTGGACTGCTCGAGCAGCTATGGCTCCTAGCATGCTCCTTCGAGGACCGGTGTTCCGATTTCTTCGCCGCATTTTGGCTTTGATCTCCGTGCGATTCTTGCTTCACATCGACTGTCTTTCTGAAGTTCAATGGCCGAGTGTCAAAGACTGGGACAGCATCGGTCGTAGCTGCCCGTCTTCTTCGAGTCGGTGGTCTTGAAGGCGGCAATTTGGGATCCAAGAGTATTTGAGGCGCCAAAGAAGACGCGCGAGTGTCTTTCGGACGAGCGGTGAACTGCTCCACCGCAGTGGATCGTCCGCTCGTGCGGGAGGACTCGCTTGATGGCACTTGCGTCTTTGTAGATGCGGTAGACCCTTTGGACACTGGCTGAGATTGTTGCGCAGCAGATGGCACCACTGCTTCGGACGACTGCCGCGTTGAGCGTTGATCAGCAAGTTTTGTAGCCGGCAGATGTTGTCCAGGGCTTACGCTAGCCTTGGGCGTCAGAGGTTGCGGATTCCCAGCATCGCCTCCGCTGTTCTCGTCAGCAGAATCAGAGTACCAATCCATGTCCTTCTCTTCTTCCACAATTGTGCGTGTGGGCCCTGAACGCAAGCCTCGCCTGGTTCTTCTCTGCTTGGGCTTGGATTCCAGCTTCTTTGCAATTCCGTTGCTCCTTTGTTCTGAAGGAAAGCAAGGCGATTGGTTAGAGCACTCAGGACTCATCGCAGATGATTGAGACCACTGCGATGATAGTGAAGAGGCTCTAGAGTGCTCTGCACAGGGTGCACCGGCCCTTCTAGGAGACACGAGCGGCCGTATCCTTATGAACCTAGGAGAGAGTGGGCTAGCCGGCTTGCTAGAGCTCTCCATAATTGGGTTGCTTGTTGGCGCTTGACCGGCAGCGCAAGTGGTTGAGGTAAGCCTGCGAACCTTCGACATGATAAATGTGACTTCTTTGGTATTGGGGTCTACTTGAGGTCAGGGTGGTAACTCGATGCCAGACGCTATTGGGAGGTGGTAAAGAACCACGAAGAGCACTGCGAGATCCGAGGAGCTTTTGAGGGTAGTGATGAAACGTGCGAATTGCTACTGAAGTCAATATCCTGCGTTGACACCATCGAGAACTCGTAGCCGATGAGAGCGTGCGTGAGACAGGGCTCAATACATGCGCCAATACTCACAGCAAGCTTGCCCTTCACTGGTAATGGAGCCCAGCACGATCGAGGGCGCCATGGTTTCTGTCCGACCGCGTGCAGTAGCTCCCCCCGTAACCGGCTCGTCGTGGGCGTCATGTGCAGACAATCGAAGCTCCGGGCAAGCGTTTCCCCTGAGGGCGGCCGGACGTGCTTTTGTCTTGCGCTGGAGCGCTAAGAGAACACCAGGCGGCGAGATTAAGCCAGGTCCGAGGTAGCGCCGCTTGTCCACCTTCGTTTGACGGCGAATGCAATAAGACAGAGCACTGTGCGGTAGTCTGGCGAGCAGTTTAGCGAGTGCGGGCGCCCCGAGGCGCGCTGTGGTCATAATTACAAATGACAATGATCCACTGCACGCCAGCTGCGCTTTCCATGACGAGCCGGCTCCCACTCAGATTTCGCGGACTGCTCGATTGCGTGTGCAGCACGGCCCGGTTCTGCCACAAAAGACCTGATCGAAAATGGTCATCGCTCTGCGGCCCGTGAATTGTAGCTCTCTTAGCGGTGTTGATTGCGATGTCTGCCCAGACGAGCAGCTTGGACACCAAATGCGTCCTGATTCAGAGTGACGGTGCAGCGCTCGCAAGGGGCGCTCATTTGAGTCGCACGGACTCGCGAGCGAGCGCGACTAGCTTCTCATTTGGGATACCCGGCGTCGCAGCTGACCATATGCACTCAGCCGATAGCCCTCATATTCCGATCAAGAGCTGTAACCTAGTCGGTCTGGAGATAGCAAAAGTGCGGCATAAAGCGGGTGCAAGGACCGGGGATCCTTCAGCTGTAGATCGGCAGCTGTGCTTGGCAAAGCGCGCTGTGGACGCGCGATCGCTCACTCTGACACTCACATCCCGGACTCGATCGGAGCGTCGCGGCTCCTTGTCTCACCAGCGGGGAGGCTGGTGTCTGACTTTCGTGAGCGCCACATGAGGTCGATATTGCGATGTGCGCTCATTTGCTCAGAGGTGCAGGGCAAACTTCGGCCTTTGAACAATCATTCATCGTGCCTTGTCCCACGCAGGCGCGCTTCTTGGATGCCATTTGTCGCTTCCACCCAAAACTCGTGCCAGTCGAGAAGGACATTGCATCTTTTTTCGGCCGCCGCGAAGCCGTCACCTTCCGAACTGGCGATCTTCAGTGCTTTCTTCATGTCAGACACTTCTTTAAAACGCGATCGAGGGCGCTCATCATGGCTGTTTGCGCTAGGCTGAACTCTTGCGAAAACGTGGCGACCGACGATGGTGTTTACCGGATGGCTGTGTTGGTCATCGTCCTCCATCCAGCATGCCGCACTGTCGTCAGATTCTCATTTCTCGTTGCTCATCGTCAGCTTGTCCCAAACTCTGCTTGCGATCTCGTGAGAGCGTTGAGACGTTAAAGGTGATGACGAGATCCAGAAGCGCGACACTCTTGGCCAGTGGCCGCTGGGATGATGCACGCGCGAACCTTCGCGCAGGTAAGGGCATCACGTGACCCGATCTCGTCAAAATCTCCACCGCATCGTGCTCAACCTTGACTCACAACTCACAACTCTTGACTTCAGCATGTTCATTGCCAACGCAACTCACGACTCTCTTCGCCTATCCTTCACTGTCCCCGACTTTGATCGCTCTCCGAGGTCCATCTCATCGTCACCTGCCCGCCAGTCCGCCACCATTCCTGGCCGCTGGACGGGTCGTTGAGATCTCCTCCGAACCCCGGGTCACTCGCCCCCACCTCACTTGGGCGCTCTCTCATCAGCATCGATTCGTAGCTCCTGCGCTATCAACCATGTCTCTCCGACTCAAGTTCAAGGGAGACAAGCCCGTGAAGAAACACAAGCACACAAAGACGGAACAGAAATCAATTGGTAATTCGGAATCGAAGAAAGGCAAGAGGAGGGCCGAAGGAGAGTTGGGAGACGATGTCTCGGATGTGGAGGAGGTGGGAGGAGATGAGCAGAGTGAGTAGATTCATTACGAAGCATGCTTGGATGATACGTGGGTGCGCATGAGCGCTGTTGACGGAGTATCACAACTTTTCAGCATGGGTGCCTGTACAGCGCTTGACGGATCTGAATGGTCCGGCATTCTTTTACCAGGCGTTCCCATCCAGCTCCAGCTCGAGTGCTATCCCGCACGTCCTCTCCTACAATGTGCCCAATCGACGTATCGAAGTGACGTCTCTCCATCCCGAGAATCTCTCCCTCGCTTCCTTAGCGCACGATACTCCTGGGCTTGCCGGAGCTAACGAAGAGCTAGAGGGCGCCGAGGTGGTCACGGATATGTCTTCAGGGCTGGAAGTCACACCCCGCTCAGTCAGCCAGGTGTGGGTAGCCAGCAGAGTACTGGACACGCCCTCTTCTGCTCCCGTATACACGCTCAAATCTTGCGAGTCGAGATTCTTGGGCGTGACAGCCTCTGGCAACGCGAGCGCTGAAGCTGAAGCGAGAGGTCCCTTGGAGATGTGGACTTTGATCAAGTCCGACCAAGGCAGCGGTGCGTGGCGTCTGAAATCAGGGCAGGAAGCTTTGTTGGGACTAGACGAGGTGGCAGGCGGCCGAATTGCTGTTCGAGGAGATGTCAGGGAAGAAGCAGAAGCAGAGGAGTCGCACCACGACGAATCGCCCGGATCGGAATGGCAGATCAGAGTGCAGTGGAAGTTTAGACACGAAGCCAGGTTGAGAGAAGCTAGCTCCCTGCCATTCAATCTGAGAGAGAAGGCTGCGAAGAGGGTGAAAGCTGCTGAAGGTGACTTGGATGAAGCCAAACTAGTGTGAGTGATGTATCGAGGCCCTCAAGCACCGTACTGTGCCTGAGGGCAGGTGCGTTGTATGCGCTCCTCTGTCGATACGGGCACATGCTGACTTCTAATCGCTTGAGCCCCGCAGCCACTCTCGTCAAGGATGGGGCCCTGGCAGGGACAAGACATACACCTCGGGCGATGCGAGAGCTGACAAGAGGTCTCTGGCTGGTGCGCGAGATGAAGGGCGGCTGGGCGAGGAGCTGCTGAATCGAAGGATGAAAATGAAAAGTGACAGGTATTGTTGAGCATCACTCTTCCTTCTCATGTCACCAAGCCTTCCTGTATCTGGACGACTCAAAAGAACGGTCCGACCAGCAGCCTCATGCAATTGCGCCTTCCAGTGATTGAGCGATGACATCCCATTACGTTGCCGTTAGATTCCTGGCCCACTTGCTGTCAGGTACGGTCCAAATTTTGACTGTACCATCGTCACCAGCGCTGGCCAGCAAATCTGATAAGCCCGCATACTCTGGATGCGTATCCTTTCCACTGTCGCCATCCTCGTCGAGTTCCTCGAACCGGCTCATTTGCGCGTCGAGATTGACCTTCAGAGATCTCGGAGCCCACCTGACACTGTTGACGTCCGCGTCTTCATGGGCTTGATCGATCTGAGCGATCAGAGCTCTGCTCGGAGCCATCTTGCCTTCGGCCGGCTCTTGCATCTGAAAGACGCATATTCTACCATCGCCACCTGCCGTAGCTATCCTTCCCAACCCTGACTCCTCAGTCTTGCTGTCATGACCCCAAGACACGCTGTAGATTGTTCTGGAGTGGTGACCCTTGAGGATATCCACGCACACCCACTTTTCTCCCTTGCGGCCAGGCATCTTGCCTTCCGGCTTGAGTCCCCTCTCTGCTGCCTCTTCCTCATTCAATCGCCTCCAGATGCGGACTGTGCAGTCTGCGCTTGCGCTAGCGAGATATTTGCCATCTGGAGAAAAGGCCATGTCCCAAACAGTACCCTCGTGTCTTGACAATGTGGAGATGCAGAACCAATCGTCCGAAGGATCGTCGATGTACAGTCTGATCTGGTCGTCGTAGGACGCGCTGGCGAGAAGCTCCTCGTGAGGGTGGAAGAGGACGCATTTGACGTCTTGCGAGTGGTCCATAAGTACGCTCAGGCACTCGAACTCCGCCTCTGGTTGCACTTCCCAAACCCAAACCGATCGATCGCGGGAACAACTCGCCAAGTGCGTACCGCTAGGAGAGAATGACACAGCTTTGCATTCGGACTCGTGACCTTCCAGCGTGCCTATGCAATCCCACTCTGGTCCCTCTTCGGGATAATGCCCGAGTTTGGGAGGTTCTTCCACTGATTTGCCCTCCAACGCTGCGTTGATATCGCTTACGCGCTCCCAGATGCCGACAGTGGAGTCGAAAGAAGCTGTAGCTAGGGTCTTGCCGCTGGGAGCCCAAGACAATCCTCGTACGGTTCTGGAATGCCCTGTGGGTATGCTCTCCCGAAGTTCGAAACGCGGATGAGCGCGGGTGGAGACCAATGATGGTGAAGAGGACGATGGTCCGTTGGTCGAGCCATGATCATTCATGCGAAAAGAGTGCAGATGGACGGTCTTGTCGGTGGAGCAGCTGGCCAACAACGGTAGGCGAGGATTCCAAGCCAAGTTCCACGCTCGGTCTTGGTGGGTGGCCAGATCCTGCAGATGCACCAAGGCAGGTACCGCCGTCGAGGGCTTTTCCGCCTCCTCAGCTGACATGGTAACGTTGCGCTCGGGGATGTTGTTTTGGAAGCGAGTGGTAAAGTATGGTGGAGAAGGTGAGTCGAGTGTAAACTCCGTTATTATGGTGATCAGCTGCTCGAAGTCCATGTATACACGATGAGGAAGCCGGGAGTCGTGGTCTGCTACAGTATCATAATTCACGATTGTTGTATCTTCTGGTTCCGAATCTTGAATTTCTCGACGTTTACCTATGCGCAACGGCTGACTGTGCCTTCCACCCACGTGACCCCAATCGTCAAAGCAGCTCACAATCTTGAATCATCAAATCTTGAATTCGTGAGTTGTGGCTGCATGCACGGCACGGCACGGCACGCGACCACAGCCCGTCGGCGAGCATACACAAGAAGCACAGCAGAGGTTTACGCACATCCCTTCTTCCTGACTTCCGCTCACCCACTCATCGAGACTCGGCTTCATGCTCAAGCTCAAACCAGAATCGTTACGTGTCAGGCACGACTCACGCGGTTGCAGCCACGCGAGCAGCTTGTCTTTGCATCTTCAGCACCTCCAAACTTGAACACCTCCCGCTGGTGTAGTCAATTTGGAGATATTGGCTGGACTTGCCACTCGCACCATCGGCCGCTGGGGCCATCACGCCCCTCTCTCCCACTTGTTGACCTTCTCGTCTCCATCCTTGGAACTCCGGTCGGTCTCATTTTTCATAATGTCTCTCAAGAAGGAGGGTAAAGCCTTGCGCGCCTGCAAAGGATGTCTTTTCTTGCAGAAAGGCAGCGAATTCATGGCGAAAGGGTGTCCCAACTGTGAGGATGTTCTCCAGGTGAGTGGATCAGTACGGATCTCAGATGAAGAGAAGAGGATCAGTGTTTGCAAGAGCGAGGACGACCGATGGAATGACGCCGCCAGACAAGTGTGTGCGGTTTCGTACCGCTGGAGTCCCACGGACTTTGGAGGTGGCTATTTGTGCGATCTCGAAGCGCCACGCTGCGGCATCCAATCTGCGTCACCCATTCCAATCTCAATTGCAGCACCAGCGCATATGCTCATCATTCCGATCCTTGCTCCCGCCTCGTCGACAACGCATTCATCCGCGTCCCGCGAATCGACTACCAACAGATGCAACAGAGCCGAGACGCCGTGGAGGACTATACGACCACTCAATTCGAGGGCGGCGCGGCTATTATCTCGCCTCGTGAGAGCTGGGTCGCGCGCTTTATGCGTCTCGGTGAGTTTGGCTCTCACCGTTGAACTCCCGGTCGGAGCTTCGACTGGCGACATTGCGGACTGGCAAGGCATCCGGCACGTGCTGATCAGGAACTCCACTTATTTCCCTTTGCGATTTGGACATGCAGATCGCAAGATACCTGGGATGTACGCGATGAGCTGCTCCGCAAAGCTGCCAGCGGAGAAGCAGGCTCAGCTTGACGGGACCGCCTGATTAGCGGACCAGCCAACAGCAGGTCTTTCCGCGTTACGCGGCACTCCTGTCATCACGAATGCCTTGACTTCAACAACGTAGTGTTCCCAATAGTTCTCGACTCGATTCAATTCCGATCCCAAGCACAAGCAATACAGGCAAACATCTGGTTCAGCGCTATCGAGATGCGCACAGCAACAGCTCCGCGAGCAGCTCCGCGTTCTGTGCTGGGCCATCGATCATATGTCGAAGCGTGCTCAAAAGGATGGACGATGTCTTTTCTTCATCCAGCGCGATGCTGCGCCTCGTGTGCTGAATCAGACTTCGGAGCTCTTTCAAGACACGTAGAGGTGGAACTCCTAGTTCCTCGATGATCTCCGATGGCGGCGGTGCGATGGGCGCATCCAAATGCTCTATGTAGGCGCGCAAAGAGTCGATCTGTTGATCTGTTGGTCCGACCAGCGTGCGCGAAGTCAAATCATTCTGCGCGACACGTTGCTTGTGCTGTGCTGCATCATCTTGCGCTCCTCGCTCTGCACGCGAAGCTTTCGAGATTTGTGACCTCAACACGGAGCTGGGCCCGCTCCTCGGTATCACGGGTTCTAGCTGCATGGGTACGATGGTCGACTGAATCTGCGCTGCTAGAACAGCGTCCGCGTAATATTTGTTGGCGCCAACCTCTTTTAGATAGAGGCGAAACTTCGGATCGTTCACAGCGCTGAGTAGACGTTTGCGCTCTGCTCGTCCGCTGCGTACCTCTGTTGACACTCGTCGTTGCTTCACAAACATGCAACGACGTCCGAGCAACACTTGTGCATCCGATTGGCTCGATTGTAGGCGAAGCGAAGTCGGCCAATACGCATCGGAGGCTGATTGAATTTCTTCTATCTGATGCAAGGCGGGCAGCTGTGCAGGCGTCTGGACCACTTTCTCCTCGCCTTGACTTTTGATCCGGATAGGCAGGTAGAGCAGCTGCTTTGACTCAATGTCTTGCGCAACTAGTAAGCGCGGCTCAACGGCGAGGACCCAAAGGTGTCTGCAGGGCTGGGGATGGACACGATTGTCGCTGCTTGAGCTTGGAAAGCGAGGATAGAAGGCCATGATCATGGCCGCTATTGCCGAATCTGAAGTTCCGAGCGTAAAACGGCCGCCGCCAAGGAAAAGCAGCCCCAATGCCATATGGCAAGCCATCTGTGAACCGTATCCTGCGTCTGTGCGACCGTGAGCTATTCTGAGGTGCTTCAGGAGCGGCAAGTCTCCAGACCCTGCCATGACCATCGCCGCAGAGATGCTGAGTAGATCGGCACACGAGCGCAGAGCAGCTTGACGGATCTTCTGAAAGAATGTAGTCGGCTCTGCTTTGGCCTTTTCGAGGTTGGCATTGAGCTCCTTCATCAGGCACGCATAAGCTTGAGGGTCGTGCGAGCCGGCGTACCTCAATGCTATGGCGAAAGCGGCACCTGCTCGTATGTTGAGGCTGGCAAGCTGAGCCGTCTCCCCCGGGCGACTCGATGAGACCACTTTGGCTAGGAATCGAGGTAGCGCTGAATCGATCCAATCGGTGCTGGGGCGTATAGAGCTCCACAGTATCAGGCACCGCGCGAGCGTCCGAATCAGTAAGAAGTCTGGTCTAATCGACTCAAGCTCAGCGATGCTCCTTGGGAAGGGAATGGCATCTGCGACTTCCTCACAGTCACTTTTGAGGTAGATCAGGCCCAGAGCAATGGCAGCCGGGCTGCTGGTGGTCGCCGTGTCCACTTGCCACTCTAGGTTGCTTTGATTAGCGTCGTCTTGAAAGAGGCTTGGCAGCTTGCCTGACATCAACTGCTCCAATTTGGTCAGGATGAGGCGATCAGGACCAGTACGCATACCAGTACGGCGAGCTTTGCCCAGCAACACCAACCCAAGACCCAAGGCTGCGGAAAGAGAGTAGGCTTCTCTCTCTAGCTCGTGAGGCTGAGACGCTCGGACCTCGTTGCTGCCGATCTGATCAAGCATTCGTTTCGCGGTCCAAGCGTGGTCGCTACCCATGAAAAGGAGGGCCATGCCTAGGAGAGCGGCTGCTTGCTCCAGCATCGACAAATTGAGGTTGTGAGCTCCTTGCGGCTGGAAAGCGGGTAGGTGAGTGGCTATCAGATGTCTGGCGGCTGGATCGCCGGAGCCTATGAGTGAGGCGCCCAGGCCTAGCAATAGCCCCACCGCAGCAAGGCCTCCTGTACGAGGCAGCAGTAGCTTGAGGACATGCACACGGCCCAGTCCGCCCAGCTGTCCAAGAAGCCCAATCCCAAGCAAGAATCCGGCGTCTCGATTGCTTACTTCCGAACCATGTTGGCCGAAGATCCACCCCGACTCGAGCGGTGCGCCACGGACGGCAATCTCCAGAGCGGATGCGGTGCCATTGTGAAACTCTGGCCAGTCCAACTCGCCCCCCTCGCTGCGCGGCGGAACATACTCGTACTCCACGCTCGGTGGCGGTACCACGTGAAGATCGAAGCTCAGCTTGGGGACGCGCCATTTCACCGTAGGGTTGTGCAGATGCGTTGCAATGTGCAACATGCCCCGTCCAACGCTGGTTGCCTTGATTCGCTCTTGCGCCCCGTGAAGTACCCGCAGAATGGTTTCCTTCGCTGCAGCATCACTAAAGCCGGGTATTCGCAGGTATAGAGGTCAGCGAAGTTCTCCAGTGCACTCATCTCGCCTGAAACGTAGTCTCACTTCAAAGTGTCCACTGAGGGATGCATGACCAATGTCCGCCCACGAGTCTGCAGCATTTGGAGCACGTCTCTGAGGCGAAGATCTGCACTGAACAACATCGCGACGACTGGATTGAGACGCGCAGATACCGTGTGCTTTGGCACCGACGGCTCTAGCACAAAGGACATCGGGAGCTGTGCAGGAGCGAGGAAAGAGCCGCTTCAGTACGCGCCAAAGACTACGCATAGAAGCACGTACAAATGTGTTCGGCCACTGAAGATCAGAGGTATTCACGCTGGCGGCGAGATCCGCTCTTTCAATGAGCTTCAGTGCTTCCCCGCTCAGGTTGCTAGGCGGATCAGCTTGACACAATCGAAGAGCTTCGAACAGTGGCGCAGCTAATGGCGTGAGCGGTCCGGCGAATTCAGTTGGCCTCACTTGCTCTTGCAGCATGGCTCCCAACACTTGAGCTGCTCTGCGCTGATCGAGGGGCTGCGCGCTCATGCTTTGATTCGTCTGAGCACCGAATGCCTCAAACACCCGCAGGAGGCGGGCGGCGTTCGGCAATAGATTCTCGAGCTTATGAGAAGAGACTTCCGTCCGACCACCTAGCAAGTCCTTAGGCTGCACGCTCCTTCGGCCCGTCATTTGAGCTGCGAGGAGAGCCAGAGCGTCCGGTGGGTCCGGCTCTTCACCGGATGCTCCGGTATCTTCAAAGACCAGATTTTCCACAATCAGACGGCGAAAGCTATAGTCACAAAGGGACATCCTTCTGACACTCACCGTTGCTCATCCTCCACACCTCGGGAAACACGCGGGCCCAATAGTCGACCCATTGGGTCCAGCCGCACCGCGCAGCCAATCGAGCCGCAAGCTCAGCCAGCCAAGGCAACTGGATTGCACACGCACGGGTCTCTAATCTAGCGTCTTGCGCCAGAGCGTGAACGATCTGCAACACTAGCACATCCTCCTCCTTGTGCCTGGCGTCATTTGGGGCGATTGGGTCCCCTGGTGCTGCTGCATCTCGAGCATTGGCGCCCAGGAGCTGGTCACGCCCGTAACGATGGTGTGCTCGAGAGAGGAGGAGATGGTATGGCGTCTTGCCTACCGCCTTCACATTCCCAGAGGGAGCGAGCAGCTCCAGCAGCGCGTGCCAATCGCTTGATGTGCTGACGAGCCCCCGAGGCAAATCGGACTCGTTCCAGCGCGAAATGAGGGTGGAAGCAAGAGGAGCTGGAAGAGCTAATCGGAGTGCGTCAAGGACTCGAATTGTGGTGGAACAGCTTGGCGAGCGAAAGAGCGTCACGCTTTGAGCCAGCAATTTCTTGTTCAGCAAGAACGTGACCTCTACGCAGAATCTCCCTCGAGGTTGTAGCCTTATTGGCTGACCAGCTGCTACATCAAGCTTCACTGAGATGCTTTGGCTTTCTTGTAGAGCATCAGGGTACCACTCAATGTAGTGACGGTGAAGAATGGCCAGTCCATCATTTTCTCCAACAGCGCAGGCATCGATGCAGTCCGTTGGACTGTTGGACCATTGTGCGGCTGGGTTGTGCAGATCTAAGCCACCACGCTGGTTCGTCCTTGCTTGCCGAATGATGATTCGCTTGGCAGCAGGAATGACAATGCAAATCCCACTAGCAATGACGAATGCAGTGCTTCTGTACGAATTGGTCGTGTCACTGGTAGCCGAGAGACATGAGTCGCTGGCGAGAGTGAGCGCAATAGGATGGGACAGCTTCGCTCTACACACGAGCAAAGATACTCACGAATCCCAGTGGTCCAGCGGGATCTCATCGAGCAACGCCACGCAGGCTCTCTCTGTCGGGTACTCCGACTCGTAAGCCTCCTCTCGAGGCGGACGAGGCGCAGCTGGCAAGAGCGTCTGGCGTTGAGTCTCGGTGGATATGGCGGGTGCGGCATCAGATTGATTGTCGAGGTCCAGAAGCGCGCTCACATCCGGTTGTCGTGTTGAATTGATGCTAGATCTGCCTCTGCTGATGCTGACACGGGAGGAGACCTGCCTGCTCGTCGTGCGCTGGTTTGTGAAGGGTGTGCGAGCAGCAACACTCATCTCCATGGCCTGCTGAGTCTGAGAAGCCCTTCTCAGCCGCGTGTTCGCAGCTGGACCGCCTGCTGAGAATGGTGTGCCGACGGTATCAGGCAGCAAAGAGGGCTGACCATTGGTGGGACCTCCAACACCGCTTCCAGCCCCGTTCAGCAGTCCAGCCAGATCATCCGTCACTCGTTGGCTGGAACCTCGAGCTCGACTTGGAACTCTGATGGAGCTCAAGCGCGCGCGGGTAGAAGGCCGACCTTGACCAATGGATGCCTGCGAAGCGCGTGCCTGCGATTGCGGTGCCTGAGACGGTCTGCCCTGACCGATCGAGGCGTGTGATTGCTGAAAGGTGAGGTCTGCTTTGGATGATGGCGCCCTCGTGTAAGAAGGTCTCTGAGACGTGCTTGCCGCTGCCGACGTTGCGGCGGCACTTCCGTCTAATTTGCCCGGCACTACGTTGTCTGAAGCATCCATCAGCTCGACTCTAGGTCTGAGGGCCACATGGTAGCTATAAATGCGTACGCGATGGTGTTCTCTGCTGATTGTGACGAGCATGGGCCACGATTGACCAGAAGGAGGATCCTCGGCGCCAACAAAGATCACCTCCTCATTTAGGTCGTTGAAGCTGGAGGAAGCATCACCATGCTTCTCGACTGGAACCCACTCTTGGAACAAGCGACTGATATAGAAGAGCGACGCCAGAGGCTGTTCATCTGCAGAGCGCGAGCTGGCAGCATCCGCGCGAGCACGTTTTGCCCTCCTCTCATCCTCCTTCTCTTGCTCACGGGTGATGAAAAGGCCGGTGCGGGCAGGAAATACAGCCCGGAGCTCGAAGGGTATGGCCACGGTTTGTTGCGCACCCGTATCAGGGAAGTAGAGAAGGAGGGTCGAGGGCATGAAGACGCAAAGGGCCCGCTGGCGCTGTCGAAGTGTGTTCGCCGCTTTCCGCTGCGGAGGTATTTTGCGAAACTGTTTCTGCGCCGGAGATAAAGTGTCATCCACTGCAACCAGCAAGCCTGATCCGCTGCGTGTCGTCGGAATCTCTGTTTCGTCGCGACTCTTTTCACCGCTGCTGGAGAAGAGTACCTCGTGAGCCTCTTGTTGATCCGCAGTGTTCATCCACGCCCAGCAAGCTTGCAGCACCTCGTCATCGTAGGTGAATTGTCTCACCAGCCTACCGCCAGCAGACCAAACAAGTCGCTTGCCTTTCCACACCAGCTCCGTCTGGACGACCTTACCTTCGCGAAACTCTCTCGAGTGAAAGCGCCCACCACTCGAAGACTGATCGCTACTGCAAAGCGGATCGCTCGAGATGCCTTGCTCCGAAGCACCTGCAAGGCTCGCGTGTCGTCGTACCCGAGGTGATCCTTGAAGTCTGGAAAGCACGCTCGAAGAATTTCGAGGCGGAGGCAGCACCTGCTGAAGTTGGTGTTGAATATGTTGCGCTGTCTGGTACTCAAGTTTGGCTTGCTCGCTCTTTGCTGCGCTCGAGCAAAGCACTTCTCCCATGGACTGCATCCTGCGCTCGAACGTCGGTGAAGCGCATCGAGTGTGATGTTGGGAGCCTTCAACGTAGGCGGTGACTTTACGGGCCGGAGCGGGCACGACGGGTCATTTCCGTTTCACCACTGAGACTCGCGATTGATGCTGATGTAAAGTACAAAGTTTGCTGGCGTGTGAGGGTGATCCAGGTGCTCAGGCTGTGTGTAATCGAACCATTCAGTTGAGATCCAGAGAGGCTTGCCGCGCCGACGCGAAGTTCGTGGTGATGTATGCGCTTTGTTCAGTTGTTACGCAGTTCGAATGGGCAGCGTCGTGAACTGCATGGACGCATGCGCGCGTGATGATGCATGATGCACCAGACGCGGTTTCGCCGTGGGATCAATACAGGTCACGTGTTCTCAACCAACACTCAATACACCATCACCTCTGCGAACGCTCTTGACTTTTGACGAGCCAGTCTTCGTGCTTGAGTGCTCATACATCCAACATTCAAACTAGCACTCTCTGGTCCTTGTGTATTGGCGACGCTTCAGGCATCTTCAAAGTTAGAATGATGAGTACGCTCAAGAGGCTCTCCGTATGGACTGTCACAGATACTCAGCATTCGCATTCGCATTCGACGCCACGCTCACTCAAGACTCCTACCACTGCACACAGTCGCGAGTTACAACAATAAGAGATGCATGCAGCTCGATCACGAATAAGTGCTCTTGTGTACAAAAAGATGGATGATGTGAGGCATGTACAACTGGGAGCAAGTGCCAATCTTTCGACGTATGACACGACAGGCGAGCCCCTCAAAGGCACTGCACAAGAATCGAGAGCAGCGCCAAACTTCCTCCAGCATAGATCGGCGTTCTTCCGTATGAACGAGATGTAGCACTGTCTGCGCCTGATGAGCTGCCATTGCCAGTCCCGCTTCCAGTACCGCTTCCGGTTGTGCTGCCGCCGCTACCGTTGTCGCTTCCCGTAGTACTTCCAGAGCTGCCGCTGCCACCGTTTGCATTCGCAGTGGGTGTCTGCTTCGCCGCTGCCTGATTCCAGGTGTAAGTTGCACCTGACGGTGCAGGGCTGGCGGTGGGCGAGCAATTACTGCTAGGCGGAGGTTTAGGGTAGGCATCGGCTAAAGGAGTGACCTGATCACCTTGTCTAAAAGTAGACCCATTGCCAAGGTCGTACAATGCCCTATCATCCGTCACGTCGCAGTTGTCGAACCCATCCTGCTCATAAGGACCAGGATTGGTGTAGAGAGCGCCCATCAAGTCGTACTTGTTGTCGCAGAGATCGTAGCTACGAGGCCCGGAGCAGACTCGGATGACAAATGTGCTTTTGCCGGGGATATCGCACGAGCCCATGAACTGTTGGAAATCGTGAGCGCCTGGTTCGGGACCACGCGTGGGTCGTTGCGTTTCAGAGTTGACAGTTCGAGAAGTTTCAAAGGGCTTCACAACACTCACCGTCCGGCAGGCCAACGCCAACAGGATTTCCTACTCCTTGCGCTCCGTGATTGTCGTACTCGCCACCGCAATCCGCGGGATTGGTGCCAAGGTTCATGACCGCAGCATTAAAGGATCCCATAACAGCTACGTATCCCGCCGCTTTCCTGAAATGAGCAGAAGTGATGAAGCCGTCCGGCATGGGTCTCGTATCGTTGGATGGTTGCGTGCAGTAGGCTACAGCGTTCGCTTCCGCGTCCACGAGGTTTTGGGTCGTGGGATCGGGTGGCATGAGCAAGCAGAAGCTGCAACGAGGATTTTCCCCATAAAAGCGCTCAGCTTTGTTCTTTCGCGTGCAGCTTGTAGCCGCCGTCACTCACTCGGTAGCGCTGTTCACCCGCAAGGTGCGGCCCATGCCAGTGTAGGAAGCTGGAGGTGATCCTTGGCTCGATGCAGGAGGCTTCCACGGACCAAGCTTGCTTGGATTATCCACTTTTGGTGGTTTCGGCCCGCTGCCCCCAATGTCTTGCGCCCATACCAGGCTTGCGATTAGAGGTATAGCGACGGAAAGGTTGGCTAGACGCATGTTGTCGCAAACAGCCGGAGGTACGCGCGCACAACGATGTCAGCAGTCAAACGGAAGATGTCGAGGTGGGGAGTCTAGAGATGCTCTCGGTGGTAGCGGCGAAGAGCAACAGGATGGAGCTGGTGCTTCTTTATGCCCATGGACCCTGAGAGGCGACTCGGTCATTTGGCAGCATTCTGATTGAGGCTCGCAGCATCTGTGCCGCCGTTGAGCGAAGCACTCGTGACCCTCCTGAGCTGACGGACGAAGGAGGCTGTCGCAACTCCGTTGCGGATGGAGCCGAGTCGGCGGATACGTTGTGTTGAACCTGCGCAGAGCTTGAGCCGAGCGTTCGACGTACATCCGAATGACGGCGCCGCAACTAGCGTCGTGCGTGAAATAGCTTTCATCATAAGACAGCACTGCGTCCCTGCCTTCGGTATTGCGAGGTCCAGTCGGGCTCTCATTTCGCGAGCCGACGCGACAAGATGCGTCCAAGCAGATTGCAAAGACAAAGATCAGAGGCCGTGTGATGCAGCATGCAGTTTAAATTAGGCTCCGAGAGTCGCGAGTTACCAAAGTCAAGAAGCACGAGGAGAGCAGGTTATTTGAGCCTAACTCGACGGGCGGTCCGCACTTGCAATCAGAGTGCACTTTGACCGCAACAAGCGACTGTTCTCGATGCATGCCCTCTTGTGCAAAATCGGCGCTCCAAGGCAGTAGACCTCGGTGATCTAAGCCAGTCGCCGCGAAAAGGTGGACGGTCCAAAGGTTTCTTTGGATATTGCTCCGCCAAAGCCCAAAAGGTGCATGTGCCTCCGTCATGCACAGCGGCAAGCCGGACCGTTAGCCTGGGCGGCCCCCGCACTTCCGGTGCACCTGTCAAAGCCCGCATGATCATGACTGGTCACGTGCTAAGCTCTTGTCGATCCTGCCCTCCATGTCACGTCAAAGTACAAAAAGCCAAGAATCGCTAGGAGGACAATTTGAATGAATTGGAGTCAGAGTGAGTAGCTTTCGTTCGAAGGCATACATTACCCCAAGCGGTCGAGCACCTCGTCCGTGCTGTCCTCGAATTGACTCACTGCGCTCCTCCGCGTCTGCACGGCAGCATGCAGATAGCGCAAAACAGATGGACAGTCTCACGAAGCGACAAACGATGCGCGCATGTATTCCACAAACGCTGCCAAGCGAACCTTATCGTGGAAGTCGAGCGGGTCGCCGACCTTGGTCTCTTCAAGCAGCTCTTTGTACTGATCCCAACAAAAGCATCGCCTCACTTTTGAACGCGCTTCGGACTGTCATCTCTAGAAGTTCAGAAACCCACTCGAACCCCCGAGACTCGATCCGTGACTTCTTGACTGCGGTTGCCGGGCAGAAGAGCTGTTCGAATTGGCCAGCATTTGGCGAACCGCGTCCTTGTAGGAAGTTGCTTTGTCGTCGTTGCCCGTCTTGTGCTTTCTTTTGCGCCCAGGTCCATCAAGAGATGTCTGTTGAGCTGTGGATGAATTCACCCCTTGCTTGTCAGGTGTGGAGACGATAGTGATGGTGGACTGTGGGGTTGCTACCATTTCGGTAGAGACTGTGGATGATGCGCTGACAGCGACTGAGACCTGTGCAGGATCCGAGGAGGCAACAGATCCACTTTTCGCGGCCTTCTTCCTTTTCTTCAACTCTCGCTGACGCTCTTCCAAGGTTCTAGGCGCTGCTGCAGGAGCCTTCAGTGGAGTATCCATGTCGACTTGAGGAAACGGGTCCTTTCTTACTGAGATGCCTGCGTGAGTCGGAGCTTCTGATGGATTCAACGCAGGCGGTTGCTCGATCGGGGTCTTGATTCTTGTCAAGTCCCCCGACTTGTCTGATGTGGACTTTGCGGCCGGAAGTCCAACCTGCGAATCGCCCGGCGCGGCCTTCCGCCTCCTTTTGCGCACACTGATAAATTGTTTTGCCCCTTGCTTGTCTCCGGCTCGACTGGCTTGCCCAGCTCCACAAAGTGTGCAGCTGGTGGCAGCGCGCCTTCTGGAGACGTGGGCGCTGATTCCTGGCATGAGCAGGCTCGCACAATGCCTGCACGACCATCCGGAGTGCAGCTCGAAGAATGTCGGTAGGGTTCTCAAGAGCCTTTCATGCTCTGTGTGGTCATGAGGCGCCACGTGAAACCTCGAGGCGCCATGATCGGTCTCGAATCCATTCCCCCAAAGCCCGAGTCGCTCGTGAGATATCTGGTTGCCTTGCAGCGTGGTATAGAGATCGCTTGGCTCGAAGAAAGCGCGTTGGTGATGAGCTGCGTGGATCGGTTGGCTGAATAGCAAAGAGCGAGCCAGGCGAGCTTGGTGCAATGCCTTGAGCGACTCGCCGCTCAATGCCTCCTCCTTGTGCGTTGAGCGTGACATCGAGGAGTGCTGTTTGCATAGGCGATGGAAGATGCGGTGTGACTGTTTGCGCACCGCAGCGCGCCCGCACTAGCATGAGCGAGTTGAGCTGCTTACTTTGCAAGCGGGAAGCATGTGCTGATCTACCTTCATCCGTATGGCGCGCGACACAGGTGCGCTTTGATGGCGATCGGGATGCTGATGAACCTCAGAGGTGTCCTTGTGGGTCGAGCTAGAGCGAAGAAGCGATTCAGAGGTGTTGCGAGACACATGTGTGGGAAGGGAAAGATGGCTGGCAAGTCACGAGTGTGTCGAAAGGGATGCGTGTGGATGGATGAGGTGGAGCTGCATGATCAACCGACCGATCGATCCTGATGACGAAAGCAGCAATTCGCGTGCGGCTGTCAACGAGTCAGTGTGAGTAGTAGTGAGTAGTGACCACGAACGAGTCAGGCGCGCGTAGGACGAAGACGAAGAGATGCGCGCCGGCTGCACACAGCGAGCGAGGTGTGCTTCAGCAATCACAATCACGAATCACAAATTCACAAGGAGCTCAGCAGCTGCTCGCTCCATGCTGCTGCGACGTCTCTCGTTCAGCATGGCCCCTGCTGCTGCTGCCGCCCCGCGATGTCTGCCTGCGTGCCTGTGTGCGTGCGTGCGTGCGTGCGTGCGTGCATGCATGCATGCCAGTGCGCTTGGCTTGCCAATCCCGACAACAATATCAATCACAGATGGCGATTCGTTCTGCTGCTACTCGCTCACCATCATCCACTGCAGCGTTGATGCCATCTCGACAAGGAGCAGAGCGACTGAGCCTCACACTACACACCGCAGGACCTTTTGCCAAGAAGCCTTGTTGGCTGGCTTGTCTCGCACTCGGTGCTAGAGTTGGGACTAACATCGACTGGCGCCGCACCTCTGCCTTGCGCACGCCTTTGTCGGTCCAAACAGCTCGACATCTTTTCTCCTCCTCAACATTAGCGACGCTTTCCAGCGACGAACCATCTGCTGTTGCTACTGCGACCCCAAGTCCCGCGTTCGCATCGGCCGATTCGCAGCTTAGAACCTCGATCCAGCGCCCAGAGCCAGGTTCGCCGTCACCAGCGTGTGCGTCTTCCCATCTAGACACCCTCGCAGCTCGAGCGCCGCGAGAAGCGAGCGCGATAAAGACGTTAGGGAGCATCAAGCTTGCTTTGCCTAGCAGAGCAATACATCATGTGAGTCAGACAGAACTTGCACTCTTACCCGCAGCGCGAAGGATTGCAGCGAGCAAATGTTGCGGGGTGGATCAAGATGTCAGAAGGTGATGCGCAGCACCGTCGAGGAAGCGAAGAAGTCGACGTCCCAGGCGTATCTGCGAATATTCTGGATGTCGCAATCGAGGAACCTTTGCGGACTTGTGCGGCTCGAGTGCTGACAAGTCGTCATTCGCCTGTGCTCCACCTGTGCAGGGCCAATGCGAACTTTTTAGATAAGGCGGTGGAGATGGTGAAGGAGGCGATCGAGTTGGATCAGGGTCAGAAGTATGCAGAGGCGTACAGGCAGTATATGAATAGCTTGGATTACTTTTTGATGGCTCTCAAATGTGAGTGAGCGTGCGCACAGATGCGAGCTTCGACCCATTTAGGAAGCAGCACGACGGGCTAGGCACATCAAAAGCTGCGTGCAGCCTTTCAGCCTGATAGTCAACGCTGGCGCTCTCCTCTTTCTTTGCAGATGAAAAGAATGAGAAGCTGCGAACAATGATTCGAAGCAAATTCGAAGAGTACGTCGCAAGGGCCGAGCAGCTTAAAGCCCACCTCGCAAAGCAAGCGGGTGGAGACGAGAATGGCGGCAAATCGGCAGTCGGAGCGAACGGCGGTACGAGCGATTCGAGAAGTGGAAAGAAGGGCAATGACGACGATGGGGATGCCGAGACGAAAAAGTTGAGGGCCAGCTTGAGCAGCGCTATCCTGAGCGAGACCCCAAATGTCTCGTGGGATGATGTCGCTGGTCTCACCACTGCGAAGGAAGCGCTCAAAGAGGCTGTAATTTTGCCCATCCGCTTCCCTCAGCTTTTCACTGGTGAGTGGCCCCTCCATGACGGCTCCTACAGTTGGTGGGGCGAGCTCATGACGACGCTTCTTCGCCTCACGCATTGGTGCAGGCAAGCGCACACCATGGCGAGGAATCCTGCTTTACGGACCTCCTGGTACTGGAAAGAGTTTCTTGGCAAAAGCCGTGGCCACAGAGGCGAAGTCGACCTTCTTCAGTGTTTCATCATCCGATCTTGTCTCCAAATGGATGGGAGAATCAGAGAGGCTGGTCAAGCAGCTGTTTGCCATGGCCCGTGAAGCCAAGCCCAGTATCATCTTCATCGACGAAGTGGACAGCTTGTGCGGGACGAGAGGAGAAGGAGAAAGCGAAGCGAGCAGAAGGATCAAGACTGAATTTTTGGTCCAGATGAACGGCGTTGGCAACGACGAAGCTGGCGTGCTGGTGTTAGGAGCTACAAACATTCCTTGGCAGCTGGATATCGCCATCAAGAGACGTTTCGAGAAGAGGATTTACATCCCACTGCCGGAGGTGGAAGCCAGGAAACGCATGTTTGAGCTTCAGGTCGGCACTACACCTTCCAAGCTAACATCGCAGGACTACAGAGGGCTAGCAGAGAGGACAGAAGGGTGAGTTCCGAGTCACGTAAACAGCTGAACATTGTTCAGCTACTGACAAATACGCGACTTGCCGCGCCCGCCATGCAGCTACACCGGATCGGATATCAGCGTGCTTGTGAGGGACGCTTTGATGCAGCCAGTGCGCAAAGTGCTCTCTGCGACCCACTTCAAGAAGATCATGGCTCCCGCCAGGGTAAAGGAAGGAGAAAAAGTGTCCAGCGATGTGCAGACGGAGTATTTGACACCATGTTCGCCTGGTGATCCTGATGCTGTCGAAATGGGCTGGGAGAGCGTAGACAGCAAAGATCTGTACGAGGTCGGTGTACGGCTTTTGTAGGGTTGGCCATCGACCAGGCATCTCATGGCTCACAGTAAACTTCTTTTTTTTTTTGCCGCTCCCACTCTCTGTCATTGTCACGCTCTGCAGCCTCCTCTGGTCATAAACGACTTCTTACGGGCCATTCAAGCGGTCAGACCAACCGTGACTGAAGCTGATAGTGAGTGAAGCCGACCGTCTTGGCTTCAAACACTCCAGTATTGACTTGAACGCCGCTCTGCTCTGCTCTCTTCCACCTCACTTGCTCGAACCATCGAATCATCAGTCGAGAAGCACCGCGAGTTTACGGCCGAAGCTGGAGTCGAATGACTTTTGCCTTTTGCGCACCGACCATGTTTTCCCCGCTTTTCTTGTTTCATCCCACCTTCTTTGCGTCACCTTGCTTCACGGTTATCAATCAATGCTCTCAACGAGCACGGTTTCGCTCACAGCTCGCCGCAGCTGTCTGTTTACGCGGTCGTCCTTCAAGCTGCACGGAGCTCCAAGTGCAGCAGAGTAGTTTTGGATGCAAGATGGAGACTTTGTTTAAGAGAGCAGAGCCGTGGGATTCCATGTTGAGCGTCTTGCATGGCAATCAGGGTGCAGGGTCAAACAGAGCGCGCGGTTGCATGGCGGGTGACAT